TAAACAGGAGAACTTACGTTGTATTCCTCGCAGGCGGTCAGATAGAAATCTATGAACGCCCTCATTTTCACCTGTCGAGATTGAAAAGCGAAGAACACATTCTTTGATCTCTCATCCAGTCCATTGACCAGGGTAAGAATACGCCGGGCACGGATCGAGTCAGGATCTACATCATCATCCTGGCTGCCCTTAATAGCCTTTGACTTCTGTGACTGACCTTTTGCTTGCTTAGCCTTGATTGGGGGATAAGTAAGGGGCAAAAGCATTTCGTAGATGACATGGTCGAGAAGCACTTGAAGGTCGAGGTCATTGGTATAATAGGCGTCAAAAATTTTAGACGGCGCATCTTTAAGAACGTTCATAACTTCCTCGTTATTTGCTTCAACATCCCCAGATGCTACCGCCCACATTCTTGCTAGAACGTTCATGGCTTGTTCGCGTACTGAATGTTTTCTATCCTTAACTCGCTCTGCTAACACCGAGAGAAGAGAGCCAGGTTTAGAAAGGCCACCATCAGATCCAAGCTTCTTGATGACATCCTTATAATTAAACTTTCCCAGTATCTCTACTGCAGCAATTCGAACTTTTTCATCCGCATCTCCAAGTGCCCTAGTAAGTCCTGCTATCAAGTCGTTCGACTCCGCAGTATTCAAACCCGTGCCTCCTGCCGAAGTGAGCAGTATTCTCCCTATGGCTGTGGCCCATGAGGCTCGTACAGAGGCGGACTTATCCTGACGGCGAGATAGGAAGCTTTCGTAGGCTGAAGAGTGGGATACTGAGAATGGCTTAGGTGATAGAGGAGTTAGGAGGGCATTCATGTGGGAGGGAGATTCTGCATCATTTAAGGAAGGACGGGGATAAGCAGCCGGATCCATTGATGGATCGGGAGGAGGGCCTGCAACACCAATACCCGCTGCTAGGTCACCAATGGTCTGTGTTGCAAGAAGGCGAAGTGATATGGAATCCGCAGATAACTCCGCCTCAAGCTGTGGGATAACATTCTGTAGTACGTCGGGGCACGCCCGCCATAACTCTCGTATCAATCTATGAGCCTTGTTAAGATCCTTGATATTTTCACCCTCATCCTCAGAGTCGTCCAAACTATTCCGGCGATTTTTCAATCCGTTGATGCCCGAGGGGCCGGAAGCATCCAGTATGACATTGTTGAAGTATTGACTTATGTAGCTTGTCAATTTCTCTGGGCAAGCGTTACATATAGCTTTCGCCATGTTATAAGCTGGGGGGTAATCTTTCAATAACAGGGTTCCCTGTTTAGCATCGACAACGCCGGTAGCCCCCTTCTTGCCCTTTCCGGTAGAAGTGGCTAAGGACTGGTCTATAGCCCGAGGATCAACGCGCAGGAACTGTGCAACGATCACGTCAATGACTTCAGGGGCTAAACTCGGGGCCTCGTCAATGATTGGAGCAAGAAGTCGCGTCATGTCATATTCCACATTCTTTGCTAGATCCTCCCCGGTTGATGCCTTGGAAGAACCCGAAACAATATCGAAACAAGACGAAAATAGAGGAAGTATCAGGGTATCAGGCGCATGAACATCCGTAAGCAGCACAATACTCTTGACTTCTGCCAATGAAGAAAGAACATATATATGTTGGTCATTATATGCATTGGAGGGGTCTGCCAGCGCTGGAATAATCGAAGTCACAATCAATGTGAAGATATCCTAGAAATTCACCATGTAAAGTGAGCTAGATTGGCCAATATGAAATGATAGAGAGGATTAAAGTGTACCTTCAATTGATTCACAGTGAACGGCGCATTAGGAGCACATAGGCGCAATATGTCCACGACACAGCACGCAGTCCACGCACGAATACCTTTATCTCTATGTCCCAGCAGGTGTCCATCAGCTAGCTCTTGAGAGACCTTCGTCAATGAGCTTCGGTCGATATCCTCCTGGTCTAGCATTCGTAGTTCCGAGCCTAGTTCCTCGAGCCGTTGAAGCAGATGTGCAACTGGTATAGCTTTCCCAGCTCTCCATGAGATCACCTGGTTAAACTGAAGCTTATGCAACGAGCCATCTTCCTGTTCCTCTTCGGATTGTGCTTCCTCTTCCTCCTCTTCCTCCTCTTCCTGCTCCTCCGATTCCACGGTCTCCTCTACAACCTCGACTGGAGCCGCCTTAGCGGATTTACGGGTTCGCTTGCGCGCAGGCATCGTGCGCGTATCCCAGACGTCAGCTAGATCTGTAATGCTATCAGATAGCAGTTTTATGGCTCGAGGAAGTTCAATCAATCATGCGCGGCGCTCAGAGAAGCGTGTCGTGATATGAAGGGCTGAGTTACTTGCTCCGGAATATACAGCCCTCACAGGTCAGCTCGGGGCTGCGACTGAGGCCCGGGGTTGCTTTCGTCGTATCGTGAATTGGAAGATGTAAGACTGAGAGACTCAAAACAGCTCAACGCGACAGACAGACTGGATAAGTCGGTACCAGCAGTCAACCCACAGTTAAGAGCTGTTTGCCCGTGTGATGGGCGCTTTCACCTCCGTCCAGGCTTGCTCAAGGTCGAAAATTCATAGTTATTTCGATGCGCGAGCGCGTTTTGCCTTATGTAACTATAATAAGGTTTAAAATAAATACTGATCACGTGAGGCGAGGCTCCAGCCGCGTTTCAAAAGTGAACAAACAAACCAACTTTAGTTGCATTTTGGTCAAGTTGATAGTGAGCTTGAATTGGAGCTTAGGCAGAAATAGTAGAGGATTTGTTGAGGTAACATTAATATAATATATTTGATCATGATTATAATGCATCCTGTCTAAAAACGCTTCCTCCAGATATGCATAATTACAAAACTCCAAAGCTTCCCAATTTTTAATATATACGAATCAAGGAAAATAACCCAAATATACCCTCACTCACGCCTTTGGAACGAAGCGGCTCATGGCTCTAATTCTAGCTCCGTATACATAAAATAGGATTGGAACTGGGATCATGGCTAGAGTGATGAAGGCCAACACGCTGCTTGCCCATGCAACTCCAAGGTTGTGGTACATTTGGGAAGCGAACATAGGGAAGGCTGCGCCCAGCAAACTTCGGACGAAGGTGTTGGCTGCCAGTGCTGAGTTGGCATATACAAGGTAAACGTCAACAACATAGTTTATGCCTTGCAAGAAAATGATGATCAAGCCAAAACCGATGGGGATACCCGCAACCACTTGTGGCACCCAAGTGATATGTGGCGATGATGTCCAGGCGAACCAGAACAAGCCTGCAGGGAGAGTAATAGCGGCAAATATCATTGGTGGCAGACGGTCTTCTGGGACCAGCTTGCCGGTTGTTTTGAGTTTTTGAGCATATTGGTGTTTGCTGATGTAGATGAGGACGGCACATCCGAGTAAGATACCAATGGAAAGGCCCAATGAAAGGTAGAGCTGCAACGCCAGGGTGGTTTTCCAGCCTCGAACTTCTCCGAAGGAGATTGGGTATGCGAAGAAGAAGAGGTACAGGATTCCGTAAACGACGGCGAGATAGAGAGTGATTAGGGAAAGAATTGGTTCTAATATCAACATCTCGAATGGACGGCTCAGATATTTGTGAACGATATCGTTGAATGTGAGAGGGCTTTCATCAAGACTGGAATGGAGGGCCCAGTTCTTTGTCTCAAATCGAAGCCTTGTTGCTCGGCTTTGTAGGATAACTGGAGCAAAGGTCTCTGGGAGGCTGAATACAGCTACAAGACCTACTGCGGCATCAAGAATGAGAGTGATCCAGTTGGTCCATCTCCAGCCAAGATGTGAAGGGACAATGAAACCACCAATAATAGGTCCGGCAATTGGTCCTAGAAAGGTTGCTGCACAAAATCCAGCAGCCGCAATACCGCGATCAACAGGTTCCCAGATATCTACCAAGGCACCGCCAACGACTGCAAGGGTCACGGAGCCAAAGGCGCCGATCAAGAACCGGCAGACGAGTATAGTTGCGAGGTTTTGTGCTACTGCGACGGGAATCTGGAAGAGAGCTGAAATAATGAAGCAGATGATCAAGGGAAGTCGTCGACCATATACCTCGGAAAGCGGTCCCCAGATGATAGGTCCAAGAGCAAATCCCTTCACAACGTTAATATAGACTTTAACGAACTCAATGAGGTCTTATTAACTTACCAGAACAATAAGTGCGGTCCCAAGGGTTGTAACCTCCACTGAGACTCCATAGATCTTCGCTGTTACTGCTGTAGCTTGACTGAAGACACTGCTCGAGAAAGTGATGCAGAAGGTCAAGATTGAAAGCATCATAGTGATATACCATTTTTTCATGCGGCTGAAATTCTTTGGGTTCTGAGGGTCGTCGGGGCCGTCCCAGTCAACAAGATCGGGGTTCTTCTTAGGCTCATCGTATGATAGAGGAGGCGAAGGGGGAGATCCAGGTATTTCTCCCTTTTCAAGGTCTGACCCCCGCAAGCCTGATGGTTCGGCCATGTTGGTGTTATTTCGGGCTAGCTCTGGGGTATTGGTATTCTTTTCTGGGTCCATTGAGCGAGACGCGGTTGCATGCTCTGCCATGGTTAACACAAGTTAAATCACTTATGTTAGGCTATTTTCACTAATTTAGGAAACAAGAAGGATGTTAGACAACTGGGTAAAGTCTGGTTGTTCATATTCAAGACTGCTCAGTAACGGGATATATACACGCATATATATATATCTATATCCAGGGGGACGCATTTCAAATCCGCCATCGGCCTTGAACACTACGAAGGCCCGAAGCTGACAATCGCGTCGTGACTGACTGTTGTGCCGACATGACACACCAACCCGAAGGGGGTTGAGTACGATGATGCGATCCCTCAAGGGGGTCAAACAGATACAAAAGGAGTACATGGATCGAAGCGATGAAATCATCATGCATATACCTGGTACATTCCATCTGGCAGTGAAACACTGTAAATCGAAGGTTCTCTTCCGTAGCTTGGACATGGTATATGGTTAAGACTACGGCAAAAACGTGCCGGAGGAAGGTATAAGGTTAAATCTCTTAGGATCTAGAAAGAAGAAAGGAAGGACCAACATCAACTAGTCGAGGCCAACAATAAGCCTGGGGACTGTCATTCGTTGATGGCCCGGCCGAAGGACAAGGGATGACCACTTAACTCCGAGCCAGCCGCTGTGACGTCACAATCGTGTCCATTTTACTCCGAGAGATAGACGAATTTGTCGTATCAGAGGAAGATAAAGGTCTGCAGAGAAAGAGTTAGTCTATTTGGTTTTTTAATTTATGCATGGACAAAGGCTTGGATTAACGTAGCAGCCAGGCTCCTATAGGTATGCTGGACGTCGACCGACTGTTTTCTAAGCGGAATGATTGAGAATCGGACTTTAGAAGTAGAGTTATCCCTTTGAATCCGATAACTTTAGTGAAATGATATGCGATAGCACGCAGCGATGTTCCGGAGCGGGTATGTTTATCATCGTCGACTTGAGCATATCATGCTCTTCGTTGTTGATCATTTGAAGTCAAAGCTGAAGTCCGCAAATATCTAGGTAGTTGGTTAACTACACAAGCGAGTCAATATATGGTAGTGCCGTTTTGGTTGCCAATGTTGCTGAGTGGATGAAGATAAGAAGATGGATGAGAGCGCCCTTCCTGTTTATATTGCTACATAAGACTTGTTCTGTGCTGTCGAAAATGTATCCTCCATGTCTGTAGTCTAGTCCATCATCCATCAACTATGGTGCAATCACCAAATGCACCTCGAACCAATCGCCTTAAACTTGGGAAACGCTCATACTCCGTGAACCATGTAAGCCATTAAACCGAACCAGGAGACGCCGATATTAGTGTGTAAAATTAATCAGGAAATACACAGCGAAAGAAACCGTCTCGTTAAACATATTATCAGTATAGTAATACATTTTGGAATTTTAATAAAGTTCGAAAGTTGTTTTTTCCATAGCTGAAGTCGCGCAGGAATTCGGAATTCGGAATTCGTTCAGTCTTCGTTGGGTCATCAAAGTTATTCATAAAGCAGGGGTCAGGACGAAGCGAGTGCCGATCCAGCGCCACTGCTGTCGCTAGCTTCGTTCACCCTAAGGTCTCGAAGTATAGAAACTGCTTTGCTGACTTCTTCGCTGGCAATGATAGCGAGTTTTGACTTGGTCTCTGAGTCAAGGGTTCCAGAGGCATCGACTTGGTCATAAAGAAGACGGGATATTCTTCGATTGATATCCGTGTATTCTTCTTTTGAAACTTCCTTTCGACGATAGTACGGCTTTAGAGCGGAGCTGACCATCTTCTGGAGGTGGGATTTAGTGGAGAGAGATAGGCCACGTGTCGGCGATGATTCATTGGATCGCAATTGGGGAGGTGAAGGGGACAAATCATGACAAGGCTGACGACTGCCGGGTATACGTCTTCGAGAACGTCGAAGGTTTTCTTCTGAGGATGAGCTGCGCGTGGCAGCTGGAGAGCGTGAAGGGGAAAATTCTGGAGAGGAAAAGTTGAAGTCGCTTGGAACGGAGTCTAGAGAACGAGGCGGCGGGGTGGTAGATGATGGACGAGAAGAAGAACGGCTAGAGGATAGGGGGGAGAGGGCGGGTGACGAGGGACCGGAAGAGTTCATGTCCGTGGGATTATAGGGTAAAGTGGCCAATCGAAGTGGGCCAGCATGCAAGTTGGGTGTTGATGACTCTTCTACCTCCCTGAGCAAGGACTGAAGGAAACTTGGCCCGGAAGGGGGAGAATGGCTGTTAAGTGACTGGTCATCGCCATTGGGTAATCGGCCACCGCCACGGCTAGATGATTCTCCTCCATGATCAAGGATATCTGCCAGCGCCTCAGGACGTTTAGTTCTTGGTCGTTTGAGCTTTCTTTCTGGCTGGGCCGGCTCAGGCTCTACTGGAGAGGCGGTAGGAGATTTTCGTTTTCGTCTATTGCATGCCGCCCCTTCCTGTACAGCATTTGCTCGCTCAAAGGCGTTCCAGGCTCTGATTTCATCTATGGATTCCGGTTCAGGGGTTTGAATTCTAGGTCGGGGTCGCGATGGCCAGCCTCTGCGCATTTCCAGTAGGGCAGGAACGGCTTCCCGTAGCCTACTGGATCCGCCTTGGCGTTCAGCAACCCGGATCCTTCGTTCCCAAGCTCTGAATTCCCTTAAATTCGTCTCCTCTTGTCTTCGTTGGAGTAGGGTGCGGCCGGCTCCATTATCTTCTTCATCGTCAAACGGAAAATCGAGGTCAAGGTGAAGCTGGTCCCATACAGACTGCCACACCCGAGCCCAGTGAAGAGCATTTACCTGATTGCTGGCCACATATCTCCGTTGGTCTGCCCTGGTGCGTCGATGGGTAAGACGCATAGGCATATTATTGACGATTGGGGATGAAACGAGGCTGCATTGCATGCAAAACCAGGGTCCAGACGGGACAGAATCCAGGCCCAGACAGTAGGTGTGGCTTGCAACATCACATCCGTCACATAACAGCAGTACAGCTTCGTTGTCATCGTCACCACATATTGAACACGGCTGAAACTCGTCGGTGTACTCAAGTAAGTCATCTCCAAGCATAGACGGATCGATATCGGCAACCTGAACTCGGTCTTCCACAACATATGAAGAGACGGCAGGGCCTGCAAATGAAACAACGGTCAGCATAAATTTCCACCAAACATTGCTGTTGTGGTATAACTATAGGAACAGATGGACGCACCTCCAACTTTGGACGTTAGCTCGACAACATTGAAGTTCTGTCTGCAGATCGGACAGCTGTTTGCCCGTTCAACCCAGGGTTTCAGACATTCGTGATGCAGGTTATGTCCGCGAGGCAGCAGATGGGCGATCTCTACAGCCTCAATGGCGGTGTTCTCCTTGGGCGCCTGGATGGTTGCTGTGACCAGGCTTGGCACGACGTCAGCGGCATCGCCTTCGCCAAGGTCGCCTAAGCACACAATACATGTATCTGACATTGCTGGAGTAGAGGTAGGAGTCGGGGACGCGGCTTGCAGGTTTAGAGTGCGGCATGAAGAGCAGCCAGCGACCGAGGGCAGCTTTTCCACGGCGCAGCGCGGCGGCAAGCAGGGAGCGAAGTGAGGATGTGATGTTAGGAGGAAAGAAAGTTGTGGGGGACGAACAAGCCGGCCGTTCTTTTTGAAGCATGGGCAGAGGGCACGCTAGGCTGCGTCGGGCATAGCGCCGGCAACGTGACTTGCACTCATGACACTATTAGGTAAGCATAGCCGGGCGTGAGCTGGCTTAGTAAGCGCGAAGCGAGAGGCAGGTGAGGCCGGCAGCGAGGACGGCTTTGGGGGGAGGAGACGGTGAAAGTGAGGTGAGATACGAGAGGCAGTCAGCAAGCAGGCGAGGGAGGCTGGGTGAAGGCAGCGACTGACCTGGCCACTGCGGGACTACATAGAGGGTGCCTACTCCCGGCGCTGCAGAGCAGTACGGCGCAAGTTGCTGGAGATAGTCAGCGCCAGATAACGACACACAGTGTCAAGAAAGATAAAGCTGGAGAAGTCAGGAGCTTGATGGCGGCGCGGGCCATTGAGAAGCAATGGGAATTTTATTTGTCTTTTTATTGCCTTAACATCTATTGGTAATAGTCGATATTCGCCGGACCTCGTTTTGTGAGCTCGAGCCCAGACATTTTGTGCGCGCTATCGACATAGACATAAAGCTGTCGACCCTTTATTCGATCCATTGCTCTTGGCTCTTTTTTTTGTTTGTGCTTTCCCTCGCTTGCTCAGAAAGAATGCGGAGGGGACCGTTTCAGGGCGTCATCATCATATGGTTTTTGATTTGGAAGTGCAAGAGAGAAAAAAATCCCCATGTATTAAAACTAAAGAAATAGCAACTCCATTGTTCCAACCCATATTTATACCTCGGCGATTTCTCGTAGACGACGGATGGTCGATCTGGTGGTGGCAGCTGCGGCGGTGCTATACGTTGTGTAAATATTTCCATGTCAGTTCTGTGCCTCCTTTCCCCTCTCCCATGATATCAAGAGATCTTTGGCGGTTCAAATCTGGCTGGCCGTGCTTGAATGAAGCTGCCGGGGGATCGACTTACGAGACAGTCCAGGCACCTCCGGCGACGGTCTTGCGGCAGGAGCGGCACTCCCAGATACCAACGGCAGCGCGCTTTACGGTGTTCTTGCCGCAGAATGTGCAGATGTAACGGGCGTGCTGGGTGACTTCCATCTTCTTCACCTGCTTTCGGAGCGAGGCACCGTATCTGTGATTTCACCAAGTCAACTTTCAAAATCCATCGTTCATCGGCTTCGTGCGAGTAGTGGTTTCGCTTTTGTGCTGTCCGTTTCGACCATCGAGGGAGGAATTGCAACAATCGTACCTGACACCATATTTACCGGTAACACCGACCTCTGCAGAAATCAGTTAGCAATCAATCCGTCCGCGCAATAATCCACGGGGTTCGAACGTACTCTTAGTGCGCTTCGTCATCTTGTCGCGCTTGTTATGTGATGCAAGGGCAACGAAAGTCGAGATGTGATGATTGAGAAGTTGGAGTTGCACTTCTTTTTTTTCTCCCTCTCCTTCTTTGGTGTTTGTGTGTGTTCGCTTACCTGATCGCGAGACTTGGCGAGATCCCGTGACAAGTTATTCTCACGTGAGATGAGCCTCGGCTTGGCTAGTAAAGTCTTGGCAGTTTACCTTGGAAATCGCATTTAGGGTGCAAGAGATACAACCAGGAGAACGACGCACAGGAAAACAACAGGCTGCTATTCAAGGGTACGAAAGGCAGAAGTCTGGTATACAGAGCCTACTTGGCGGCCCCCTTCGCTCTGCCTGTACTCACAACAACTTCAAATCACAATGGAGCACCCCCGCACTCTCGAGATTGTGTTACTCGGGGCCACTGGATATACTGGAAAGCTATGCGCTGAACACATTGTCAAGAATCTACCTACCAACCTCGCATGGGGAATTGCTGGCCGCTCTGCAGAGAAGTTGGAGGGTCTATCTACCAAGCTACAGGCACTTAACAATGACCGCAAGGCTCCAGGTATGGTATCAGACAGCGGCCTACTTAGGCATTGACCTTTTTGCACCAATAGGATGTGATGCTAACCTGGTGTAGAAATCCTATCTGTCCAGTTGAAAGACGCTGAATTGAAGGAACTGGCCTGCAAAACCAAAGTTATTATCAATTGCGTGGGCCCGTATCGCAAGTACTCTACCCCTGTGGTCAAGGCCTGTGCTGAAAATGGTACCCACTATGTTGACGTGTACGCCTCTTGATCTCTTAATTCCCTTGTTTCTTATTTCTCGATATTAATTGTTTTGTATAGGACTGGAGAGGCGCCTTGGGTCCGCGATATGATCCAGAAGTTCCACGAAACTGCCAAATCTACTGGTGCAATTGTAGGGCCCTCTCAAACCTTCTTACTCTTTCTTCCGCTAGAGGCCAATCTTAACTAAGTTTCATAGTTGATATCTGCGAATGGTATAGAAAGTGCGCCAGCTGACTTGTTGACGTACTTCATGGCGAAATCGATCAAGGATCAGTTTGGCGTTGTCACGGATGAGACAGATATGTCTCTTTACCATATAAAGTACGTTTAGCTGATAGCTCTGGGCGAGATAATTGCTAACTCTGAACTATAGAGGCAAATTTAGCGGTGGTACGCTTAGAACCATTATCGATTTCTTTGATAACATTGATTCCAACAGCAGTGACCCGTACTGCACCTCGGTCTCAAAGCCTGCCCAGCCAAAGTCCGTTCCCATTCTTCGCCGCATCTTTGGCGTGCATTACGTTCCAGACATTGGAGTCGGTACCACCTGTGTCTGTGAGGCGTGCGATACCGCGATTGTCCACCGTACTAGCTCATTGATGCCCCAGCTGTTCAACCCTAATTTTAGGTTCTGGGAGAGTATGAAAGCCCGCAATATCTTTACCGCTGTTGGATTTCATTTTGCCCTCATAGCTGTAGCATTTGTTCTGCTAATATCGCCCGTCCGGTGGATTTTGCCTCGATATCTCCATCCTCCTGGCGAAGGGCTACCAGAGGAGGCCAAATCAGGCTTCTCTATTGAATACAGGGGCATTTCTACTGCTAAACAGGATCAGCCCGGAAAGAAGGATATCAGAGTCCTGGGTTCATTCTGTTACGACGGATGTCCTTACAGGCTTACGGGAATTTTTCTTGCTGAAGCCGCCCGAATTCTGGCTAGGAGCGAGAAAATCGGACAGGATAATAAAGGAGGCTACCTTACACCTGCGTCCCTGGAGGATGAGTATATTGAAAACCTTGAGAAGGCTGGAGCACATTTCAAGTCTACCGTTCTAGAGCATTAGTTGATGGGAGGCCCATCTGTTTGACTGACCGCATATGTTTAGATGAGTTTGCTATATATGAACCACCTGTTGTAATTATCAATCTGACACTAATATGCATGTAAATTTAATGATTTTCTCCTATGCGTCTAAGGAAGCAGAGACCGATAGTGCGGCCCATAGTCGTAGTGAGCTTGTATCTACAGCCTTACCTTTCCCCCAAACACAACACCTTCAATCCAGTTTTTGATGTGCACATTGCATTCTTTAGGTTTTTCCCAAAGAGCCCAGTGTGAAGCAACAACTTCAGCTTTGGTAAGATTTTTGATTTTCCGGCCCATATTACGTGCGAGCTCTGGCCGAAGTGCCATATCTTTTGTTGCCGAGATATAAAGAACGGGTATATCGATAGACCTGTTTAAGAACTCCTGCTCTTCTTTCCAGTTTTGCTCTCGGGTTCGATACCAGCTCGCTATTAATTAATGATCAATAAATGGACTAGTTATTTTCAAGGAGACACAGCTGAGGTAGTTAGTTTACCTGGCCCATGCAAACCGGTTCTTGAATATTCGTCCACATAGTAATCCATTTCCTAAGTTGAGCTCAATTAGAACTTGAAAACATCACTGATTGGAAATGGTTAGGTACGTACTGCATCAGAGAGAAGTGGAGACTGTTGAATATCTGGTAATTTGTCTAGTAGAACGCCTTTTTCCATGCTCACTGCTGGTTCACCACTTGTTGTTCTGCCACCATACATGGCATTCAAAAATTGACGTATTTTCTCCTTTGACTGAATGATGTTTTCCAAACCACCATTGGCAAATTGAGCCTGGTACCCAAAGAATGGTATCTTTGCAATTGTTTGTTCGAGTGATTGATATTCCTTGGTTGGCGGCCAGTAAGGGGTACAGACCGAAAATACATGGGTAACAAAGTCTGGTTCGTAGAGAGCAATACGATAAACAATGGCACCGCCCCTGACATGGATTAGTAAATGTTATGTCTGATGATGGTAGATAAATAAGAAGCCTTTACCAATCATGCCCTCCAAGGATAACTTTTGAGGAACCCAACTGGTGCGCAAGTTCCCTCATGTCTTTTGCACATTGCCTGTAGCCATAGCGCCAGGCAGACTCAGGGGTGAATTTCGGGGCTTCCTGTATAGAATCAGCACAAATCACACAATACTAGAAAGCGAGAAGAAAATACACACAGTGCGTCCATAACCCATACAGTCTGGAGCCACAACTCTTAGACCAAGGTTGAGAAGCGTCGGGATTTGATACCTCCAACCCATAGAGAGGTCGGGAAAACCATGGATCTATACTCAGCCAATATCGTGCATTAGACCACGGTTGAGGATAATGGATTGATTATTCGATGAACGAAAGCGGACCAAGAAGATAGTTGCTCTATATTTGCCATCTGGGGGAGCCGCAAGGAGGTACCCTATTTCGTTGTTAGTGATTTCTATAGCTCTATGGTGGTGATCATACGGACGAGTTGATGCAACAACCAAATATATACTGAATGGGGAAGTCATACCGTAGGTCGTTCCATTAACGATAGTAGAACAATGCTTGACTCTCGGGTCTTCCGGCACTTGTATCTTATTCAACGACATATTGCCTGGTATGTAGAACAAGCGAACAAGAGCCGCTGCTTGCTGGCCGTTGCGGTTGCGCAGAACTAAGTTTGCAGATATATCTTCTCCAAGTAATCCGTGTAAATTAATTGTTTGTTATCGGTGGGATGGTAGATATCAACATCAACAGAGATGGCGTTGTTTCGGCCTTATATACCCCTGGATTGAGCGGGATTACGCATATGGTGGATCCCACTTCCTAGCGTGGACAGCCGAGGTTAAAGTGGACTAGCCGCTGGTTTACTACAGTGACAACGACAACGACTTCTACAGAAAACCAGCACAAGGCATAAATACTTTTGAGGGGCCGGATCAATCTGTTTGCTTGGTGTTAACTGTAAACCATTGTTAAGAATTATTCGGCTTGAATTATGGCTTGGGGAGAATGCACCTGTTGAGAAATCGCGTTACACATTCGGCAATGCCGAAGACGCACAGTATGCGAGTAGAAACCATTTTCTCGCCAAAGACAACGGATATGATATGCTTTGGAAAATGTTAAGAGATGCCGAGGAAGGCGCTGGCTGCAAAAGAGAAGAATAGCTAAGCCGTATAAGTAGTAGAAATAGGATAGGCGGCAAAGTGTCCAAGTATCCGTTAGAACAAATAAGCGAAGGGGATAAGGAGAAAGAAGGCATGATCCGTCAAGTTAATAAATTACAGCATCCTCGGTATTCTCCATTAGTACCTCACCAGAGTGTTCCTCATCAAGCCCACTTGGGCTTTGGGGCTGTGCGAGAGGTACTGAGACAGGGGTTGTGTTAATTAAGGTTCGTTCCGGAGCCTCACTGGTCTGTTCGAGCGCGTCAGTATTAGATCCTATGGGGTCTGTGATATCTTTTGTGGCCTTATCCTCAACGGTATTAATATTAGATTGTTCAACGACAGATTTCCGCTCATCAGTCACTGGCTCGTGTTGTAGTTGATGGTGTTGGCTCGAGTTCATTCTTTCCTTCTCTATACTTGTTTTTACTTCTGCAATTTGGCTTTGGATCTTTGTTTCGTCTTGAGGCCGAAGGTACCACGGTCGATAATACTATTAACCGGTATCAAGATTAGCCTGGATCTTGCCGAGTCATACATAAAATATGCAAGGGAAGGGCAAATTACCAATGGTGGTTCCGCTTTGGTTTGGAGAAAGTTTGCCATTGCAAGCGCGTTCGCGTGACGAATTTCGGTCTTTCAAGCCGTTAGTTAAAGTATCCTTTCGTGAGCAAGTTGCCCATATTGTTCACATACCGACTGGGAATCATAGAGAACTTGATCCTTCCTCCTCGCCGCCAAAAGATCTTCGTATTTCTTTTTGGTTAGTTCATTGTATTCCTTATCCTGAAGCTTCAGCTTTGCTTGTTGCTTCCTGTCGATCTCTGAGCGTTTTCTCTGCGCTGGCGTAGATGAACTCTGAGAAAGCGTTCCAAGTAGAGCACCGAAAAGCCTACGGCCACGTTTACGTTCCTCGTCCCTCCCTGTCCTGGGTTGATTTGCTGCCCTCACATCACCGGAATCATTCGGCCGCCGAGTATCCGAAGAATATGATGGGATGGCAGACTGAGTAGCATGCTCGGAGACCCCGTCTGCACTGAGCCGTCTCCTTTTACTGCTGCTGTTACTTGAAGTGCTCTGTCTTCGCTTCGGTAGAGCTTCTGGGCTGGGATATTGTGGGGGTTCGGGTAGCGCGACTGCAGATGCAATTGAACTGTATTTATATTAGCAAGCTCACATACAGCTTGGAAGATTGTAGTCTGAGGACGTGGCACTTACCTTTCTGCCATATGTAATAGCTGCGATGAGATCTGTAACTGAAATGTTGTGCTATTTAGCTGCGATGTTGTCCTATGGCATTGACCATCTTTTGCTCCTTCACCATGCTGCTTTGCGGAGCTTTGAGCCAAGAGTATTGATTATATAAGCACATCACTGAATTTAGAGTTTCTCAACGTCATGTCTCCAAAATGAGTACAACAACATTTGAACGGAAGTGCATCCAGCTATTCATACTAGATGTACGGACAATACGGAGTACATATAAGGTCTGCATGGACACTTATAGTTTGCAATGTGTGGTTATGCTTGAGGTAGTGTACTGCATTGCGCATCTCGAGGTAAACAAAACAGGGCCGACGAACGAGAAGATCTGTCAAGGTTGCGGTATTGATCATGCATTCTGATAAAAATATGAAATATGACCTGATTGAAAGATCCGCACTCATGCGTTGAAGGCATCCTCGTTGTGCCTCGGATCTTTACCCTCCTTTGCATAGCTCATCGATAACCGTTCAGTCATATGCTGCTCTACCGTTTTGTGAGAGGTTTCGATGTCTTCTTCCGGATGCCCAAAGCCCTCTATTGGCTTTAGCTTTGCATTTAGACAACCGTCAAGGAAGAATACAATGCTATACCTCTCTCTTTCTGGCTGTTTGCACACAACACGATGCATGCTGCTTTTGTAAGTGCCATTGGTAACCATGCTAGTCATATCCCCTATATTGACAACGTAGGCGCCGGGATTCGGGTCAACAGGCCACCACACCTGTTTTCCATCTATTTCTACCAGCACTTCGAGCCCAGGATTATCGTCTTGGAGGAGTAATGTGATTACACCGAAGTCGGTATGCGCCGATGCTCCGTACTGCGGCTTACCGGCCACATCCCCTCTGTTCCGAACGGCAGATGGATAGTGGAGGAGGCGAAGCGGGCATGCCGGAATGTTATCCAACCTGATTAAATCATGCAGGACAGTTGGCATATTATCTGTCATACCAATGCTGCTATGTCCACGGGGTATCATTGTATCTCCAACTAGCTGTAGAACTTTGAAGGCAAGCTGTTGGACACTTTCGTGGTACCGCTCGCATGGTTCCTGGAACTGTGCGGTGGATAGGAATTTTGTTGAAGGCCAAACGTTACGGCCCATGAAGAAACGGCCGTATAAAGGATCTGATGGCAGGACGTCGCTGCCTACATAGTAACCCTAGTGTGCAGATATTTCAGCAAGCAAGTCCTAGTATTTATTAGGCGCCTATCAGCGCAGCACGAACTATATGAGACAATGACGCCCAACAACACCAAAGCCAATCACAAGGTGCGTTTTCGGGTTTCTCACCTCCTTCAAGTCTGGTAATACACCTTCCTCGTAGGACTGGCTGGCCAACACATCATACCCTCTATGACCAATGAAGTTTGCAGCGTTGAGCTTTTTTTTCTCTTCCAAAGGCAAGGCAAAGAAGGCATGTGCTGCATCGAAGACATTTTGTTGCAGATTCTTGGGGATGCCATGTCCAGTTATCTGAAAGAAGCCCGTTGAAATGCACGCTTCTCTCACATCTTCAATGACTTTTCTGGCGGCGTTGGACCCGGGATCTTCAAGGTAAGGTGATATATCAACTGTAGGGACACCACAAAAGTTTCCTTTCACCATGTTTATCACTGTTTAGGGCCGACCGTGATACTATGCAGGTTATAACTAAAAGCACAATGTGTTGTGGATGACCCATCCTTCCCTCTCCTGTTGAATTCGCTGCTGGAAGATAACGAAATATAACTTACAGGCGCCCAGCGGATAACTCACAAACTTGGTTGTGATTGTTGCACCATGAAATAGCCGGGCCCTTTAGGATACGAAAGCTGACTGTTTTCTATCTAGGGTTTTAACGATTATCTTATTCGGTTCATCCGAGGAACCAATACATCTATTGCCTTCCAGCCCAAATGAGGTTCCGAAATGTTGACCTCATCTTATTAGATCATGAACAGAGTATCACTCGCTCCTTCATGTGAATATTGCATTCTCGTTACACGTCCGCTTGCAGAATGAGATGACTGTGTTAGTCAAGCAACGAGACATCTTTTCCGGGAGTAACATCATAGTGGACATGGTGTAACCTCCCCTCGAGGTCATAAAAGGACCTGAGTATTGTCCACAGTTCTAGAGGATAGGTAAGAAGTTTGTAGATGAGTAATGGTAAGTGGTAAAAGAGTTAAAAATCCTAAGGGCTAACGGCCGGGCGGATCCAGGGGCGTTCTTCGCAGAACAGCCTGTTTCGAACGTAGTCGATTATCCCAATCGAAGCTTGTAAGGCCCATGCACTGCTTATTGAACTTCAAATTGCGGGATGGGACGAGAGGCTAGAGACACGGTTGAAGGTGGTAGTTTAATATACGGAGTTTCGATACCCTGAAGTGAACTGTCAAAAAATTCCGTTAGAATTCCCATACAGAGTCGATAATCGATGAAGCAAATGCTTCATCGTATCTTGTCTATATAGCTTTAAAACAACTTCTAATAGGATTTAGTTATGTCTCATAAAAGGTGGCTATTTGTAAGGAAGAATAATAACCCTACCAGTCAAAGATAAGATGCTATACATACCTGCGTCAAATCTATATCCCTTAAGAGGACGTTCGAGACGAGGTTGATGAGATCGTAACCAAACATAGTTTTGCTTTATACCTAGGTAATCGACTGATTTTTAGCGTTGCAACTACCGTGCGTTACGTTGAACGAGGAGGCATTGCAAAAAATAGGAGCTATTCTTGCGTCTTGAACTTACCAAAAAGGGAAGGACAAAATAATGATCTTAAAGTAAGATGTATTAAGCCTCGGAATAGAGGAAGCATTGCAGCTTTCATCTGATATCAAGCTTTGAGAGCATTAGATTGCCATCACCTGAACTGAAGCTACAGTAGCTCTTCTCATGAGAGAAAATGACGACATGGATAATACCCTAGTTGTTGTTTCAAAGAAGGAAACTGTAGTTTCCTTGAGAGGCGCAGTTTCATGTCAGGGGTGAAGGCGAGATTTTCAGCAAACCGGGAAAACAGCCCACATGGCCTTAAATACGGAACACCCATAGAATACATAGAATAGCCAAGATCTGTGTTTCCCTCCCTTCTAGAAGAAACGAAACGCGGTGAGAGTGGCATTCGTCCACTCTAGAGGAACGAAGAATCGTTTACCAAGAGTGAAATCCTTTGAATATTACCGTGGATATGGATAATATTCAAGAGTTGAAGCCTCGAAAGCTATGGTCTGAGAAGGAGGATAACGTGTTGCGAACCGAAGTCGCCAGACAGGGTAAGTGGTTGGCCATCAAGGAGAAATTGGAGAAAGCCATTGCTCTGAGTTTAGCTGATAGGAATTACCAAATAGCGGAGCATGGAAAGGCGAAAGATTGGCGGACAATTGCTGAAAAGCTTCCCGGCCGAAGTAATAAAGGTTATCTCATTTCCTGGGTCAGATTTAATGCAAATACCGCTTCAACTCTAACACCTAGCTTAGATTGCAGGAAACGTTGGATCAAATTGGATGGCCCGGTAAAAAAGGGCCCGTGGAGCCAAGAAGAGGACCAGCGTCTTCATAAGGCAGTTTTGCTCCATTCGAATGTGTTAGTCCGATAAACCATTGATGTGCCAAACTTCTAATATGAAGACATGCTGACGAAATTTTAGCTGGACGGAAGTTGCGCAAGTCGTAGGCACACGGCATGCCGATCGTTAGTTTGTCCCAAACTATTTTCCATTTGATATGAAGGGAACTTGACCAAACTGGTTTTCTTTTTTGGGATGGGAGCATCAGGTACTAACGCATTTAACAGAGTGTGCTAAACGCTGGCTGCATTTCCTTAGTCCCAATTTAAATCATGGTGAGTGGAGTGAGCAAGAAGATGAGCGTCTCTTAGCTGCAGTTGAACGAGGTGGACGCAACTGGAGGAAAATTGTGGATGAAATACTTCAGGGGCGATCAGCCACGGACGCTAAAAACAGGTAAGATAAGGGTGTAAATCAAAAGGCATTTGCCAAATTGTTTACAGCGTTTGACTAGGCACGCAATCCTCCAGAGAAACAGAAAAAATGGTACCGGGGCAAGTTCGGACCGTCAAAGACCTTCATTTTCTCGGCGTCGCAGAAATGGCACTACTTTCGAGATCTCCGAGAACCATGATACAACTAATTGGTGGTCAACAGGTTCAATGGATTTCATGAGGGATATCCTCCATTATAACTCTCCTGCCTGTTCGGTTGGGCCAGCAATTCCCAGTGGCAGTAATTTCGATGCGCTTCTTATGGAACAACCTAATCAGATGTTTGGTTCGCCGCCTGGGTCAACTTTAATGCATGAACACCCACAGATCTATGGGGCCCCTGGGGAATTATCCGGGTGGCATGTAATTCCGGGTAGCCATCCCTACCAAATGGAAACAAACGATCGTGATATTGAAATTCCAACTGGCCGTATTCCTAATTCATTCGAGAATACTAGTGATGATAACGCGGGAATAGCTGATACATTCTTCGAGGCGTTGACGACCATGGCCGATATGGAGGGAGCAGGTGGCCTATACACACCATCGGCCTCTTCTCATTCAGTTGACTGTCTTCCGTTGACTCGGGAAGCGGAGAGTGCAATCACCCAGGATGAAAGAGCGCAAGCTGATGAGGAATATGGAGAGGAGGACGATGACGACCACATTGAAGGAATAACAATTGAGAAGAATGAAGCTGTTCTTATCAATAGTGCATACCAGGGCCAATCTATGCCCTCCATAGAAGAGATTCTGGGGACAGTTTCAAAGGAAAATCGCAAAAGCACGATGATTTTGCAGCACATGCAGTCAGATCAGGTTGGGCAAGTGCTGGAGTTCCTGTTGTCCTCAAATTCATCTGTAGATGTCAAGATCATTAGCGAGGATTAACAATGGGAGGAAGATCATGGTACGAGAGTTATTTCAATATACGTAAATATCCCGAAGATCTAAGAATATTATCTAGGTTAATGATGAATCAAGTTAGACTCACGATCATTTATCCTCCCTCCTTCGGGACCCGCAATTTTGGCCATTTCAACCTGGAATTATATCATACCAGCACCAATAAAAGGAACAGAGATATGTTCTGAGAGCGTCACGGCTCTTGGTCAGATGCCACTGGTTATATTTCTCGTTATGATGAAACACTGTAAACTTTCAGAAAATATCAGTTGTATAGAGTATCCAAGGTCTGAATTTTGTCCTTCTCGAATGTCACAATAAGATTTGTTTGCGTACGGCTAGCGTTCCGAAGCGAACCTCGCGTTAGTCTCTATGTTACTCGAGCTTGTTGACAAGTGTAGAAAGGGAATAAATGTAAAAATTGAAAATAGAACGCAAAATAAAGGCTTACTCCAGAACTGTGCGCTTCTATTAACGCCATCTGCGGGATGTCTTCCTGGAAGCAAACTAGCATAATGGGGTCCTCTTCAGTATTGCAACTGGCGCATGGAAACAATATATCTCTCCGATGGGCAATATTCACGAACTAGGAATATTAATTCCCCACCGTTGAGCTTCACATTGAAATATTGTGCTTTCTCGGTATATTGCACAATAATAGTCCTAATTGAAACTGTAGCGGGCGCATCATTGACTACAGAACGCTAGGCAAACTGGGATTGCCTATTGGAGGAACTGGTGAGTTTGGCGCACATAATCGAAATGAAAGGACGACACTAGCGAACGATTCATATAATATATGAGCTTTCTGTACACCATGAGAAGCAGGCGGGTGTATCCTCGAGCAATCTTTCCGGATTTAAGGCCACGCTGCACGATAACCCCGATATACTCAGCTCCCGCTTACACATGATCGCACGGGAGGAAAAATTTCAGGATATGAGGGACCGTAAGTAAATGAGGTCAACCGTTCGACGACACAGCGGCAACACAGAATAGAAGACTCAGTGCTCATAGTAGTGTGAAAAGATTGATGCCTAGGTTGTTGACACCATTGTTGTTACTCCTAGAGGCAAACTGCGAAAGTGTTGCTGATAATCTGAGCCAGGCACGCGCGTACATGGGAGGCTTCTTTCGGCACGACAGCCCAAGTTCTCCCCTATTTCCGCAGTTCTCAGAGCGTTACCAGCTTCAGATTTCGAAGGATCCATCATTTCTCTCTCTCCAGCAAATTTTTCAACCGCTAGAGACGAACCCCTAGGCGCGATCAGCCATCCTCAAAGAGCTCAGAATATAGCTGTGCCAAATAATATAAGAGTGCTGGCATAGAATACCACAGCCTACTGCCCTGCAACCAGAGGTCTTCCCGTGTGCGTTCCTATTTCCAACAACGCAGTTTGCATAAGAACAAGACGAGGTTGCAATAAGCTCACCAAGACAGGGAGCTAAAGCGTTAGCTCGTTTTAAGCATGACTAGCTCGAGAGCCCCAGATCTTGGCAACTCGCGACATATCAGCGACGGGTTGTTTATCGACGACATCAGCCGACGGGATGCAAGAGACGGACCAGAGAAAGAAAATAGTGATACAGGCGAATTTCTTAGACTGGAGGAAGAACGCCCTTCAGAGAATGAGTTTCGCACTACAGGCTTGAGGCTGTTTTTAATCCTGAGTTCCCTACTTGTTTCCGTCTTTTGCCAGGCCCTCGATGACACCATCATCGCGACAGCGATTCCTCCAATCACGGACCACTTTCGCCGGCTAAGCCATGTAGGCTGGTATGGATCTGTCTATCTCCTGACGAATTGCGCGTTTCAACTCTTCTATGGCAAGCTATACAAGATCTTTCCGCTGCGCTGGGTTTTTATGAGCGCCCTTTTCATCTTTGAGCTTGGCTCGTTAGTCGCAGCTATAGCTCCCAAAAGCGAAACCTTGATAACCGGTCGCGCCATTGCAGGTATAGGTGCGGCTGGAATAACGAGTGGTGCCATGACTATTATGGCCCACACCGCTCCGGTTCGTTGGCGCCCAACATTCACCAGTATGATTGGTGCGGTATACGGGGTTTCTAGTGCTGTTGGTCCGCTATTAGGAGGAGTACTTGCCGAAAAGGCTAGTTGGAGATGGATATTTTACCTAAACCTACCTCTTGGCGGGGCCGCAGCATTAATCCTCTCACTTTCGCTTAAACGGTTACCGACCAGTGCGGGTGGGCAAAACTTGTCCGTTTCCATAATGGTGAAGCGACTGGATGTGGTGGGCACTTTTGCCTTTATTGCTAGCATAGCATGTCTTCTTACAGCCTTGCAATATGGTGGGACAACGACTCCATGGTCTTCTGGCCTCGTCATTGCTCTATTAACGATGTTTTCGGTACTATTGACTACATTCATTGTCGCTCAGATTCTACAAAAGGACGAAAATGCAACTATCCCAACACATATTGCAAAAAATAGAAATATGGCATTTGGGGCCCTTTTTGCGATCTGTCAAGGTGGTGCCTTCAATATCTTTATTTTTTATCTGCCACTTTACTTCCAGGTTATAAAGGATACAAATCCGATCAAATCAGGGGTAAATTATTTGCCTCTGATCTTAGTGAATACCATTGGTATTATTATATCTGGTCTTCTTACTACAAAACTCGGTTATTACATGCCTTGGATTTGGTTTTCGAGTATGACGATGCCCATTGGAGCAGGTCTCTTGACAACATTAGCTGTTGATTCAAATACTAGTCAGTGGGTAGGATACCAGCTCATATTTGCAATTGGATCAGGATTTGGCCTACAGCAACCATTTGTAACCGCACAGACTTCACTGCCACTTGAGGAAGTTAGTACTGGGATGGCAATCATGTTATTCTCTCAACTGGGAGGAGGAGCTATTTTCGTCCCGGTTGCACAAAGCGTTTTTATATCGCAGCTTGTGACTAGTGTTGGAAAAGCGGGAATCCTGGGTTTAGACTCTCAGCAGTTGGTCAGCCTAGGCGCAACTCAGTTCAGGCAAATTGTTTCCCCAAAGGATATCCCGAGAGTGGTGCTAGCCTACAACAGTGGTCTTCAACAGGCATTCAATGTTGCACTCATTTTGGCTTGCATGTCTATTATTGGGCCTCTAGGTATGAAATGGGTGTCACTGAAGCCACAAATCCAAAAGGGAAGTCTGGCTACAGTTGAGCAAGACAAGGTGTAGCAATGTTATAGATATATTTATATAAATATTACATTGGTTTTAGTTAACTTGTTTCAGAATTAATAGGAAGACGAAAACCTGTCGTACTAATTGCTTATACTGGGAAGGATAAAGATTTTTATAACGATGGAAAAAGACAAACTGATATAATTAAAATGCTTAAATAATTACTTCATTGACTAATTATAGCTATCCTGCCTGCTTCAACCTACTGGCCCACTTTGCCAAGCTGCCTATTAACTAAGTTTATATCACGTGGATACTTTAGATTTTTTTTTCCGGATAAACTCTTCTCCTGAGCCGCACTTTAAATCCACGTTGGGTGACAAACCACCGATTCAGCACAACCCAATCACCACCCTCGTTAGGGTCAAGGAGTTCAAACTATTCGGCGGGAAGCGACCTTAGCCGGAGTCTTGTTTGAATAGGATGCCATGCGATGTTTATCACTTACATGGAAACGCCTTAACAATGTCGGCACGATCTTATAAATTTCCAGGAGAGCGATATTCTTGCCGATACAGTTGCGGTGGCCGGCACCGAACTAGAAATCAGATGAGCCGAGAAGCAATGGCCGGAGAAGAAAGGGGAAATCAATATCTTACTTACAGTAAGAAGACACTTTTCCATGTATTTTGACTGCTCCGGGCTGCACAACCACCTTTCTGGCCGCCATTTATCGCAATCCTCGCCGAAAGTTTGCTTATGGTGATGAACCACCCAAGAACTCATACCGACCACGGTTCCGCCCTCCAGCCGCTGACCACAAACAATAGCACCTTCTGCAGGAACCACCCTCTCCATGGGAAGTCCAAGTGGAGGATGCATACGGCCTGCTTCGTTGATGCATGCATTAAAGTATGGCAGATCCTTGGCTTGCCTAAATCCTGCAAGCTCGTCGAGATTCCCTGCTTCAGCCGCTTCGTCAAATTCTGCCACCAGGCGCTTGTGGGTACTCGGATTATGCAATAGATAATAGAACATAGCCCTTAGGAACATTGCCGTGCTATCACTGCCTGCAGTAATATTTGAAGAGGTCCATACCAGAAGCGCGCTTTGAGACGCCCCCACATTACCCGTCAGCCAATGTTACTGTGGGGTTATAACATTTACTTACAATGGAGGTACTGATGGATCGTTAGCTTCCACTTCCATAAAACGTGAAAGCATATCTCTGTTGTTTATCGTCCATTCTTTCTGGAGTTCACCCTTTTCAATTTCTCGCCTCTCTTGGACTCTGCGCATTGCGAATATCACTCCGGGGCTTTGAATATTCTTTCTAAAAAAGCGTAAAATGGGGTTGTTTGTCCAAACGTCTCCTAACCAAGGCATTTGGGTCACCTTCATTGATGTTAGAATCTCATTTATGCGGTCTAACTTTCATGAGAATGGGCGTATCTCACCAAAGCAGTTTTTTGGAGGGTACTCCAAAGCTCCGCCATAACCCCGTCTATATCTTCCCCTTTTTCCATAAACCCAAACCGGTGGGAGAATGTTAATTCTCCCATGACATCAAAAGCGAACATTTGCAACCACTGCCCAAAGTTGCACGGAATAGTTTTACTACTTCCGCTCTCCGTCTTTGCAAATCTACTCTCAAGTTGCTCGCAGAATACCCTCATGGCGGTATCGACATACGGTTCAAACGAAACCAGGTGGCTCATTGAGTAGACGTTGGAAATAGGACGCTTCAATGCTCGATGGATTGCCTCATTCTGAGTGGCAAATATTCCTTCGACCGGTTTACTCCGTGTCTTCAGCAGTAGGGATCGATAGAAATCTGACTACAATACTGTAAGTCAATGTCATAACAATCTGTCATTTTTCGCTCACCTTTGGCCATGGTTTCTTGAACGAGTATATTGTCCCTATTTCGTTTGGGTCTCCCACGCTCACCATATTAGGGCCAAAACGTACGATGGGGCCATATTTTTTGTGAAGAGTGATGTGAATTATATGGGCATTGAAACTCTTTACCCAAAAGAAACGGGGAATGTTTGTGAACCTGGCAAAAAAAGGCCCGGGTATGTGGGCTAAATGATGATATGACTTGACTGATGATGTAAATAGGATGATAAGAATAGAAAGACCCAAGATATAGGCAGATTGAGACAGAAAGCCTGGTAGCAGCTCAAAAAGACCCATGGCTGCTATTTCGAAGTGTGGGATGAATGAAAGGGCCATAGCGATTCGTCGATGTGGCTCTTCTACAGATACGATTACAACTGGCCATAGCTAGCCCAAATTTGGACATATAAAGCAGTATGTACCGCCATACCTTGTGTACTCGGGTCCTGCTACTCAGGTTAACCCCCTTGCTGATAAATTTGCCAATCAATTCCTCTTTTAGTTGGTATGAGATATCTTCATCACTGCACCTATTGAGAGCTATTCGGGTCCGTTAGCATACTCAGGACCGCCCGGCGATAACTATGCCATTGGTCCCAAAGATCATAGGCTTGGGCCTACATCTTCTACAACATTTTGTTCGTTACATCTGACGTTTCTTTCATGGAACGTCGTCTTTTTGGACCATCCACTTTTCATATATTAATATTTTGACGTAAGTTGTACGAACATACGAGTTCAACACCATCGCATATCAGGGCTACCAACATTCGTCATGGTTGGTACATTGTCGACACCCACCAGGGCTCCAACAATTCATCTATTCGGACCTCAGGCGCTTGCCTTTCGTGGAGAGTCATTCGATAAATTGAAGGTTGTGCTATTTAACACGCCGTACAATGAGTGGATTTTAAACGTCATCGAAACTCTTCCGGGGTGGTGGAATGCTGCTTCAAAGGAACTTCCATTTATACAAGCGTTTCCTGGGGGAAAGTTACTGGATAAACTAGCCACCTGGGTTAAGGAGAAAACCATTGTGGATGCAATATTTCCACTTCCAAACATCCTCCTTACGCCTCTTGTTGTTATCACACATTTAATCCAGTATCAGAGGTACTTGGAGCATATCGACCCTACGTGCCCGGCAGACAACTGTTTTCAATCGCCTATCCATACAGAATCAGAGGCACTTGGCCTTTGTACTGGCCTCCTGGCAGCCATTGCAGTATCGCGTTCTGCAAGCCCCGAAGAGTTTAGACGCAATGGTGCTACGGCAATACGGCTTGCCATGCTTATTGGCGCTCTTGTTGATTCCGAGAACGAAAGCAACTCGGAGGGAGGAGCGGTATCTCAATCTATTACTTGGGATTCCCTAAAGTCTCAGGTGAAGATGCTAGAAATTCTAAAGCAATTTCCTCACGTAAGTTATATTATCAACCCAACACTTAAGGCTTTAAATGAAATATAGGCTGAACTTAATTTCTAGGCATACATTTCTGTTCTTTATGATGAAAAACGAGCTACTGTTACGTGCACCAAGTTTACTGCGGCAAAGCTCGCAAACCGCATGAGAAAAGATGGCCTGGTAGTTTCTGAGCTCAACCTGCATGGTTATTTTCACTATCAAGGCCATCAAGATGCTGTAGATTTACTCATTCGGTTCTGCGATTCAAAGCCGGAATTCCAATATTCAACCCGTTCAGCGTCAATTTGTTCAAAAAATGACCACAGATCATATTTTGTCAAAAACAAAAAACCCCATGAATTGGCTCTAAGATCCATACTTGTTGAGCAATGCGACTGGTACCGCACCTTTGCAGCGACATACTCTTCGCATTCGAATGGTTCACAATCACAAGTTGTGCTTTTTGGCCACGACAATTGTGTACCACCGTCCGTGGCGCGGAACCTCGGGAGAAATCTAATAAATGCTACGAACCTCGAAGGAATGCTGCCTTCAACGACTAGGATCTATCCTGAGTTAGAAGTTGCACATGGCTATTATGTACGGGACACTGATGATATAGCGGTTGTTGGTATGGCTTGCAAAGTAGCGGGAGCAGATGATATTGAACAGTTTTGGGACATACTGCGCGTTGGAGAGTCGCAGCACACGGAGCCGCCTTCTGATCGCTTTCACTTTGGGACTTTCTGGCGCGATCTGGACCCGAAACGGAGATGGTACGGCAATTTTATAACGGACCCTGACGCATTCGACCACAAGTTCTTTAGGAAAAGTCCTCGTGAAATGATGTCAACCGATCCTCAGCAGCGATGGATGCTTCAAATTGTATACCAAGCTCTCCAGCAGTCAGGATATTTCCTATCTCCGGATCAAGACAAGCACATTGGCTGCTATATAGGTCTTGGATGCGTGGACTACGAGCACAACATTGCTTGTTATCCTGCAAATGCATTCTCGGCAACGGGGAATTTGAGGAGCTTTGTGGCTGGGAAAGTTAGTCATTACTTTGGCTGGACAGGCCCGTCGCTCACTATTGATTCCGCTTGTTCATCCTCAGCGGTAGCCATTCATCATGCTTGCAAAGCCATCCTTCATGGCGAATGTACTGCTGCTATAGCTGGTGGCGTGACAATTCTAACAAGCCCACTATGGTTTCAAAATCTAGCGGGCGCATCATTTCTAAGTCCCACAGGCAACTGTAAGCCGTTTGATACCAATGCCGATGGGTACTGTCGCGGAGAAGGAGTCGGTGCGGTGGTGCTTAAGCGTCTTTCTTCCGCTCTTGATAGCGGAGACCAAATCCTGGGCGTCATCTCTAGCAGTGCAGTATATCAGAATCAAAACTGCACCCCGATAACCGTCCCTAATGCAGATTCTCTTTCGGATTTATTTCGAGATGTGACTCACAAGGCAGGCCTCGAGCCCAAACATATCTCAGTGGTTGAGGCACACGGAACTGGGACTCCTGTTGGTGATCCAGCTGAATATGAAAGTATTCTTAGGGTGTTCGGAGGCCCTGATCGTCTGAGTTCACTTTCCTTAGGCTCTGTAAAGGGTCTTGTTGGACATGCAGAAACTGCAGCTGGCATCATTTCGCTGATCAAGGTCCTTTTAATGATCCAAGAGAGACACATTCCGCCACAGGCAAGCTTTCAGACAATTAATCCTGCTATCAAACAATCACCTACCGATAAAATTGAGATTACAACATCATTAACGAAATGGGACACAGAGTTTCGAGCAGCCTTAATTAACAATTATGGAGCATCAGGCTCAAATGCCTCGCTTATTGTCACTCAAACACCGAATTATGCACTATCCTCCATCATCAACAGACCAACCTTTCCTCCAGAGACCAAGTACCCTTTTTGGTTCTGTGGCAGTGATGATAGCAGCCTCCAGAGGTATGTTGTTCGGTTCCGTAAGTTTTTAGAATCAAGGAAGCGCCTCGGAAAGCCCATTACCATCCCTGACTTGGCATTCAACGTCTACCGTCAGTCGAATCGAACGCTCAGCCGTGCAATGTTATTCAACTGTGGCTCTGTGACTGAGCTTGAAGACATTCTCAAATTTTCCGAGGCTGATGTCTCTGAAATTCAATCAATTGAGCCTATGAATGCTCGATCAGTTATTATGTGCTTCGGCGGTCAAATATCGACTTTTGTTGGCTTGGACCGTGAGATCTATGATACATGCAAAATCTTCCGCAAGTATATCGATCAGTGCAACTTCCTTATGACATCTCTCGGACCAGATGGTTTATTCCCAGATGTTTTCCAGAAATCCCCAGTGCAAGACGTTGTTAAGCTTCAAACCATGCTTTTTGCCATTCAATATGCTTCTGCCATGTCCTGGATAGAATGTGGAGTTAAGCCTGCTGCACTTGTCGGACATAGCTTTGGAGAACTTACAGCGCTCTGCGTCTCTGGAGTTTTATCTCTCGCTGAAGCAGTAAAAATTATTGCGGGGCGAGCGCGCCTAGTTCGAGATTTATGGGGTGTCGACAAGGGGTTCATGATGGCCATTGAGGGCGACATCCAGAATGTTCAACACCTTTTGAGCGACTCAAACAGACTCCAGGAAAGCGACCAGAAAGTGACAATTGCATGTTATAATGGCCCCCGAAGCTTTACAATTGCTGGGCCAGCTAATTCCGCGAAAGTTGTTGAAGAACTGTTGGCCAATAACCCAATATTTTCATCGGTAAAGTCTAAAAAACTGAATGTTACAAATGCATATCATTCGATCCTCGTTGGACCTCTTGTGGAACCTCTCCGGCACATTGGAGAAAGCTTGACCTTTACCGAAGGTAGAATTCCGGTCGAGAGGTGCACTGAACATCCAACTTCCTCGGACCAATTTGTTGCTGAATTTATAGCAGATCATATGAGATGTCCTGTATATTTCAATCATGCTGTGCAGAGGCTCTCACTAAAATATCCATCATCTATATGGCTTGAAGCTGGTTCCAACTCTACGATCACGACGATGGCTGGTCGAGCTTTAAACCTACCCTCAGAGTCACATTTCCAGGGGATAAATATCTCAAGTGGCAAAGGGTTGCAAAGCCTTGCTGACACGACTATAAACTTATGGATGAATGGGCTAAATACCGCATTCTGGCCGCACCACTCTTCACAAACGCCTGAATATAACCAACTACTCCTCCCTCCTTATCAATTTGACAAAACAAGACATTGGGTTACCCTTAAAAGGCCAGAAGAAGCTTTCCCCAGACAACAGGATGAGCCTCAATCCTTAGGAGAGCAACCCATGGGGCTTTGGAGTTTTTCCTGTTATAAAGGAGATGACAAACGCAGTGCCCGATTCAGCATTAACACTGCAAGTACTGAGTTTCATGATTATGTGGCTGGCCACACTATTGCGCATGCCGCTCCTTTATGTCCTAGTACGCTTCAGCTGGATATTGTTATTGAAGCTCTCCTAAAGCTACGACCAGAATATCTTTCCCGCAACCTTCAGCCACAACTTCAAGGACTTGAAAATCACGTACCAATCTGCCTTGACCCAACTCTTTGCGTCTGGCTGGATGTTGAAGCTATAGACTCAGAGGCACACATTTGGGATTTTAAGATGATCAGCGAGCCAACTGGGGGCAATCAAACTCCGATATTACACGTTTCTGGAAAAATTGGGTTTAAATCTAACCAGGACACACAACTTCTCAATGATTTTGCAAGATACGAACGACTTTCTGGCCATGAGCGCTGTTTGTCACTCCTAAATGGAGAGGATGGTGATGATATAATTCAAGGGCGCAACGTCTACAAAGTATTTGCCGAAGTAGTGGATTACGGCCAATTTTACCGAGGAGTCCAAAAGCTCGTTGGGAAAGGAAATGAATCGGCGGGAAGGGTTGTCAAGAAATATACCAGGCAAACCTGGCTCGATACTCCCTTGGCGGACTCTTTCTGTCAATGCGCTGGTATTTTCGTCAACTGTATGACCGATATATCAGACAAGGAAATGTATATCTCGACCAAGATTGAGCAATGGATCCGCTCACCTAACCTACTTCCTGATGATTTACGACCAGACGTATGGAATGTCTTTGCCCTCCATCGCCGCCCATCCGATAAGGAGTTTCTTAGTGACGTATTTATATTTGACTCACGGAACGGGGAGCTGTTAGAAATTATCCTCGGCATAGGTTACAAGAGAGTATCAAAGCGAAGCCTCGGGAAAATGCTGACCAACCTCACTCCCGGAAACCTGAAACCTGAAGGAAAAGCCGTACCGCTGCCTGTGGACACTGAAGACAATAGCGAGGCTACCTGTCTTACCCCATCCCCGGTCAGAACAACTTCAACAGGCACTTCTGGTAATGTGCCGCCCAGGGACGTTTCGGAAGATGTAAGGAATCTACTTGCGAATGTCTCTGGGCTAGAGGCCCATGAAATCAAGAACGACACTGGTCTCTCTGACATTGGTATTGACTCTCTGATGGGTATGGAACTAGCCCGTGAAATTGAGACGGTATTCAAGTGTTCTCTAGACACTGAAGTGCTGAACGCAGTGACAGACTTCAAGAGCTTGATAAAATGTATCCAGGAATCTTTAGGCTGCAATGTAACCGATGGTATGGTTACAGAGCCAGCAACGAACATGGGTTCCATTAATACCACCGTTGCTCAGATTACTAACGATCCACCTCATATCAATGGAAGCCTTGCGGAAGACGAAATACCAAGTATTCCACCTAGCACAATTCTCAGTGCGTTTGAAGAATCAAACAGGTTGACGGACGAATTTATATCTAAATATAAATTTGCGAACTACGCCGATCTTGTTCTGCCTAAACAAACTGAGCTGTGCATTGCATATATAACTGAGGCATTCGAGAAGCTGGGTTGCTCCTTTCAAATGGCAAAAGGTGGTGAACGATTGGATAGGGTTCCATACCTCCCAAAACACCATAAGTTTGTGAATTATCTCTACATGATGCTCGAGAAAGAGGCTAGACTAGTGGATGTGGATGAAAATGCTATCATCACTAGGACTGCTATTTCGCCGCCTCTCAAACACTCCAGCGTTCTATTGCAGGAGCTGATAAACAACTATCCTGATCACGCCAATGATCATAAACTTACTCATCTTATCGGATCCAAATTAGCAGAATGTTTATCTGGCGGATGCGATGGTGTCCAGCTAATATTTGGCTCCTCAGAGGGAAGAGAGCTTGTCTCTGGCCTTTATGGCAAGTCCCCCATAAATATGGTGTGGCTTAAACAAATGGAAGATATCATACATCGCCTTATACAGAAACTTCCAGTTAACAAAGGGCCCCTTAAAATTCTGGAGATGGGAGCTGGTACAGGGGGTACAACAGCAATCCTCGCTCCGTTCCTCTCCAGCCTTGGTGTACCAGTTGAATACACTTTTACAGACATTTCACCGTCCCTAGTTGCAGCTGCAAGAAAAAGGTTTAAAGCCCACTCTTTCATGAAATTTTGTGTTCATGATATTGAGAAGGAGCCCGCTACGGAATTACTTCACAGCCAGCATATTGTCATAGCAGCAAACTGTGTCCACGCTACGCATAACCTAGTGAATTCGACTAAGCAGATTCGTCAGGTTTTGAGACCAGATGGGTTCTTAATGATTTTGGAAATGACTGATACTCTGTACTGGGTAGACGTTGTATTCGGCGTCCTTGAAGGTTGGTGGCTTTATAACGACGGGAGGAAACATGTGGTAGCCAACCAAGTCATCTGGGAGAAGTCTATGCACTTGGCTGGATACGGCTATGTGGACTGGACTTCAGGGGCTCGCCCTGAATCGAGTATCCAACGACTTATTATCGCATTGGCTTCTGGACCTAGGTATGACCGCTTGCCGGTGACCCTAAACAATACTCAGAGTCAAGCAACTGACTGTGCGGTTCGGCAGGCCATAGTCGACAACTATGCAAATGAATATTCGAGATCATTCCTTGGGTATACCAAAACCAACGAACCTATCTTGCCAGCAGCATGCCAAGGGCATAGTGTACTGATCACGGGAGCCACTGGAAGTCTGGGATCTCACCTTGTCGCTCACTTTGCACAATTGCCTACGGTTAGGGAAGTTGTGTGTTTAAATCGACGAAATAGTGTCAATGCACTAGAGCGTCAGATTCAGTCACTGGAAGGGAAGGACATCTTCCTCGATGGAAAATCGTGGTCAAAACTTAGAGTAATAGCAACTCAGGGAGACAAAGAGATGCTGGGCTTACAAGAATCAGAATATCAGTACTTGGTGCGCTCAGTTACCCATATCGTTCACGGGGCATGGCCAATGAGCATAAAGAGGCCAGTGAAAGGCTTCGAGCCACAATTCCAGTTTATGCGGAATTTGATTGATATGGCTGCTGAAATATCAAATTCAAGGCGCATAGTAAATGTTGGGTTTCAATTCATATCGTCCATTGCGACTGTTGGATATCATCCCATTAAGACCCATAAAACCTTGGTATCAGAGCAAAGAGTGGAAGTTGATTCAGTGCTTCCGAGTGGCTATGGTGATGCTAAGTTGGTATGTGAGAAGATGATGGAGGCAACCCTTCATAAGCAGCCCGACAGATTCCGACCCATGTCTGTTCGTATTGGACAAATTTCGGGGTCTAGGAAGACTGGATATTGGAATCCAGTGGAACATTTTTCATTCCTTGTCAAGTCGTCACAAACACTTCGATCACTGCCTGATCTTAAAGGGGTAAGTTCATAGATTGATTAAATGGATACTTTTAGAACCCAAATAAGGATGGGTATACTGATGCAATACTAGGAGCTATCATGGTGCCCTGTTGATGATGTTGCAGCAGCACTTGCTGATATCCTATTATCAGACACCATACCATACCCGATTTACCATATTGAAAATCCTATACGACAGCCATGGAGCGAGATAATTTATCTCTTGGCTGATACATTGGATATCCCACGGGGTTTCATTGTTCCCTATGATATATGGATGCGTCGAGTTCGCCATTTTACTGGCTCGACAGAGTCAAACAACCCTGCCAAAATGTTACTAGAGTTTTTTAGAGATCATTTTAGGCGGATGTCATGTGGAGGCCTAATATTGGATACGACAAACAGCAAACAACATTCCCACACTCTGGCAAATACTCAACCTATTACTCCAGCTCTTGTTGCAAAATACATAGCGCAATGGAAGGAATCCGGATTCCTGGGTTAAAACATTCCTTATTACCGGAATTCATCTCGGGATACAAGGAACGATAGCTATGGGTATAATGGGTTACTTTGGACATATGGCGGCTGTTTATTTTCTAACTGGGTATAATCAATTCTGCGACAGGTGATTTCATGTTGTTCTGTCAGAAGCGACTCTCTCATGGAATCGTCTGCCTCTATGATATGCATCTCTATTTACTACTCGTCTGTGGTCTCATGGCCGATTCTCAGTATAGCTCTTTCATATGTATTTACTCCTCGAGCCAGCGTTTAACATCTACAGAGTAATTATAATTCTTTCTGTTAACTGGTAACCTACAAAATGCAGTCAGAGTTGAGGCTCACACTGACTTCGGGGCTGCCCGAGGACAAAGGACAGCTGAGTCAGCGGAGAAAAAGCGGCGAGACTTGGTTCCTGATTCGAAAAAAAAAAGTTTCAACTTCCAAAGGACTTCATCAACTTCAAAAAAAGAAAGAATAGACAAACCCAGAGTCTCTGACGTCGAACAGGTAAAAATAAAGCCAGCTCTCTTCTACCGTTAGACGCAAATTTCCCACCATGTCGCGCCATCATCCAGATCTCGTTATGTGCAGAAAGCAAACCGGCATTGCTATCGGGCGCCTGTGTGATAAATGTGACGGCAAATGTCCTGTCTGCGATTCATATGTGCGGCCTACCACCCTAGTACGCGTGTGCGACGAATGCTCCTTTGGCAACTTCCAGAACAAATGCATTGTATGCGGTGGAGAAGGGATCAGTGACGCGTTCTACTGTTTCGAGTGTACCAGGCTGGAGAAGGATAGAGATGGGTGTCCAAAGATTATCAATCTGGGCAGCTCGAGGACCGATTTATTCTTCCAGCGGAAACAACATCGTGCGGGGGCTGGCGGCGGTGGGAGTGCGATAGTTTGATACGGCGGAGGAGCTATCCTGCCCCTAGACGCTATCCACGAGACTACAAACACTACGGTCACATCACCGGAAACTCCATGTTTGGAGTACGTTTCTCATACCTTGGTTGGTATATTTTGACGCTATCTAAAGCGATCCATTCATAGCACGATCAACTGTGTCCATATGAACCTTCTACTCTTTCGATGGAAAAAAAGGAATCAAATCATACCTACCTCTTACCCGGTCTCTTTGGCCTGGCGAACGCTTTCTTAACCTCCTGGGCAGGCGGGCTTATCTCCTCCTGCAGTCTACCAGGTGTGATCTCATCTGCATCGGATGCCTCGATCTATATCGGTTTCACAATGTTACCCACATCAGCAACTTATTCACGCTCAAATATGCCTATATCCACTTGTTCCTAGAAAATAAGAGAATGTTGGACATACCTTATGATTGACAGAGACACCATTTCGAGCAGCCCATACCAACAATCCAGCACGGCTGCTAGCGTGTAGCATGCGCTGCTTGATAGAGGAACCGGAAGGACATGTGTAAATGAAGATCAGCTCTGAAGAGACAGGGTGGCGGTAAAAGGTGTACTGTGGTTCTGAGGCTGGGATATGCCCTGATAGAGATTCTGGTGCAACGCTTGGCTCTGTTCCCACGATGTTCAGTGTCTCTGTTTTCACATCAATGGCCTGCCATATACATTAGTTAGACTCAATTCGAGAGAATCCACGACCATTCACCAGGTCTATGTAGAAGCAACGACTTACCAAGAAAACGGCGGCCCCGTCTTGACCTAGGCTCTGCAATGCTTCTTCTGCACCATCTCCGGTCTTGAATAGGGCGCTGCTATCTGTAGCTCCAGTTCCAGATAGCTGGCCACCCGTATTGCCATCCGAACCAACAGTTCCTCCAATACCGATGTCCATCCTTCGCCTCCACATGTCTCTTGCATCATTCTCCCCCTTTTTAACAGCGTTTAGTTCCCTTTCTTGCTCTCCCATGAGTTCATCTCGTCTGTCATCACCGCCCGCACCGCCCGCACCACTCTTGGCATTCATATCCAGCTCCCTCTCTTGCCATTCCTGTTCGTCGAGCACCTCTTCGACATCTGTAGCAAATATATTTTCCGCAAACTTCTCTGATCCCAGTTCACGGGTAAGTGCAGCCCGGGTACTTGCAAAAAGTGTCTTGGAGCGTACGGGGCTGTTTGATGGAACAAATGAGAGCGCTATCAAGCCTGTCTCTGCGTGCTCCTGTGAACGCCTGAGGAGGAGGTAGATGGGGGTCTTGGGCTGTAGATGGTCCGCAAGGGACGGCAATGAGCCATAGAATTGGCTATTAGCATCACTGTTGCTGCCGCTTCCTTGCGAGAAGGGGATGGGTTGCAGCGGAACAAGCTGCTCGTCAGTGATTGTTATCGGCAGGCAGAAGAGCGAGGGGTTGGCGAGGAAGCCCGCAAAGGCATCATGAACCTCCGTGGAGACTGACAGTTACAGTGTTAGCACCATATAAATTATTAAGAACGAGCATCGTACCTGATATTCCAGACTGCATCTTGATATAATCGCTCCCTGGTGCTGGTGGCCTCGGATGTGTAGGAGTTGCTTCTTCTTCCCCATACAACTCAGCTATAACGTTATTCAACTTGTTACAAGCTGACGTCGGCCCGCCCCAGCGAACCACCAAAACTTCCCCCACGCCCGCTCTCCTCTTAACGTCAGCAACAACATCTACAAGCCCAAGATGCCAGCATTTCGCTACCAAGCGATAGGAAATGTATTTTAAGAGGCTTAAGTTAACAGTTATATATATAACATATCTTTATTCAACCTTTTGCAAGGCCGCCTTTTTATGCACCAAATCCAGACCCGGAAATCTATATACTAGTCTGTCGCATCAACATGGCCAAACCATCCGACTGCAAGACATCAAATAGCTGAAGAGCGACATAAATAAAGAAGGGGGAAAAAAGAAAGAAAGGTTAATACGCGTACATTGGCCTCTAATGAGCGCAGGGATGGAAACAGAACGGTACCCAGGACAGGGAAAAGCCAACATGGAGCATGGTTTGGTCGCTTTGAGCAAGACGTGGATATCACAGCGCGCGTTTATATATCAGATCAAGGAAGCAAAAGCTCGGTTTTAATGGCAGGAGGGGTCGAAAGAGCGATGGCCTTCGATTTCGAGGGTTATGAGGCCAATTCCGCTCCTAGGGGAGTCTCATCGTTTATTCTTCATACTTTCCACCCATGATGGCCCAGTTGCTCTTCTCCAGCTTCTCCCTAAGGAATTCGTACACTGTGAATGTGACGGCCTGTCCGGGGGCGACTCTCATGACACGAGGAGTGATACCCTTATAGAAAGCTCTAGCGCCTTCTTGCTTGAACATCTCCCTCGAGATGGCCGTGATGCGGGAGATGGCAGACTGCCCAGGCTCTCCGGGTGTCTTCTGCAGTCTGGTCTTGATGGTGTCAATTGGGGCGTTAGAGAACGGTCCCATGGCACCGGAAATGAGACCGATGCACATGGTCTGGTAGGATGGGAGCTCGTTGTACTGTGGCTGCCAGTCCTTGAGGAGCTTCTTCAGTTCGGAGTAGGCGGTGAAGTTGGCAGCCTGGTTGGTTCCCTGGCGAAGTGCAGTCAATGAGACACCGCGGTATATGGCACCGAATCCTTCTTCCCTTATCACGGTGAACAAAGCGTGTGGTGCACTTCGGTATTTTGGCTTATCGAGGGGATCTGCCAGACTGTGGCTCTGGGCCTGCAGGCGAATCTTGATAACCTCCATGGGTGTGACGACGGCCACAGCTTCGGTTACACCAGCGGCCAGACCAGCTATAAACAGCCAATTGTGTTAGTTTTCAACGGGATTTACTCCTGCAGGAAACATAGAGCTTGCTGCATTTGCCCTAATCTATGGACGTACCAAGCATATTGGCGGAACTTGAGATATTCCCCGTCTCGGGGTTTGTTAGGTACTGCTTATAATAGCCATAGGAAGTGAATCGGATGGCCATCTTTGGGATAATTCCACTGAGAACGGCACCCAGGCCCTTATACAGTCCCAGTGCGGTTTCTCGTCGCACAATCTCTTGTCCGGTCGCAAGGAAGCCACGGGGTTTGACCTAAAGAGCGCAATTAGAACCGAACTCGTCTGCGCAACGTGAGTATGATCCAAAATCAATCAACAAACTTACTCCCGGAGCTCGTGCTCGCTTTGAAAGCTGCATTCGTACTTTGATAGTATCTACGCATTTCCGTCAGCAAAGAAGCAAATAACGCACAAGGCAATTTGGGCGCGGTGAAAACTAACCAAGCGGATGGCACACGAGAGCTTCCATCATTCCAGCACCACCACCGGCTATAAATTTGAGATGTTAGACATGTCTGCTCCGTATCTTGCAACAATCAAATCCCAACTGAGCAGTCCAATGCTCACCGATCAGGTTAACCGCCGCGGTGGCCGGCTGTTGCTTTTTATCTTTTGAAGCCATTGCGAATACTGTGTGAGGGGCGACGGTAACTTGTTTGCTCGTACTGAAAAACCAACCGGACTCGATTGAGAGTGAAGAGAAGCAAGCCCGCGAGAAAGGAAGAAGAGTGAGTCAAGGAGTGAATTGAATTGAAAGGGACGAGACGGAGTAGAAAAAGGGCCAGCAAGGTCTCGCAAGAAGAATGCCGAGGATCTCTCTCCCATGCGGGCCTGCTCGCCCGGCGAGAGGAACGGGCAAGGGACCCCACGACGGGGGTCACGGGCAAAATACGCAGGTTGCGAAGAGAGTTTACATATGAGACGAGAGGACCGGGATATATTATTTTTCACCTGCTACTGGCCAAACGTCCCATGTAGGTGGAGCGGAGGAGAGCTTGGAGCAAGAACTGTATGGCTGAAAGCTCCCCGCATAGCCGCTGTTACAATACACATACTCCGTACGGAGAACGAAGTACAGGGACAAGAGCAGCCAGAGAAAACGAGGGAGCATGGAGTATTAGAGGCCGCAAGGGTCAGCAAGGGACCGCTTGAGCATAAGAGAAATTAAACGATTATAAATGCCTGGTCTGCAGCCAGATCCAGAGCGGCCATTTGGTCATTTTTTTCTTCCTTCCCCCTTATCGATAAAAAAAATAGCTTGGGCTAACTACGTAACTATTTCAGGGCAAGCACCGGGTATTTCTCAGGCACGTCTGCAGCTTGGTGGCCCGTATATCACCAGCTCCCATCCCCCATCCATCGCTATGGGATTCATGTCTATGGAACTTCCAACTTCCTCCCGAGGCTCAAGCCATGACTGTCGTCATACCATACACCCTTGATATCAACACCCACTGCAGGTGACACTCACATGTCGGCTCTTTGGCAGCTCTCGTGCTGTTCGTCTTCGCTTCTCGAAGTGCCGGCGGCAACCCGGAGGACTTGTCTCCGTCGCAAAGAAAGAGCCGAGGTTCGCCCTCGCTGGCCGCAACCGGAATAACTTCCTCCGTTGCCGGGAGCCAAGACGTCATGGAACAAATCGGAACAAGGCTTATGTAAGCTCCGGTTTTACCCCTTGCTCATCACGAACTTCGACCAGCTTCTTCGTCGTTTGGCAAGAGAGAAAGATGCTATGATAATGGCACCTCTTCGCAGCCACTTGGGTATGTCAAGCGAAGGGCGGACTTGGGCCTTCAGTGACAATTGTCTCGTTACGGGGCCAAGTTTCCCTCACGCGATACTTTCCACGGACTAAGAATACCCATCCTCACGATTGTTACATACTTAGTAAAACACACGTATAACTGTCAAACGCTCAAGTCAGCCGGCGTGTTTCGGCGATGATCGTCTTTCGGCCGGCTAGCCCGACAGCCTCCCGATCTTCAGGGAAATAAATTGAACGTCACGATGGCGTGCAGGGATCGGTCGGGACGCCCTTCGGCGAACGCAAGACCAGCAATCCTACAACGAGACGCCCATCTTGTGTAGTCTGCATGGAAATGTTTGTAGATTTTTTTTGTTACGTGGACCGCACGGAGACCAATAATTGCTTCCTCTCGAAGGGTTGGCTTTGCTAACCCCCCAATAGAATAGTTACGGGGTAAAATACAATACAGCCAGCATAAGCGCGCATCCTAAAAATAAGCAAAAATAGCAGTTCGTGAACGAAGGAGAAGGCTATTCTCGGCATTAGAAAAAATAACCAAAGAGTCTGGGGTTCATTCCATGGGTTTGGTATGGGACTGCAATAGACAAAGGTTGGTTAAGAAGTCCTCCGTATTCAAAGTTATTGATAAACTAATTAATAATTTCTGGTTCCAAAGTCGATGGGTGTACGCTCAGGTCACACACTTCCTCAGTTGTTCCAAAGACTCTAAGCTTGTTTATGTACTCGCTCCAAAAGTCATCGTCAAGCCTTGGAAGCAGCTTGCCTTCAATTACTTTCTTCTCAATAAGGTTGTCATGCTCAGAGAGACCCATGGAGCTTGCGCCGCTTTCTTCTTCATCCATGTCCAACAGAAGGTCAAATTTGGTAGCATGGCCATACACGAGTTTTTGCTGCATTGCATTTGCTGTCATTTCTTCTTGTTCCTCGGACGGCTCGTCGGGTTCGGTCGAGAGGTCCATCAGGTCGACCTCGGCGGCGTCCCTATTGGCTCGATTGAGAAGTGCCTCTCTTGAACTGCTTGTTTCATAAAGCTGTACTGCTAGTTTAAGAAAAATCTGGGCTGTCATAAGGCTGTCATACCCCGCTTCGTGTATCGGGGTACTGACGGTGTATGCAGAGTGATCCGGGTGGGTTTCTATATTATTTTTGATTCCAACATATCAGTTCCGAGGAGCAGAAAGGCGCAGAGTTAAGGGATAAAGCAAAATACCGAATTTTGGCACCTCCCTTGCACCTAGGTTTTCACAGAGTGTTGACAGGGCTGAGGATGCTTCTCGTAACACTCCCCCAGCAGTTGCCAAGTACTTCGTATCGATGACTAGGGGAAATAGCTCGTTGATTGACTGCTGGAAGTCCTCCACACGACGAGGTAAGTCTCCAATGAAACACTTGTAAAAATTGACAAGGTCTGTGAAAAGGTTATGGCCAACTAAAACAGGTGGCCCTGACTTCAGCTTTTCGCGGAGAGCCTCACTCTCCTTTGTAAGTTTACTTCCTTCGGCCGCCGTGAACATGCCATCGGGCTTCCAGAGGAGTCTCAAGTCAAGCCTTGGAAGATCACTTCCCATCAAAGCTTCGATGACCCAGCTGAGCCCCTTCTGGCTAGCTATATTGCCACGAGTACGCTGGAGTTTCTTTTCAATAAACTTATCCTCCCGCACCTTATCATATGGGAGTATCTGAATGAAAGATTTCTTGCCCAAGCTCACATAGCCAGCGTATTCGCTTCGGACGATTTGATGGACAAGCCGTTTCTGATAATTATCCAGTTCCAAGGGAAGTTTATAAGCACCAGTCATACCAGCGGGCTTTGGGACATTCAAATAGGCGTCCTAACGTCGTAGGTTAGTTTGAAATAGTATATACGTTTGACCTCTCCGAGAGTATTCTTAACACACTTTGGGGCTAGGTTTCTCGATCCACTCCTTTATATCATGCCGGACTTGTCGAATGAACTCTGCCTGATCTGCCGCCAATGTGTCAAAGTTGATTGGGGATATTGATGATTTATCTTGATGTGCTCGATCCATCGCATCCTGCTCCTCTTTCATCGAGATATAGGGAACCCCGTCTGTAAAAATAGATTCTACCCGAAACCCATGGGACATCAAGAAAGCCACAGCTATAAAAAGTACTCAGTATTGTCTAACACCTAGAAGTAAAAAGGGAGAATTGGAACTGACCACTGCTCTGAAAGGACCATTTTCTCTCAACTTCTAGTTTTGGGTCTAGGACTGGGCTCAGAGGGATGTTATATGGCCGCAACGAATAGTTACCTATCACGACTTAGTCCACACAGCCGCATCTCAGAGTTCTCTGTTAAGTGTAGAAGGGGTATATCCAACCATTCTCGCTATCCTCGACCACTAACGTGAGGCCAACCTGGAGGATCTGGTACTCCTCCGCAGCCTGCTTCACCTCTTCATACCGCTTCTGCAGACTCAGGTCACCGTCAGCATAAGCTGAAGCAGGCCGTGTCTTCTGGTTAAAGATACCCGAGAATTCGAAATCGAGGGCAACGAAGGAACAGTCTCCTATATCCTGCAACATCCGTGGCAGAAGCCGGGCAAAGTTATTCCTCGTAACCTCCATGTTTGCCCTACCTCTTCATCTACCAACCAGCAACCCAAGGAACAGAAAAAGAGGAGGACTACTACTGATGTTTGATCAAAGGATATTCACATTCATGTAGTGAGTGAGCTCTAGATATAAAAATAAAACAAACAGACAGCGGCAATAACGAACAGGACGTTTTATACTATCCCGTCCTGCTTCCTTCTGTTTCTTCAGCGTGGCAAGCAGTCAGTAGGAAGTTAGCTAACTAGTGAGTAGTTAGGCTACAGCTCTTCACTACGTCTATAAAGAACTGTCACAGCCCTGGTGTGTACAGAAGATAAAGCGCAAACATCCTGAAACTCCTCTGCTCAACATCAGACGGAAGAAAACAAACTGCTTGTTCAAAATCTTTGAACTAAACAAAAAGTTAAAGAATCTTTGAGCCGCCTTGGGGAACCTTGGAAAAATTGTGGTCTCGTGATCGCTGCATCGACTGAACCGAGGATGTTTCCCTTTTCGGCGAAGCGCAAGCTTTCCTTGACGTTTTGCATACAAGTAGCGACGGCCGAAAAGAACAAGCAACAGGCTGACTTCACCATCTTCATCGCATCCTGACGGGGCCTGCAATTCATATACGAAGGATCCGCTCACTCTTGGTTACTAGAAAGCTTCATCATGGCAGAAGAAGCTCAATCTTACCTCTCTACGTCGACCTCCTCGCCCATGCCCAGCAAGCAGATATCGCAGCTATACAAGCAAGCATCGCAGCTCTTTCTCACTCGCAGGCTCCAGGAGTCGCTCTCGCTACTCGAACCGATCATTACACCGTCGCCCAGCCAGGAAAGTGGCCAACAGAATGGAGAGGGTGTCGCGACCTCACCACCGCTCGCGCCAATTGCAACAGCATCCGCAAACCTGAAGATCAAGATATGGAACCTATATATTACGATTCTAAGTGCCATTGTGGACCTTGGCCCTGAAGAAGGGAGGGCACAGTTTGGCCAGAAGGAATGGAAAGCTATTGCAACCAAAGTTAGAGAAGGCGAAGTTTGGGAAACGGTTGTGAGCATAGGATATCATGGAAGAGAAGGATCTGTGGATGCGGACATCGTCTACAACCTGTACGGCACCTGTTCCATAGTAGACTTACTTCACTATGTTTTACTAACTATGTCTTCTTAGTGCTACCCTCCTTTTGAATCATTCAGCGTCCCAGAAATTAAATCAAGAACGACTTGAAACCTACCTGTCTTCCTACGGCCAGCCAGATCTAGATGTCTCCGCGCATATGGAGCACCTTTCCTCCGGTAAACGAAAGCAACGGATGGCCTCTGCCGCAGGGACAGATACTCCAAAGGATCTGGCAGTGCGGGTCAAGCTACTAGAGATGTTCACCTTACATGTTCTTCCTCGAAATGAGGAATGGGAATATGCCCGAGAGTTTATCAACCTCAGTGAAGCCTTGGACGACGACAGAAAAGAGGCCTTCATCCAAACCTTGGATAATTTGATAGAAGAGAAGGAAAAGGGAGCACAACGGGCCGCCGAGATCCAGCAGGAGAAAGAAGAAGAGCTTGAACGGCAACGGAAACAACGAGAAGATGAAGAAAGGCAACGAGCCGAAGAAGAGAAGAAGAAACAAGAGCGAGAACAGAAACAGAAACAGCAGCAAGAATCATTAGGTGGGAAGTCAACCAGCAACCACGCAAGATCAAGCAGCGAAGTGGACTACGGGATTGAGAAATCCAATCCAAGCTCACCTATGAAATCACGAGTCGTTAAACCAGCTTTGAAGAAAACACAGCCATCGGAACCTTCTTCAGCCAAACAAACAAAAAAGAACACAACAGGGAAGCCCCGGTCACTTGTGCTTGCACGGATGCGGGTACTCGCGAATCTATTAATTACTTTTATGAAGAACTTGTCTCGGTCACTTATTTCGAACCCGCTATCATATTTAAAATCCCTTCTTGTTGTTCTGGGAATCCTCATGGCGTTGGGAAGGACAGACGTTCGAAATCGCATTCGTCAAGTCACAGGAGCTGGCTGGCAGAAAGTTAGGGGTACTATTGGGATGGGCGTTAAGGTCAGCTATATCTAAGGACAGGCTCTACAGCCACGTTATCCAGTTCTTATGTTATTTCACTATTATATATCCTTTCTCATTTTCTTTTGGGGGCTCGGAAATTCGATTGAATTGAATATATATAAGATGATGGGCGCAGCATATACATACATCTACTTTTATACTGTTACAAATCTAGGCTACAGATTTCGAACATACCTAATTTCCCTTTTCTACTCCTACCTACGACCACTTAAATACCCTGAGCCACATAAATAAATGAGTAGAAACGAAGTAAAATTGACCATTTACGCTGTTAAGTATAAAAAGCCGCAACTTAAACACCAGGGGTCCTTTCTAGTGACAGTTATCCAACAAGATAGATAGGTGAAATCATCCTTCCTGCTCCATAAGAGTCTCAGTTAGTTCTTTCATTCTATCAAGATGGGAAATTCAGCCGGAGGTTTTGGAGAGCCTTTAGACATGAAGGAAACTTGTTCTGTGGGACACTAAGCACTAACAACAGATTTCTGGGCCGTTTGGAATGGGCCTTTGGTTCTACACATGGCGTAGAAGGGTGGTATACTAATCCGGCTGGTACTGGGATTCTAGGTCGCTTCTCTTTGCAGCTGGCATGAGGCCGGTCTGGACCTGGATAGGTATAGATAATGCAATGCAAATTCTAAAGAGCAATCTGGTCCTCCCACAAGACGCCGCTAAGGCTGAGATATTCAATCTTTAGCACCTTCATTCTGCTTCCGTTCCGCCTCTAGTATGACATCTGGTATGACCTGGAAAATAGGGGAAAAAGTGTTCTTGGCCATAGATTTTTTACCCTTCGAGTGTACACCTTGAGAAGAAGGTATTTTTACTTATTCTCGCCGTCAAGAGTTATATAATTGCCAAAGTTACCCCTGCTTTGATTATCCGAGGGAAGTATGATGAATGGGCATGGAACCCTCGGAAGTATTTTTTTCAAACCGTCTCCCAGATGTAGTGACGAAGTCCATATCCAGCATTGTCTATAATAAGCTGTTCAAGGCTTACAACGTGATGTAGGATAGAGTATCAGGTACCCGGTATGCCATTTATCATCATTTTAATGATAATCTTTTGCTACGGAGGGCCGAAGCGGCGTGTAGCCTCTCCAACGAGTGGATGGTCAAGCTTTAAATGTGCGCATTTAAGGTAGGTCTGCCGTTGGATCTACCGTATACCATTCCATTAGCTACCATTACTGTATGAATCTAATGGAATTATAGAAATGAAGACGTTGTCTCTCACTCGCCTGGGATTTAATGGGACCAGCGCGTGTCTGTTTGCAGGGTCTATCTAACTGTACACCTTGAAAGAATGAAGGTACCGCTAGCGAAAAAAGACTGCAACTTCTTAAGTTACTCTAGGCACTATTATAATGGTCAAATACTTGTAGGAGTTTAAGCAATTGATGATAAGGTAAGTGCCATGAATTGAAGATGAAGAAAAGAAAACCGAAGTCGATGTTGGAAGTTGAAGAAAAAAGTAGTGGACGAGAGTGTGTCACGTGATAATGGCATTAGCGCGCCAAGCCCTGAATTGCGCTTTGGATAATTTTTCTATCTCAAGCAGAAAAGATGAAGCAAGTAAAGCTCTTTTTGGATAAGGAGGAATAGGAGGCATTGAGCTGCTGCATCGCTACGGATAGGGGAGATGGCGGCAGGCAATAATGGCGCAAGGCAGATAGCCTCGCTTCTCAGTACGTTCACTCTCCTATAAGCTGGTGTTGGCAGGTTGTTAACAGGTCTTAGGATCACATTCAAGGCTGGACTCAAGCGTTTGCCGGAATTGCCAGGAGACTTTGGGCCGTCGAAGCTTTGCTACAGCTACTGCGCCTTCAGAATCAGCTTCGTCGAGCAGCGCCATATCACCGGCCACAGCTTCAGACGCAGTCCAACAATTCCCATATAGGATTAAAGCCGGAATCATTCTCTCGCGTGCACCTCGTCTCACCCGAGACCTCACCCCCTTCGAAAAGTCATTCTACTTCTACCAGCGCCGACTAAATGAGCGTCTCGCTCTTCCTTTCACTCGATACTTTTACTTTAAGCGCGGAACCCCAACGGACGAGGAATGGAAACGCAAATTTAAAGACCGTCAGACACCCGCAAGAGATATTGGAAAATATAACGCCTATTCTGAAACAGCTTGGAACGATGAATTGCTTGTTGGTGCAACCGAGTCTGAACCGCAGAACCAGGTGGAGGCTCTCGTGCGTGATGCAGAAGGATTTTCCCTCTCGGAGTCAGACGGGGACGCGATACATGATGAAGTCCCAAAACCGCTGCCAAGGATCACGGAGGCCGATAAAAGCGGTGATGAAAAGAGCTTAGATCGAGCTTTGCAACGTACACTATACTTGTTGGTTAAGGTCAAACAGGGTTACTGGAAGTTCCCAAGCGTCGTCTTAGATGCGAAGGAAAACGTTCGAACTGTAAGATCCCATTGAACGGAAACAATACTACTATTGGAGACCAAAGAGTGAAGTCTAACTATCAAGTCAATAGGGAGCTGAACGCAGTTTGCTGCAGTCCGCCGGTCCCAACATGAACGTCTGGACCGTAGGCTATCATCCAATTAGCCATTATGTTCAAAACTTTACCAAGCCCATTACCGACCCAGCAACGGGAGCGGAACTCAAGGGCGAGAAAACCTTCTTCCTTAAGGGCAGGATCCTAGCTGGCCAAGCCAACATCACGGAAAACATGCAGGATGTTGTTGACTTCAAGTGGCTCTCCAAGGAAGAAGTTCAGAAGCATGTGATGCTACCATACTGGAGTGCCATTAAGAACGCGCTGCCGGAGAGATAATGCAGTTATTGGGTTTTGATTGTATATTTTCCTCCCATGGCTAGCGGTGCTTCACGTTCAGCATCAATACTTCTATACTTTCCGACCTTTGCTTGCATTTACTGGATAAGGAAGGCGTTGAGCTATCATGCACATTGGCAGCCACCTTTCTTCCCTACACCCGATGTACTTTTAGATATGTAAAAGACTTTCCCTAAATCTGTCAATGCTTATGTTTACTTTATAATATGCATAAAACCTGTTCAAAATCGATACTCCAATTCACCGTAGGGATCATTCAAACACCACCAACTCCTATCCCTCCCGTTTGAGTTACTTGCCCGTGTTTACAAAAGGGATATCAAGATAATTATTTCGAGTTGAATTTTTGACCCTGAACAAGTGGTTGGGCATTTGAATCACCAGCCCCCATTCAGACTCTTGCCGCACATTGCACATACTACACGCGTTCAACGTCAGTCATACCGCCAAAGCCACATTTTGCGGACGTAATCAAATCGTCACGAGTACATATGGCATAAACAGGACTCACGCTGTTTTCGATAACTGCATTTCTGGCAATATTTCCATCCCTGACTCGTTTTCGTGCTGCAGCTCTCACAGGAACTTGAATATGCAGCGTAGGGATTCCGAGCTTTCTTGCTTAAGAGTTTGTTCTATCATGAAGTTAGTATCTCATGCTTGAATTTCATACCATAATACCTGTAGAACAACTTTCAGGTTGAAGAGCAATTGCTAAAAATAAAGGTAACAGTTCTTTTCTAAAAGAAAACGAAGGGTGGAGAAAAGGGGCGAGTGAGGCAACAGACGTAAATGACAAGGCACCTCGCACTCCTTGAAGCAAAAAAAAAAATTCTAACGGCGAGAGGTGTCCTTGAAGGTGCCGCAACCCTGGCGTATATTCGGGAAAAACCGTTGCTTCCCGTGTATATAGACAGGCATTACACGTGGATGCGGTATTGCAAAAAACAATAATGAGATAGAAACAGTAGGTGAAGGAGGTCTGCGTATCAAGCATACCTTTGAGACCCCAGTATTCCCTAAAGTCACTGATGACTTTTTACTATCGCCACCGCGGGTGCCACCGCCGCCAGCGGAAGAGCCCATATGAGACCCATAATACATCTCACTCTTATTCTTAACTGCTGGAGTGACGAGCTCCGTCTTTGCGACCTTCTTCTGGCACTTTGAGCAAACCATTTTTGCCTTTTCGGGTGACGGAAGTGAAGGATTGATTCAACCTCGGCCTCACTCTTTTCGCTATAACGAAATAAGACAACACATCGACAAAGGAAGCAACCGCAGAAGGATAACGAGAGACAAAAATATTTGATGTCGTTGGACGTGATAGACTGCGCCACACTACACGCGAAGCCACTACAGTCACATGAGTGGCTAGTGCCCTGTAGGGCTGACTAGGGCCCGGGTGGCTCGTGCTCAAGCGAGACTTTTCTGACGTCCGATCTTCAACTCTTCCGTTCTTTCGCCCTTTGGTTCTTGGGCATCGCATAGATCGGCGCCCGGCAGTGATTACTTAGGGGCCATTCAACAAGTTAGAAAGCCAATATGAAGGGAGAAACCGAGAGAATATGGACGAACGACTCGGGGACAGCCCTAGCTTCGAGGATAACCTGTATTTTGGACCTTTTACCTATTTTGTCCTAGAGGGAACCTTTTTCGTGATCGACAGATTTCGATTATCAAGGTGCTGACTGAGTATTGAAGATGGATGTGCAAGAGGCCACGCAGTATATTTCGGTGTTTACCGTGCCAGCCACCGAGTTACACCGTATATTCTTCATGTTTCTTCTTTCAATCGCCTTCGGCAGGGATACATGGCACTGCACAGTATTTCACATCACAATCAACTGTAACCATCGGGCACCAGGGGATCCATGACATGGGTTGAAGACAAATTACTCATTTCTCTGATTTATTGAGAAAGCCACAGTTGCTCCGCGGTCTCGGCCTGTGGAGCTAGTTACCTTGAGCAAAGTTAGAGTTGACCTTGGTAACTAGCACTTAAGTGAAAGTAAGTAGTTGCATGGATAATGCATGAGCATTGATCTGTTAGGCCGAGCCAACAAAACCGCAAATTTTGTGCAAATTTACTCGGGAAAGGAGAGCTACTTGTCCAGTATGCCTCATAAAATTGTGGGGGACGTCGAGGAGGGAGGAGGGAGGGAGGGGGGCTTTGGAGGATAGGCGTGTGGCGATATCGTCCGCTGCGATTCCATCTTGAATGGCGTCCGCGCCATGAAAAGGTGCCAAACTGCCTTGACAAGCCCCTTGCCAATGATCAAAAGTACTTTTCATAGGAATTGCGGTGCCTTTTTCCGAGCCCTTGAGACAATGGAATGAGGGAAGGGCGACGAATCAGAGGGTGACAATTCCATCAAATCGGCTTTGAAATTCACTTGGGGCAATACAAAGGAGAGACTAATGGCCTATCTTCCTGGCTATATAATACAGCCTCGTCTGGTTAACGTGGCGTGTTGAAGCAGATCTCTACTCTGAACAAGCACTGGAGACCTTGGCTATCCAGCGGCACGTGTCTGAGAGGTCGCTTTTTCCCCCCCGATTTACTCGGGAATATTGCTTGGAGGAGTCGCAGCCCTTCCGTGTCCAAGCTTAATGCTCCTCCGTTGCAGCCAAATCTCCTTGGTGTGCCACCCGGCATTACCAAAGGTATGGTAAGCTCCATGCATCCTGTCTGAGTGGGGTGAGCATTTACATGTGCGTCAACTCCTTTCCACCCGGCTCCGAGTGGCATTAACCTTTGCTAAGCTTCCTATAAAAATTTGTCAAGGAACAGTGGCAATCTTCTTTATCTGGTATATCGTCTGCTAACCTACCTTCACCTTCAGAACGCCCGGACATCGGCCTGGTGCATTCCTTAACGTAGAAGACGTGGTTATGGGCAGTCTCAAAGCTCTCACGATCCCACCGATTTGGTGGCGCTCTTGTGGAATTTGCATACCAGCTGAGCCAAGACTGCGCACTGAAACCCTCGAGCATGCACGAAGCTCCAGCGCCTTATTTACCCCAAGTCAATCTTAACAAGTTATTTTGCGGTTCTGGTCATGTGCGGATCCTTCCGGGCGTCCTTCGTCTAAGCATAGTATTAAATATCTGCCCGAAGCTTGACAGATCTCGGTCTGCCATTGGTGATTGGAGGAGGCCCGGCTTCCTCCGTACGTGCGGCCCATTTTTATGGTACAAGCTTGCGAAGCGGCGCTGCTGAACATCTTGACAACATGGGAACACCACGCTTGGCCAGATATCTGTTAACTCACCATCTACGAATCATGATCACTGATTTATAGTATGGGGAATGGCATTATTCCAAATACAAGCCCTGATTGACCAATATTGAGGGGTTCATAGCTCCAACCCATAGCTGGTCGGCATCAGCTGTAGCACCCACGCTTGAATTTAGGGCTCCGATGAAATGTAACAAATTTTTGGGTGCAAAGTTGATGCTAAGTTATAAGTACTAGGTCAACTCCAAGACCTTCCTCTACATCCCCAATAGCAGCCTCCTTGTTTCCCTCCGTACTCCGCATACGTTCTGTATCATTCGCCTTTTACCCCGTTACTGAGAGCTTTGCTTTTTATTTTTCTTACTATTTTTTATTATTTTTTCTTTTGGAGCTGCAGAGGCTTTCTTCCCGGCCCTTGTCCTACATATCCTACACGGAACTCCCCTGCCGCATAATCGGGATCTACCTGCCCTCATTTGGGAGTTGGGATATTTCCATAACTATACGTGGTTCCCCTCCCCAAGCGAGAAACCGACCAGTCGGCGTATAGATACTTTTTTTTTTGGGAGGGAAGTGTATGGGAATACACTTGCATATACGGACCTCGCATACCAAAGCCGCCTTCTATGTGGGTCCCAAGTTAAGACCTGATCTGCTGCTGCTTTGTCGAGGTGCGAGAAACGTCTTTTAGCCACAGCATCCGCCTTTGGACCAGGCAAACAAATCCGCCATCGGTGGCTAATAGCTCTCCCTTGTTAGAACATGGATACTCCGTACTCGGACTGACGAACCTTCTTCTCTTAGCTTACTTTCTTTTTATCTCCTTCACGAGATAATGAGGACTATTAATCCCTAGTCTTCTGCTGGTAGTTGGGTTCCCTTGCACCACATTTCTTATTTGTCCTTAATTTGCTATAAGTTGTACGGCTCGCCCAGCTAGAAGGAGCTGACCATCCCAGTGCCCTATTTCATTTTGCCAGGCCAGCCTCGCCAACCCTTTGCCAGTCTCCGAACAATCACGCGACCAGAGGCTGAGGGCTCTCCCCGTTCGAGCGAGTTTTTTATCAGTGCTCCCATTTCCAACTGGTACTTTTAATTTTCAAATATACCATACCTGCGCACCAAACCCAGCCCTCTGCGAAAGCTGTAATCCCTCTCCGATAGTCGCCCGCTGCTAGACTAAGTCAAGGGCACATTGTTGGAAATATAAATCTGGCTGCGGTGAAATAGAGCGGGTATCATACAGCGGACAAAGAGATAGCTGCTCGGACGCAGGCCTACGGTCTCGCTTTTGCCATATCATCCAGCCGAAAGGATCACTTTGAGGGCAGTTTCGAGTATCGAGAACAGGGAACCTTCAACCCCACGGGGTCACTTCGCTTTCTTTTTTTTTTTTCTTTCTTTTATCAGAAGTAACGATGCCTCCGAACCCGTCGACATTCACTGCGCTCAATGTGCCATCCGGCTATACATTGCCAGAGAGCATGGAGTACTTTTCCCTAGCCGCACGCCCGGACACAGACCTTTGGCGCAAGCCACCAGACCGTGAAACCTCCACAGCCCCGATATTATACACATCTCTCCAAAGACCATTTGTCCTTGCAGAAGTAACGGTCACAGCGGACTGGGAAATGGAATGGGACCAGGGTGGATTGGTTATATTTTCAGGCCCTCCTCCGGGACCGCGTTTGATCCAGTAAGGCATAACTGCACTGCTTGGAGAATATGGATACACCTGCTAACCGAATTTATCAGGCCCAATAACGGGAACGAGCTTGTGCCAACCACGATTATAAATCTTGATAATAACAGCAACAACCCAGTCGATACCCAGGAACAGCAACAACCACAACCACAACCGCCTCCGTACCCAGATTTCAATCTGGGGCAAGGTAAATGGGTCAAGGCTGGGCTTGAGTTCTCCGCGGGAACCGTCAATGCGTCGTCGGTCAGCGCCACATCAGATGGAGCAGACTGGTGTCTCTCTCCGTTAGCGCCGCCCAATCAGCCGACAAGTATAACATCGCTGCGAATCAAACTTGAGCGCATCGGGCATTCTCTCTGGGTGTGGTATCAAATCCCCCCATCCTCGTTCTCGACCGAACAGGAATCCAGCCGCAGTCCAGGCTCGGCTGCCCAATCATGGCGGAAATTGCGCGAAGTGACATGGTTTTTCTGGGGAGTAGAAGACAAAAGTGTGCATGTCGGCGTCTATGCCTGTCGACCGGCAAATATCTCGATATCTAACACCATGTGGGCGGCGAGAAACGGCGGACAATACTTTCATGATAATAGTCCGTCGCCCAATTCGCTAGTGGTGGAGTTTGAAGATCTTGAGATATTTTAATTTTTTTGACGGCTTTTCCCCCCTGGTGTCGATTTCTGGGTTATTTTTCTCACTTCTCTCTCTCCATTCTATCACTCCTCGGTTTTTTTTTTTTTTTTTTGCATTTATGTTCATGATGACTTGATGAATGTGTGGGTGTATTGAAGGAGCCCGCGCTAATACTCCGTATATTTTGCTGATTCTCACCTCTAAATTTTCTTCAACTTCCAATATGGAGTAGCTGAAATGGGTTAAACCATTATTGTGGTACAAGGGCGCCCTCGGCTAATTTGAAAGCTATGGTCTTTTTTTTTTAACGCGTGCTGCAGAAAATGAAAAGTAAAGCGGGGGCCCGACAGCTGGAGTCCTCGTACAAAGTTCTCCGTTGGTAATGCAGCCATTTCACCAGTGATCAGCAGCCAGCATGTCGTATTCCGCGATCGATCGCTGGAGTTTGGCCATCCCAGCAACATCTTGACTTGAACCACGAATTTGACCTCCATGTCTTGGCATCCGATTAAGTTTTTCGGAGCGACCCGTCCCGAGATCCGAGCCCAAGGATCCGTTAAAACCCGTCACGTGATATACCCCGGCTGCGAGCTGGGGCCTTTGGGCAGGCATTGTTCGTGAAAGCCCGCCTCAACACCTCAACAAGCTATCAGTTTTTTCGTTATGGCTCCTCAGCGAGCCCTGGTTTTTGGGAGGGCTGGAGATGTTTCTCATTTAGGGCTTGACATAAGGGCAATGGGTATATTTCAAAACTTCTGGTTTATCTCTGCCCCCTGATACCTTACTATTGAGCAGGTGCAGTTCGACTGGGGTAAAAAAAAAAGGTCAGGCTTGTGACCACGAGGAAATGATGGCTGATTCACTTTTGAGTACTCCGTAGGGTGCTGACATGATACCTTCTGTGTTTGAATAAGGGCTTAAGACACCTCTTGGACTTGAGGAAACGGCCCTGCGATGGATGTCCAGATACTGGCATAATGTCATCCAGCCGTACCATCAAGGTATTTTACGCTCACCCACGTAAAGAATATCACCTCCACTGTGCGATAAAGGCTTCAATTGCTGTTAATTTCTGCAAAGCTTGAACATGGCAATATAGCCCCGACACCTTCATTGGCGGCCGGAGTACCCGAGTACCGAACCTTCTATTGACTTGAGATACCAATGGATATGGAGAGAACTTGGGGAGAATGACCTTTCACTAGAAGTCGACGAATGCTGTTTAATCGGGCCATTCTATTATCAAGTACGGATTATACCCATAGGCATAACCTTGAGGGAAAAGCCTATTTTCCGGAACATGGGTATTGTTAGGTTGCTTGGGGAGTTCACCTTGAGGTATAAACGGGAGCCTGTGCTCTGGCCTTTTGTGTCAATACGGGTTAACCCCCCTTTCGGCTTGGGCACACCGAATGCACAGAGCCAAAACGGCACATGCTGTTTTAGTTAACCTTTGCACGCAACATTTCGGCTACCCCCTGACAAGCAAGCAGGCTATGGATCACATCGGGGCCCATTCAAAGACCTTGCGTTCTTAAGCTGGACTACCTATAGCTATGCGAATCTGCTTGACCGGCAATGTCCAGTTTCTGGGTGATGTTCGAGGGAACTGCCTGAGATAACACTATCTCAAGGAAATCGATGTGCTGCTGCGCTGAGGACTCTATACCATGCTTGGAGTTCCGAGACTATCATCTGTGAGGAAACCCCCCAGGACAGAGTCCTCCACGTAGCTCCTCTTCCAGCTTCAAGCTGTATTCTCTCACCGCTATAAGCATAGTTCGGTGGGGCATTCGCAACCGCTTATCATTCTCTGTTTAGGCGCCGAAGAGCCCAAGATTGTCCTTCTTTTGACTAACCGCCCACCTGATGATACACTTCGTACCAAGAGGCCGCAATGATCGATGACTGGGAATACAGCCCACCCCTCCTCCCACTTCCGGGTGTCAATTGTCGATGGCCGGCGCATCTTCGTATCTCTGAGCCTCGGTATGAGCGCGATCTGCTGTTAATCAATTAGCTAAGTGCAGAAAGCAAAAAAAATTAAGTATCAAGTTTTATTTCCTCCCCATAAATATGGGGTCACGTCGGGTCACATGACCCCACCAAATTTGTGGATTGTCTCATTCATCACCAAATTACCGTACGAGATAGACAAACAAGAGGAGCATCAAAGGACAGAAAAGTCAGCATCTTCCTGCCCTTTCCCTCTTTCTTTTTCCTTTCTGACGGCATTAGACGGGGCGTGAGAGTGTCCTCCGTATGTTCCTGCCCAACTTGCATCGCCATGCCTCGTCTCCTGCATGCCTGAGGTGCTGGCGACCTGTCCGGTTAGGCCGCCGATGGGCATCCCCTCGTAGCTGGGTGGCAGACAGCACAAGTCAACAACCGGTGTCGAAATAAAATATGGAGCCTGCTAAGGAAAAGTGAAGGAAAAAGCAAAGAGGCGGTTCAACCCAGCCGTGAGCTGCAGCAAATGAGCTCTGTCAAAAACGCCAGAAAAGCGCAGGGATGCAGCCCATTGTCCACTCTATTTACTGGCGAGCTAACAAGATAGCCGGCTCGTCACTCTGACAACAAGACTGCAGCACTAGCCAGTTCAGGCTCGACGGGGGCATTCTTCTTCCTGCTGGGCCTTTTTGGAGGGAGGAGCAGAAAAATTTGATGACTCCCGCACCCCCTTGAGTAGTTGTGTGCTCCGTAGTTCTGTCGTATAGTTGAATGCTATATTGCTTTTTGGGCTTTGACTCGCTGCGTTTTCCCTTTTTCTTTGCTTATTCTCTGAATGCACGGCAAGCAAGCCCTTTTGCTTAGGATCTTCCTCTTCTGCCTCCAAAACCAATAAACATTGCATCAAGCCCCCCCTGGGAGGAGAGAAAAGAAAGAGTCCTTCTTGCATATCTGCCCATTCCTGCAACTCCCCTCCTCTGTGTGCCCTCCCCTCTAGTTTGTCAAGGGAACGAAATAAGACAGCCATAGCTTCAAAGAGCTTTCTCACGATTTTGATATTTACCCCGAAAAGTTTTCTCTGTTCTTGTTTTTTTGTCTCTTTTCGTTTTTGCCTCTTGATACCCTCGTCGTCTTTGGGGGCATAGTCCTGATATTTCGAGCTTTTTGTCCCGTTTTTCTTCCCTTGTGCTTTGCGTTGTAATAATCCATCTGCAGAAAGCTGTCTCTGTCTTTGTTTTACTGCTGCTCTGTATATCATCATCGTTATCATCGGCTATTTAGCTCGCTTCTCCTCTGCAGGGCTTCGAAACAGTTTTCACGGCCACGACGTTACGAGTTTACGATACTAGAACCACCAATTCAACCACCACCGGCAGCCAACAACAACCAGCGACTGGAAGAGGAAAAACAGCCAACTCTCTAGCCATGACTGAAGCCGTCAAATGCCCCGTCACCATTGCCATCCGTCGACCAAGCAAAACCCCAGCTGTCTTTGTGGCCACCTGCTTTACCGAGCCGGCATGGGAACCCGTGGAGCTCACGCCTGAGCTTGTAAGCTCGAAAGACGCATCGACTACTGAAGATAGCTCTACGCAAGTCGAGGAGTACGAGTTTTCAAAGCAGTTTGAGCTCCCGGAGGGCAGGTTCGAGTATAAGTTCCGTCTTGATACGGATGAGGGCACCTGGTTCTGTGATGAGAACGTCGAGAAAGGTAAGTCAAATTTTCTTTAACTACACACCACAACCCAGCATATCTCCCCACTTTGAGACGCAGGTGACTGATATAATTATGAATGCTTAGTGGTTAACGACGATGGCATTTGCAACAATATCCTTGTTGTAAAACACACTACTCCCGCCTCCACGACCGAAGACTCCCAAACTACCAACGGCACCTCCAATGACACCAAGTTGGAGGAGCCTGTCAAAGAAGGAGAGGATAAGGAGGAAAAAGTCAAAACTGTGGAAGATGCACCGGTAGCCGCCGCTGTTGCCGACAAGTCTGACGATAAAGAAACTCCTATCGAGGTGGTGGAAAAAACTGCTCCAGAAGAGGAGAAAAAGCCTGACAACCCTGACGATTCTGTGGAATGTCCCGAAGCCTCAGTATCAAAAGAAAACACCTCCGAGGAAAAGGGTGACCAGACAGTGACCAAGGAGGATGAAACTGTGGCAGTTGATACCGTTAAGACGGAACAGGAGCAATCTTCTGCTAAGCCTGAGGATGCAGTGCCTGAGTCTACAACCAAGGAGCTCCCAGAAGAGCCCAAGGAACCAGAGCCACAAGTAGAAGCTTCTAATATCAGTCCAGAAGCAAAGGAGGAGAAGCTCGCTGAGAAAGCCGAAGCAATCGAAACAACTGGCCCAATTGAATCTTCTAAGGAAGACACCACTGATAATGTTGAAACACCCCTTGTCACTGAGTCAGAACCCACCACTGAGGATCCCAAGAAAGGATGTCACTGAAGAGCCAAAGTCTGCTCAGCGAGACAGAGAGTGCCCCCAAAGATGAAGTTGCGCCTGAGGCTCCAGCTACCGAGGCAGCTGAAGGAGCCAACCAAAGAGGAGCCAACCAAAGAGGAGCCAACCAAAGAGGAATCCTCACCAGAGGCTCCCAAGGAAGAAGCTACCCCTACTCCTGCCGAAGAGCCGGTTATTGAGAAGCCAGACGCCTTAGCTGAAGAACCAACTGTTTCTGAGGAGAAAGCCAAGGACGAACCAGCGACTGAGCCAGAGGAACCTTCGGTGAAGGCCAAAGAAGCTCCTTCAGAGGAGGTAGCTGAAGTTACTTCAGCACCTAAGGTTGAAGAAGAAGAAGCAGCCCCAGAGACTGTAGAGGAAGATTCCCTTGTTACCAAAGAAGAACCGGTTTCCGCTGAGGCAGAGAACGTGGAGTTACCTCAAGAAGAAAAAGTTTCAGATAATGCCGCAGATCCTGTTGCCACAGAAGACAAAATCAAGGAAGAATCGATAGCTGAGCCTGAACCAGTTCAGGAAGCTGTGAAAGAGGAATCTCCTGCTGACGCTGAAATAGGCGCCGTACCCGAGGCAAAGGCTCCTGCTGATGAGCCCAATGAACCCGTGGTAACTGAGGAGGTTGCCAGTAAAGATGTTTCCCCCGATGACGTCCCTGAACCAGCCCCCGAAAAGCCTGCGGTTGCTTCTACCGAAGAGCCAGAACCTACTTCTGAAGAGGCAAAAACAGTTGCCCCAGAGCCAGAAGCACCGGCCTTGGTTGAGTCAAAAGACGTTGCAGGTGCAACCGAAAGCTCGACAGTTAACGAACCCGAGGCACAGGAAGCACCTGTAACTGCTGAAGCTGACGTGACTCCCGCTGCCGCCGAAGAAACCATCTCCGCTAAAGATGATGATCTACCTTCCACAGAGGAGCTGGAGCCGGAGAAAGCTGTTGAAGCTCCAAAAGACGAGGCAGTACCGGATGCGCCGAAAGAAGAAACTACTATCGAGAAGAGCGAAGATACCACTGAAGATGCGAACAAAGATGTCGTCCTTCCAGCTCCAACATCCGAGGAAACCAAGGATGAAGCTACCGGAAAGGAGACTGAACCTACTCCAGAGGCTGTAGCTACTGACACGGCTGAGGATGTTGCCAAGGTTGTTGATGAACCCAGTAAGGAAGTCGATGCTGCTGACAAGGAACCTGAGAAGGATGCCTTGAAGCCATCAGAGGCCTTGAAGCCAACCGAGGCTGATGTCCCAGTGGAGGAGGAGCCCGAAACTGAGAAGAAGGTAGTGGAAGATTCGGCCCCGGAGGCGCCCAAAGACGAACTCAAGGAGGAGTCCCAGGAACCTATCCCAGAACCGGCCTCTGAAGTGGCTGTTGCAGTTGACGAGGCTCCAGGAAAAGAAAACCCTGATGCTTCCATCGAGGAGGTAAAGGAGTCGCCTGCTGATACTTCTGCGCCAGCTGATTCCACAGGTCCAGCGGTCGAGAGCGAAGATACTGCCTCAGAGAGCAAGGGCACCCCTGAGCAACAGTCTGAAGTCAAGGAGGATTCCCAGCCCGCTGAAGAGGCTCCTTCCAAGACGGAGGAGGATGTGACTAAAGAGACCACCGAGGTACCTGTTGTTGCTAACCTCGCAGGTATCGAATCGCTTGAGAATGTCAAGTCCCAAGCTGACCCGGAGCCTTCAGAAGAGGTGGCAGGCGAAATACCTCAGGATAGTACTCCTGCTCCGGAGCCCCCGGTAGAAAGTGATGCTCCAGTCTCTAAAGAGTTGAATGAGCCTGCTGTCGAGGAGCCCACACCCGTGGCCAAAGCATCGGAGATGACTACCCAGAAGGACTCTGAAGGTGGCGATTCCAAAGAAGCGGTAAACACCAGTGCCCCAGAAAAGGAGGCTGAAACTACCTGCGAACAACCGGAGAAGCTGGAGGAACAAAAGGTTACCGAGCCAGAGCCTGCCGCTACCAGTGACGAGGCGCCGATTCCCACTCCCACCGAAACTGAGAATAAGGACGCCGATCTTCCCAGCAAGGATGAAGTGATTGTTGCTGCCGAATCATCGACGAGTCAAGTAGTGGACGAGCCTTCTGACAAGCCGGCTGCTGTAGTTTCGGAAGGGCCTGGAGAGCCCGATGTTAGCCAAGAATCTGAGGAAGTTCATGCTGAGCCTGCCGTTGTCCAGGACGATAGCAAAGAAGTCAATGCTCAATCTCAAGGTGAAACAGCTGCTGTAGATGCACCAATTGATGTGTCTGAAGAGAAAAAGCAAGACACCGAAGCTGCTGACGCCGCTGTCAATGTTGAAGAGCCCCCTAAGGAAATTCAGGATGACGTCACTGCACCCGAGGAAGAACTTAAATCCGAACTGGAAAAGAGCTCGGACCATGTTGCCAAAGTTGACGACAAGCAAGCGGAGGAAGTCGTTGAAGAGGCACCCGTTGCTGTGGAAGCAGTAGCTGAGGCGGAGCCCGCGCCAGAAACTCAAGATGCTGTTGCAGTTGCAACAGAGCCAGCTGCGGACGAGACCCCTGCGCTGGAACCCGAGACTACTGGGGACGAAGCTTCTAAGCCCGAGACTATTGAGGAGGCTACCACTGAAGTGAAGGAAGCCTTACCAGAGTCTACTGAAGCTGCTGTTGCTCCACAGGAAGCTGAACAACCCGAATCTTCTACTTTGGCTGTTACAGATACCCCTGCTATCTCCCCAGAGGTTTCTAAAGATACCGAGGAACATAACAGCACCCCAACTGGTGAGGAGGCTACCGATATACCTGCATCAACTGAGGTTGTAACAGATGATCACAAAGAACAGACAACTTTGCCCGAAAGTGTGCCCGAGCCTACTGCTGATGCGGTAGAGGGATCCACCGACAAGGCAGCACAATCTGTTACTAACAATGAATCTGAAGTGACTACCGATAAGAGCGAGGTCACTAAGGAAGTTGAACAGCCTACTGAAACCACAACTCAAATAGGTGAAAGTGAACCTAAAACAGACTTGCCTAATGTTTCAGCAGAGTCTATCCAGGAAGCTGGTTTACAAGGGAAGCTTCAATCAACTGAAGATACACCCGACTTTGTGACGGATAATGATAAGGCTGAAACGGATCAGGACAAAGAACCTGCCGTCAACAAGAGTGAAGAGCACGAGGATACCCCTAAAACTAATGGTGGTACAATAGCTGCTGTTCTCGGAGCTGCTGCTGTGATTCCCGGAGCCGCTTTCTTAGCGAAGAAAGCCCTTGAATCCAGAGAAACTACTGACAAGAAATCTACTTCTGACGATACTGCTAGCGCTACTGAACAGCTTGTCACGAAGAAAGACGTTGCTGATAACTCAGAACATGTCAACGGTGTCACTGTCCAGGATACATCCAAGCCCGTCGCAAGTGGCGAGTCCTCCAAGGATACTAAAACCGATCCTGTGCTAGAAGAGCCTGCTACCACCGAACCTACCTCTAAAGCAGACACAATAGAAGAAAGTGACAAGGGTGTTTCAGTAGAGAATACATCTGGCCCGGAATCACAAGTCAAGGAATCTGCTGGGAAAGATGATACGCAAGCGACTGTCAATGGTAAAACTGTTACCGACGAGGAATCCAACAAGGCTACACCTGAGGCCTCCAAACCCGCAGGGGAGCCAAGTTCTAGCGCCACTGCTGCTGCTGACGCCGACGCTTCCGCTGTTGTGGCCACGACCAACGGAACCAAAACCAACGGAACCAAAACCAACGGCACGAAAACCAACGGTACTTCGGAAGAGACTCGTCCTCAAACTGGCAATAAATCTGTTAGTTCATTCACAGCCCAGCGCAGGGACAACTTCCTCAAAGCTTTATGGCGTGCTATTTTCGTCAACTTTTTTGGAAGCCTCTTTGGATTCCGTCGCCGTGACACCACCGTTTAATTACCTCATATTTTGAGCCTCCATTCCTACATACCCTCACCTATTTACTGAACAAGTAGGCATTTCCAATATATTGCAGTGGCCTATTAGTTGCTGTAATAGTTGTTTGATATGGCCTCCTAATTTTGAGAATTTTTGTTATATTTCCTTTTGTTACTTTTCTTTGTATGTGTTTCATATGTACTCCCAGAATTGCCCCATGATATCCCCCCTTGTTAATGAATCCTGTGATGACTATTTCTGTGATGTATGAATTTGGATTTTCAACTCTTCTTGACCCTCGAAGAATGGTGAATATCTACTTTAGCCAAATTAAGAACTATTTATGATACTGCTATCTCCCTTGTTTATAGAACAGAATGTTCTATATACTTACTTTTTAACCTTGTGCTTATGAACCTGCCTTCTTACCTTCCAATATGATACCCTAAACAAAATACTTTGGCCCCAAATTTTTCGAAGGTCGTGGCTGTCCTTCAGTTTTATTGTTGGTTTTGAGATCAATAGAGGAATAGGTGACTGGTACTTCGCCTTATTTATTCAAATGGCAAACATGGCAACCAGTATTCTATGGATTAAGGAGGACATGCAGTGAGGCTAGGACGAATATACTAGGTACTCTTTATGCCTCTTTCCCCTTGTTATCAAGAGTTATTTGGCTTCTGGTTACCAGCTCACTAGCGCCATAGAAAGCAGGACATATTCGGTAGTATGTCCTTTTTTTCAAAGCCCCACAATATAAATATTCTACAGGACCAACCTCACCTAATTTTCTCTTGAAATATCCAATCTACAAACGCTTCAGATATCAGTTACTGTCTTCTCGGCTACTTGCAGCATCTATCTGCCTGTCTTCTTTCTCTTATCCTGGAGCACTCTTTTATATTTATACTGCTTACTATCAAGCTGTTTGTTTCTTAAATAATTCTACAATGGAAGGAAAAGACTGCCACCAGCCTCCGTCAGCACCGCTAGATTTACAAAGTCCTGGCCCTGCCTTGGTTCGTCTCCCTGCACTAGCAAGCTATTCCTTCCACCAGGGTAGCCTTACTGGTAAGTGAACACAATGAGGAGGAGAAGATGGGTTAAAATACCAAACCTATCTTGATCTAGAGGCCATACCCCTAGTATGAAGGCATAAAAGCAATACCTTTTGAAAGACTATTTATATTTCGCTTGTTCCTTAGTTATGCTACTTAGAACAAAGTGATGAATTCTGTGTTAACCTATGCCCTTATCTAGCTCCGGAACTTCCTAGTTTTGGCCGTCATAGACAAGCTAGAAAGATAGGTGAAAGGAGGTTCCAGACTCCTGTTATCTTCCCGCCAAATAGTGAGACAGGAGTCCAGCCAGCCAACTATCCTAGTATGTTGATAACAAACTCCCACAAAGAGGAAACTGAGACAGTGATTTCTAATATATTTATCTGCCAATGTAGCAGCTAGCCCCAGATTCAATCCCGAGGAACTAGGTACTTATTCTTCACCTGAGCCTGAATCTATATTTCTTCCTACCTCAGTCAAATCAGCAGAAGCAAAGGGCTTCAGCCCACCCTTTGATGCACCTTGTATGTCGAAACATCCCTTGATTCCTGCTATGCTAGAGCATGGAACTTCCCTCTGCTCTATTCTATGCACATATATTGATTGCCCTCTCAGCCGTTTTGGCAATCCAGAAGACCCGTCTGCCAAATCTATCCCATTCTCAAAGAACTGTATTTCCCCAGTGGCCTTTGCATGGGACAAGATCAAGGTACGCAACAGCACCACCTAGAGCTCATATCCACCCCCTATCCCCTGCCCCAGTTACCCAAAAGCCTATCAAGAAGAGGTATAGGGAGGTATCGAGAGAGCGGCCAGCCATCCTTACCAAGCTTATGGATCAGTTCAATGTGAGAGACTGGTCAAGGCCAGAGACTCATCCAGAAGTGACAAATGACAAGGATAGGAATGGCACCGGAGCTACCGTGGAGTGTTCTGCGCCCAGTTCCTCACAGCAAATCTACAGCGAGGTGAATATTTACTATCCTAGACTAAAGGATAGTGACTCTAGCTGTGTCCCTCCAAAATCTGCGCCCCTCGTGAATCCAGCAGTCGATAACATGCAAAAACTATATCAAGCGCTGCCACTTTCAACGAAACGAGAAAGACAACCAGGTTTGCGAAAGGTATCATCGGCTCCAGATTTTTTGGCGCCGGAGATGGATACTAAGGACGTATCTGGACACCTGAACGGCGATGCCCGTCGCCAGTCAAATTTCGAGGGCATTATATTGGGTGGGCCGCTACTTATAGCCACCCGACGGGGCTCTCATTTCACAGATAAAAGCTCTGAGCACGTTCAGGTGTCCGTTATTCCTAGTATCCATGGGACATGTGAAGGAACTGTGGCGCCAGGGCTGCCGCCAACGATGCCAACTGAGCCCGCAGCAACTCACACTCACAACGGTGATGTGATAAATGCCCGTTTCGAACAGATCTCAATGGCACAAGCAGCCAACACTGATGCCATTTTGAGAAGCCTGCAAGGGCTAACGAACGAAATCAGGGCCCTGCGAGTGGAGGTGAGAGCAAATACTAACCACCTCCATCAGCTCAGTGGCAGAGTTGCCGCCGTCGAAGCGAGGTTGGGTGGCCAAATACAACAACCTGGGGGTTGGCCTTTGACAGGATATCAAGAGCCTGTCAATATGCCGCGACGCAATTCTAGCAGCAGCCAGCCCCCAGCCAAGCACCCAAACCATCGTGGCAGCAAACCCCATAGCAGCGGGCATGTTCGCGATGTCCAGTATGGTGATACAAATCGACGGCGTGTTCCCAGCCAACAACAGCACGCCGGGCAGTCACCACACCTAGACACGACGCTGAACCCACTGCACTCGCCAACCGAACCGCTGGCGTCTATATCAACACTTCAGGGATCCCAGGGGGTGCCACGAAATCGAAAATCTGGCCGTCCTCGACGAGATGCAAGCTTCAACAATGGCGAATGGGGTGGAACTTCAAACTGGTATCGAAAGTCCTATGTAGACAATAAGGGGAATTGAACGACGTTGTACCAACTTGCTGCCTCGTTTGTTCAATCAAAGAAGTTTCTGTAGTCATATTCTATAACTTTGCTACTTAAATATCGGATCAATTTGGTTGGCGAATTAAAATAGATAAGCAAAGCTTCAACAAACTTCATTGTTTCCATATCCAAGAGCTAAATAACTAATTGTTTAGTGTGATAACTATTATTCATGCGTGTCTAGGGCGTTTCAAGGCGACGGCACCAACAGGGCATGCGTTGGTCATCCTTGCAATTCTGCAGCGATTTAACATGTGAACTGGGTGTAAAGTGTCAAATATTCCAGTTGCATCTCAACGACTCCCGACCATCACTATTTGACTCAGTATCTCATTCCATGAAATCCAATACAACGGACTACATACTGCGACCAAGAGGAGTTATTAATGAGTTAGTCTTGGAATGTCCTTTGATTCTTCATGCAAAAATTTATTTTACAGCTGATATGGCTTTTTCAATGTCCTTTGCGGCATCCCGAACCTGGGGGCAATAGTGTAGTCGTAACAATTCTCCCTCCCATACAGTTGCGGCGAAGACATTGCTCCTTTCCACATCATCAGCATTAGGGTCATATACTCCATCACCTTTCCGTTCTTCCGTATTCCAAAGTGGTGCTATTTTTCGTCCATGTAGCTTCGCAGCACGAGTAAGAAGCGACAGGACTGCTAATGCCGATTTTTCTGGCAGTTGGAGCGCCGCGGACATGAGCCGCTTGGTAAACCCTGCTATACGAATGGGGGGTGGAGCTTTGTTGGCCTTTGCAGTTAATATAGATTGGAGACACCGGATAAGGAGCACAGTAGGGGTCTGAAAGTCGACTTTCTTTGCCAAATTTGTACTGTCTAAGGCCAAATTGGTGTCCTTTTGACTGTCATTGTAAGGATTTGGATCCGGTAGACGGAGTGACTTGCTGGGGTGGAACTCAATATCTGGATTTATGGACAGGGTGTGTAGGGACTGATAAATGCTCCCTATGAAGAAACTTAGGTCCAAGTGGAGAGAAGAGGCTGCTTTGCTGGCATCTTGGCCCTCAAGCAGTGCAAATGCAGTCGTTGAACATAGCAGGGCATCTCGAGTAGCGTTTCGAGTTTCCTTTATGCTCAACCGCCCTTCGTCGTCCTCGTCGTCCTCATCGCTACCAGCCTCATTTTCCTGACTCAGGCTGGAGCTAGCATATCGCGAGATCAAGTCTCTAAGAACTTCTAGCAAGTCTCCAAAAAAATCTTGGTTAATAAGATGGGAGAATTTGGCAAGCCCCTCTAGAACAGCCCCCACAAGTTCAGGGTTGCGTGTTTTGAGTGTGCGGAAATACGTAGTGAATACAAGCTTCAACGTCTCTGCTTGCATTTTATCCCGATGCTCATGGCTTACCAGAGCATCGGCCTCCTTCATATCCTTTTCGACAACTTTTCTCTCTTTCATCAACTTTCGCTCCTTTTTGGTTCGAAACTCTCGCTTTTGCTTTGGCTTCTTCCCATGATTGGTCTCGTCTGCATCGTCCTTATCAATTGCGTCCTTAGAGCCTTTTGACGAGAATTCTGAAAGCAGGCGTAAATGAAGGAAGGTATCTAGGACACTTGGGCGGATCCTAAATTCCTTCGCTTTGATGGTCTTTGCCAGCAAAGTAACAGCTTCCAGCGAGATTGTGCCATCGTCGTCCTTGGAAAATATCTCTTCCATAGTATCGCGACACTTCACAAAATCTGCGTCTATCTGTCGGCGCCCCAGCTGTCCAACCAGAATCTTCAGCAATTCCCCACGGAAATTGAAATGCGGTACAGAAGTCAGCAAACTGCAAGCACAATTGATGGACAGGCTCTTCAAGCCAGAGCTATGTGCTTCACTCCCCTGTTTCGCTCGAGAAAGCGTAGCCAGCTGTTGTACATATTCTCGATAGCCGGAAAGAAGCGACTGTTCAAAGGCACGAAGCTGCTTCACTTCCTTAGAGACCTTTGCTGTCAGCTCCTCTCCCTCCAATGGCCGTATCCTATAGCCAGGTATAACGTCCTTGTAAACGGCGGCCTGTGTGGCCAGAGCAAGTTTCTTCACCGCCGGGAGTGACGCAGATGCTGTCATCTCCGTTAGCTTCTTAAAAAGCTCCATATGCTCTTCAGGCTCTTCATTTATTAGTGATGCGATCCGCGCCAGGGCTTCCTTTGCTTCTAATATTTGAATCTTTGGAAGCACCGACGACTCTGGCGCGGGAACTGTTTGAATCGTTGTAGCAGGTTCGCCGTCCTCTGCTTCGGATGAGAAAATGTCACCCTCTGAGCTTCCCTCCGGGGCCACATCTTCCTCCAAGTGCTCTAAAGTGCCTTCCTGCGTCTTTATCGGTAGTCGGGTCTTTTCCTTGTCCTTCTTCGTCTTCCGTGGTCGTTGCTCGTAGTCCTGTTCGAGATCCCATTGCGCAGCCTGACTGTAGAATTTGCTTTTCAAATGCGATGAGTCGTCCGACGGGCTCAGCCGCCTCCTCTTTACGGAGACACCAGCTGCCATAATGTGTGATTAAAAGTTCGCCTTAGTATTTCTTCAATTGCTGCTCTTGATGCGCTCTCTTCAAAAGTAAATAAAATTTCCTACCACAAAAAAAAAAAATTGCCAAGATTTCTCAACTCTAAAATTTTCGTATCGATAAAGGAAATCTTGCGCCAGCAAAGAAGATATTGACAGCTGCCAAACAGCAACAATTGGAGCCATACTAGGAAAGAAAAGGCTCGAGGAAATTTATTTGAGTCGGAAGCGAACGAATATCAAACCATGCGTCCGCTCACGGAGTCCGAGACTCAAACACTCTTCACAAAGCTGGCAAACTATACGGGCCGCTCATTAAACCATCTCATCGCACCTCCCACCTCGTCTGGCGACGAGTCTGCGGATGATCGATATGTCTTCAGACTACATGGCTCTAGAGTCTACTACCTCCGACTCTCAGTGGCGAACCTTGCTACGTCGATTGCGAGACCGAACCTGTTGTCGATAGGAACCTGTCTTGGTAAATTCACAAAGACTGGAAAATTCAGATTGCACATCACGGCGCTGGACGTGATAGCACCTCATGCCAGATATAAGTTATGGATCAAGCCCAATGGAGAGATGCCATTTCTGTATGGTGGAAATATTGTGAAAGCGCACGTCGGTAGATGGAGTGAAGATTGCCCGGAGCATCAAGGAGTTGTTGTGCTGTCAATGGACGATACCCCCCTTGTAAGTTTAATATATGCACGCCCACATTCGTTTATACGCTCCTGGAACGTATATAAGTCGAATATACACGGTAGGACGTGCTAACCTGTCATTCTCATATAGGGCTTCGGGGTAACTGCTCGCTCAACGATGGAAGCCAGAAAGCTTGATCCAACTGGGGTGGTAGCATTTAGGCAAGGAGATATAGGGGAATATCTGAGAGAGGTGAGGTTTTACTCCTGCAACTATTGTATCAATGGCACTTACTAACACTATCATTCAGGAGGATACCCTTTTCACCACATAACCGACACTTCAATTTTTTTCCTTTTGCAGATAAATATCGGCACTGGTGTTTTCGCGCTACCGGAGTTCTATCGTGATATACGACTTGTACTTTTAAAAGTGAATTGTCTGTTAGAAGAGTTTTCCTGGTAACTTTGAGATATAGTTATATATTTATGACTCTTCAAGTAGTGATGCTACCAAGACTAAGCAGCAGCTCTTCGCCTTGCACCCGTTATCTTCAAACCCTTAATCGCCTCGCCATCTATATCCCCTTACTATTGTTATTATTACCATTTCATGGCCCAGCCCCTTCTATTTTTTATACAAGCTTGGTCCACGCTTCTATTGTACCTTCCTTTCTGAGAAATCTTTATGTAATCAACTTAAGCTTCTTCTCACCTCAAAATAGAGTCACGTGTCACCTTTCCTTGGGCATCTTTAATGTCCGTGCGTTTCTTCTTTCTCTTTCTCTCTTTTGTACTTCATAATAAACAAAATCAGCATAGAAGAAATAAGGAAACGAAAAGAAGCGAAGGAAGAAGAAGACAAAGCAGAAGAAACGCGACTCAGGGATTAAGCTAGTTATTCCGCGCGATCACAGCCCCTATCCATTTCGAAAGGGATCTTACCATTCCCCCTCTGATACCCGCAAGCCATGCCTCTAAGCTCAAGCCAGAAAAGCGTAATAACGCAGTTTGTGAGCGTTACTGGAGCAAAAGAGAGCGTTGCTACAAAGGTACCGCGCCGGCCAGTTTACCCTGCATGCATATTTTTGGGCATAACCTCAAATCAAGAGACTCCAAGGCCTGCTCTATGTTTTATGCTCTATATTGGTTATAACTGACTGTAGACGAATGTCATCAGTGTCTCAAAGCAAACGCCTGGAAAGTAGATCAAGCTATTGATGAGTATGTCTCCTTGCGGTTTCATCCCCTCGAAATTTACTATTATTCTATCATTTTATTTCCTTTTTATTCCTGTTGCCCCTCAACTACCCCTCCACCGTTAAGGATCTATACCGGATTGTTATGCTCGGTATTTAGGCGTATCATAGGTACCCTCCATAGGAGTTGAGGAGGATGTCTCCTTGTTGCAAACAGCTAGCAGATTTTACGAGCCTTTTCAGTTGCTGCAGAACCTATACCAATATTATGAGCGGCGGGGAACTATCTGAAGTGCCATACCTACCAATAAATCACATCGCTCTCCCCATATTTACTATCATTTATATAACAACGGTATTGCCGCTCAACTATACTCCATGCTAACCAATAGTGTGAAATGTAGTTACTTTCAAAACGGACAATCGGGCGCAGCGCAGGAGAGAACCGCCGCAGTGAACAAGATATTCGACAAGTATCGAGGTAATGCTGTTATCCATCGATTTGTTCTCTCGAAGCACTAATGGAGTTATTAGATGACCCTGACAGTCCCGATGAAATTGGGATCAACGGGGCTATGAAATACTTTGGTGACCTTCAGGTTAGGTTGGATGAGGTTGCCTGTCTTGCTGTGGCCGAACTATTACGTTCCCCATCCATGGGAGAATTCACTCGAGAAGGTTTTGTCGATGGATGGAAAATAACCACAGAGTCCGTCTCCCCCCAAACCAGTGTGCCCAGTTTTCGCATAACTCATGATTTTATAGGTGTGATACCATTCAAAAACAAGCCGCTTATGCCGATGGACTGCGCAAGTTGTTACAGGATGACCCAAATTACTTCCGACGAGTATATCGCTATACTTTCTTACTATGCCGAATGCAAGGCCAGCGCAACGTTAACATAGAACTTGCCGTTGAGCAGTGGCAGCTTTTCTTCACCTCGGAGAATGGTGGCGTTGCATGGGAAACTAAGTCTGTGCCATGGCTTAAATGGTGGATTGAGTTTATTGAAACTAAGCATAAGCGCCCGATCAATAAGGATTTGTGGGAGCAAACTGAGGTTTTGATGCGCAAGACTATGGAGGACGAGTCCATGGATTGGTGGAGCTCGGATGCCGCGTGGCCAGGGGCTATCGACGATTTCGTCGCCTTTGTTAAAGAGAAGCAGGGGTGACGGCAATGCAGCAATGATGTGATTCACATCAACTTAAACATATATCATTTCCTTTCCCGTTTATTTCCAACCTTCGTGCTGCTCTATTCATTTTTCGATAGAGCAATGCTAGTGCAAGCATTGTTATTTGCTTTAAATTGGCAGGCATGAAATTGCATTTCATAGAATCGCTCGCTAAAGTTCACTTTATGAATCAGTTCTCAAAATAAACGCACCCGTAAAGTAAAAAGTAACTTTCCCTCGTACTCAGAAACTTGGAAATCGCTTTGCTTGGATAAAACAGAAAAATAATAATAAATCAAATGCCATAAATAAAACCGAAGCAAACAATTTCCCCTAGTCTCTCACCAAAGGTTGTGTCACATACTCCATGCATTTGCAAACAAACGTGCCCAAAACCTTTTCTGTTCTCCCTCATCTAAAACGATGGTGAGTGGGAACCGGTATAAAGTTGATAGGACTGCATGCGGCATGTGGGCTTGGTGAGAATACTAAGGGGGTAGTAACATTCAAACAATGTTGCGGAACAGGTGTTTGTCTATGTAAGTTCGACTCATTAAAACCAGGTACACAGAAAAAGCAAGGACATTGCGAACAGGAAATATCTGAATCTTGATCTTCCTGCCGCTGTTGGTGGTGGTGGTGGTTATGGTGGTGATTCTGTTGTTTGATATGAAAAGGGCAATGCTCGGATCTGCAATCACTGCTCGCTTGCTCACTTGAGTCTTCCTCTATATTGGGCCCAGGAGCGGGATTCTGTGCGGAGGCAGCGGCTGTTTCGTAAAGCTTTGACATCTGAGGGTGTACTTGACGTAGTAGTTCCAACTCCTCAGGGGATAGAGGTCCATTATTGAGCGGATCGCCTGTGTTGTTACCTGCAGCTTGCCCGGCTGTTCGACTCGCTTCATTGAATGCATTGATACACGCTGATGCCTTTTCCAAGACTAGGCTTTCGCATGCAGTTGAGTAGTCCATATTGAACAAGCCGTTTTCCTTCCGTAGCTTTGCAAGACCCTCTCTCCACTGGCCGGTTTGCAGGACGTCTATGTTTGTGAATCCTCGCTCTGTACCACCCTTGGGAAGGAACTCCAGTACCCATCTTCGCAGTCTGTCTCTGTCGTCGTCGTTTCTGGTTGGGTTGTTGTATATCTCCTGAAGGATTGATATTGGATTGGCATGTGTTTCGCTTAGAGAGTGCATTCTTTCCATGGCACTATCTCTTAGGTCCGAGAAATCTAACATGCTTGCTAGGCTGAACATCCTAATATCGGTGGCTAGGAAATTCTCGACTTCAGGAATATATGTTAGTATCACTGGTGGTCCTTCGGCGTTTCTCGCTGTGATATAAGGGGAGGTAATCTTGACCAGCTCCGGAGGATAGTCACCATTTAGGAGGTATGAATAAAGAGCACAGAATATCTGGTGGGATGGGGCGGGTATGTTTAAGAAGTTGACTTCTTCTGATAGCTTGGAAGCTAGTGAGCAATCCTTCCTTAGGTCTGAGCGTAGGAACGGGGCAGCGTAGTTTTTATAATGCAGTTCAATATAGTCCTTTGGCTGGTATGGATATTGGGTCCGCAAAACAGGTGTGAAGCTCTGTTGCCCAATGTCAACGACATGGATATAGTGTGATTTCGGACTAGATCGTTCAATATTAGTACATGTATTTATAAATGAGTTTCAACCCCAACTTACTACGGATCACCGAGATCTGACTTCCCATCATGTCCACCGTTCAAGTTTATCTCATTCAAGGTCAAGGTATGATCACGGCATGTTTTCCTATCCAGAAAATCCGTCGATTGGAAGGTACAGCATTTACCCGGTTCAGCCAAGTGAGCCACGGTCCTTTCTACACGACAAAGCTGACGCTGATCTTTCGGGTGACGCCGGGCACGATTGAAAAGAAACAAGTTCGGCATCCGCTTAAACCCCTGAGGCTGAAAGACGTCCATGATCTTATACAACAGGGTGCTGTAAGCTAGATCATGGCCGAGATTCTGTCTTTCCGAACGATTCTTACCCACACCAGGCGGTCCACAGCAAGCAAGGAAGTAAGCGTGCGCCATATGATGTATCAAAACGGATATGATTCCTTCGGCAGAAACATCTTTAAGAAGGGCATGTTGGAGATCGATTGTGATTCTCGTATCCCTTGAGCCTGGCTTGCTGGTCAGCCCGTGAACGGCGGAGGGTAGGATCTTGGACCAGCGGAGATAGACTTGGTCTTTAAGCACGCCGCGAAAAAGGTGTGAGTCGAGAGTGTTGAATAGTCTGAAGGGGAGGTATTTGTATCCATGAGAAGGACAACGAGGCGTTTCTAGATGTGGAGGCTGGAAACATTCAAGGGCATCAAGGGCTAATTTTGTAGCTAGAACTTCGCTGATTCCTAGGTTTGAGAGGGAAAATGCCTTTAACGCTCGTAAACCGCAGCCGGACTTTTCCTCAGGGGCTTCGGGATAGTCGCGACATATGCACTTTGAATGTGGAGACATGGTATATACCACGGCAATGGGAGTATGTGGTAAGCAATGGAAATATTGATGGGTCTAGCTGCCGTAGATGGAGATAGAAATGCGAGGCTGGCTGTTTAAATAGTATGGCTTCTGTATTGTAGCGGAAGTAGCATCACCGGTTAATGCTAATGTTGGGCTTCTGTGTTTGATGTCACACGGAGCGGACCGCTTGGACACCAATGCAAAGGTTCTGCCTGCCCAAGCTCATCCAGTATGAAGTTTGATAGTTGGGTAATCATGTATAAAGACTGTTGGGAGGGTATCATTCTTGTTCAGCATCAGCATCGACGTCAGGTTTGTCACTGTCCAGGGCGGAGTCTGGCCTCTTGTCTCACGGTCAACGTCAACCCTTGAGCGGAAACAAACAGACGACCACGTCATAAAGCCATAAACGAAGGTTGTTTTCTTTTGGCCGTTGTGCCTGGGGCGTAGAGACGGACGGTTGGGTTGTTTTGGTTACACGGCGAGCGTTGGCTGGAGGCGCGCAAACTTGCTGGACGGCTAGTAAAGCAAAGTATATGTATGTATATATGGATATAGATAGATAGGTATCTATCAAAGCCAAACGTCTGGTAGGTCAGTAAAGTCAAACGGGTATCACAGGCGAGTATTCTAGATAATCCTAGACAAGCCCTGGAGTGCTACGTAGACAAGGAAAACAGGAATTCATTCAATATCACGTAGAATTAAGTCGGGACCGGGCGTATATAGAGGTACATGAGAAGCAAAAAAAGGGGTGCAAAATAGGTAGGTAACAGATAGGGATCGGGGCCGAACAAAACAGTGAGGATGAGTTGGATTTTGAGTGAGATTCAACATTTTTGGTAAGAGATGTTGGAAATATTTTTCAACTTGTTTTGTTGCAGGTTGCCGCTGGATTCCACCATTCTGCAAGAGCTGGGGGAGAATGAACAAAAAAAAGAGGAATCAAAAAAAGGGATCCAAGCAGCGAGAAAATCAGAAGGCCGTATAACAAAGGGAAGGGAGCGGGAGGGGTTATCAGGGAGGGGGATATCGCGGGTTGAAATCTGTCCTGGGAACGAATAATTGTCGATATATGGTATTGCCGCAGAGCGCATTGAGAATCCGCGGTGCAAAGAATATACACACGGCAAGCCAGACTTCGAATGAGATAGGGGTTTTTTGTGTCTCTAGGGAGTTTCCTATGGGCCATTGTTAGTGTGCCTGGGAGGAAGACTAGAGTTAGTAGTCGCGTCGTGGTGGCGGGTAGTCCTCTGGGCGGCCGGTTGTGCTCTTTCCGGAGGAGCCGTATTGCTGAAGAAGTATGATTATCAGTATATTCTTATCAATGTAGAAGAGAATAGTAAGACGCACCTTGCGCTTGAGAGCTTCCAGTCTCTTCTTCTTGGTGTGAGCGTTGATGTAGGTTCCGATAATGAAGCCGACAACGTTGAAGAAGGGGACCCAGGCGTGTTCAGGGAGGAACTGCTGGGCGAATGCGAGGGAGAGCGGCGAGACGATCCAGCTGACCTTCATGACGGGCATGAAGCCGGCCTTGACGGTCGCGCGGACCTGGTGGAAGGTTCGTGCGCCTGCAATGACGGCCATTGAGGTGAGATAGATGACATTCTGGATGGGAGAGACCTGTTGTTGTGGTGGTTGCAAGTTAGTTTTTGCGTGGTTAGGCGCCGGTAAACACAAACACCGGGAATCGAGATAAACAGGGAAAAACGCACGATGAGGTTGCTGATGAGGATCTGGAAGATCTTAGCCTTGAGACTGGTGCGTCCGGCAAAGATCTTCTGTAGGATGCCGACGAGCAGGTGGCCGAGCGGCGCGCTGATGAAGGCGCCGTAGAGCGACATCTTGGGGATGCGGGAGTTGAGGTAGTGGCCATGCTTGCTGCGGTCGTGCGCGATCCACGAGGCGAGCAGTTCCTGGATGCCGAAGAGAGCACCAGAGGTGATCATCTTGGTTCGCAGCGGGTTCGACTGGAGCTCCTTGAGGTATGCCTGTAGCAGTGTTAGCCATGTTCCATACACCGTCCGTCCCAGTCCAGCCACCGCGATGGCATCAACATATCGAATATCAGGGAAAGACGTACGGCGAGGTAGCCATTCTGGGACTTGCCGCCAGTCAGCCGTTCACCGACCGCATGGACGATGTCCTCGCCGGCCTTTGTAGCAGCGGTGCCGGCGGTGCGAACGGTGTCCTTCTCGAACTTGACGGTGGTCGTCATGGTTGCTGGGAGGCTGGGGGCCCAGGGGAGACGGCGCAGACGAGCGAGCGAGCGAGACGGACGAGACGAGGCGACGGCGACGGCGATGAATTGGACAGGGCGACGGCGGTTGCGAGACGAGCAGCAGCGGCGGGACAGACGAGAGGACGCTGGCTTCTTGAGAGACGGGCGAGGGCGGGTTGTTTTATGGACGGCCGGGCGGAGGGGACGAAGGGTGATGATGTTTTTCAGGCCGCTTGTCGCGTTCTCGAGCCGGCTGGGCTGGAGCTAGCTTTGTTTGTTGTGATCAGCCGAGGTTTACCAGGGTAGAAGAAGCAGTAGAAGTAACGAGCAGACAAAGTAGACAGACAGAGTAGAAGTAGACAAAGTAGATGGTGTTGAAGATGAAGATGGTGTCAGTGATGAAGTCGATGAAGTGAAGAAGAAAAAGTCTCGAAAAGGAAAAGTTGAAGCTGGAGTTGATTTCCCGATTGGGCGATTCTGGACAAAGCCGAAGATGAGAAAAAGATATAGAAGACAGGAAGATATAGATACAGAAGATACAGAAGAAGAGATAGAAGATACAGAAGAAGAGATAGTAGAATAGTAAGAGAGTAAGAGAAGAGAAGAAGAGGAAGTGCTGCTGCTGCTTCTGTCGCAGTTTACATAGTGAGATACACAGATCTAGATACAGACGAAGATATAGAACCAGGACTCGGTAGATACAGATAAGTAGATAGATATAGATATAGATAGATATAGGTAAATCCCGTCTCTATCGTCGTATATTAGAATAAGTAGAAGAATAAATATTAAATATAATAATAAATATGAATATGAATATAAATGTAAAGCCAAAGTCTTCCTGACCCATGGTTGCGCCTTCACCAAAAATATAAGGCAAAGAGTCTCTTCTTCTTATTAGTATTATTCATTATCGATTCTGTCTGTCTCGTCATCGTCATCGTCATCGCCATAAGCTGTTTGTATCTCGTCTTCGTCTTCTTCGTCTTCTTCATCGTCGACTCTGGTATCAACTTCATCTTCCGCGCAAAACAACCACCAGAAAGACGAAATAACAACAAAAGAAGACGAAAAAGACGAAGGAAAGAGAATATGGGCTTGACTCGTTCTCGACGAGGCTCCTGGCGCGGCGAGTGCACTCATGTCAGCGTCGCCCGCGTCCTCGACACCGACGGCAGCATCGGCTGCTCGCGCTGCGGCAACGGCCTCGCGATGCGCTGGGTCTACGTCTGCACCGAAGACATGCAGCGGACGCTCAGCGATGGCTTCCTGCGCGGGCTGGCTGAGCCTGTCTCGTCTTCCTCTTCGCTGTCGTCTCAGCAGGAGATCGAGCTGCCCCTGAACGAGTGGATGACCAAGGCCATCGAGGACGGACACTACACCGAGGACCAGGTCAGGACGCTCAGGGAGCAGCGAGCGTCCGTCCTCGAGGCCATGCGCATGGAAGCCACGCGCAGGGAGGAAGAGCGCGAGCGGGCAGAGGCAGAAGCAGATGTGCTGCACCGGGCAGGCATCCTACCGCTGCGGCCGCCCCCGGGGCTGCCAGTGCCGCCGTCAGCAGCAAGAAACAGCATCACCGGCATGCTCATGGAAGACCTCGAGGGGCCCGTCATCCCACGGTGCGACAGGTCCTTCTGCCAGCGCTGCCGGCCCAGCCACCAGGAGAGAGCGTGGCAGAGCCTGACCAGACTGTGCAGCAACGACAACCAGCTCGTCCTGAAAAACACCGCCACCGGGGAGCCAGTCAACAGCATCTACGACATCCCCATGAGCGAGATCATGCGTCCACTCCCAGGGTACGAAGACGACAGCGACCTGGGCAAAGTCGAGGACAAAGTCCAGGATAATCCCGATGATAAAGTCGAGGATAAAGTCGAGGATAAAGCCAACGAGGAAGAGCTTTCAAGGGTATCATCCACAGACATCTGGGACGACTGGTCGGATCTCATTTGGAGCAAGAAGTCACACCAGAACGATAACAGCGAACAGCCAGAGATTCCCGAGAGGTCGCCGAAGCGTCCCTGCCTGCCATTTGGACGGCCTCGACTGCTCAGGATGTCCAGGTTCATCGCTCAACGGGGAGGGCTGCCATTCTCTTCCTTCTCGCCGCCGGATCAGGGGCCACAGCCAGAGGCAGACAACGACGAAGACGCAATCACAGAAGCACCAACCAAAAACGAGTGAGGCCGGACAGCTACCTACCTACGTTGTACATATCTTTGGTCTCTGATATCTAATTGTACGATGGATGAATTGAACAAGTTGAATCGACTTAAATAAACCGAAGATGGGCAAAACTTACCTCGGCTGAAACTCGCGGAGAAGATTCGCTCCGTCTTGATTTAAATAACCATCGAATACTCAAGCCTTGCTGTCTTTATTGTCATTATTATCTACTACCTGTTTCTATTATCCATTGCTGCTACTGTCAGACAAGATGGAGGAGAGCCTGACGGAGTCGACGGTGCTGGTGGACATCGCGCCGCAGCCAGCAAGAGCCGAGCAGAAGAAAGTCGAGCCGGACGAGAAGAAGACGAAGAAGCCGCCGTCTGGCCTCGCAGCCCTCGATTCAACCCTCCTGCGCCTGAACAAGTGAGCATCCATCTACCTACTCCTTATAAGCTATATATACAATACTGACAAGAAGGTACAGGTTCATATCCAGTGCGCATGGCACAGAGCGGGCGTTTGCTACAGTCGGATACTCGGCGCATATCCTGCACTACGCCCTCACACACTCACGCACCCTCAACCGACTAGCTCTCTCAGCTCTCGGACGGAAACCACCAGTCTCGTCTCGCTCAAAGGGTGCTGCTGCAGCATCTGCTGCTGCTGCTTCACATCCACATCTACTAGCCCTCGCCTCGCTGGTATCCGAAACACGCACCTCGCTACGTCTGCTCGGCCTACTACCGCTCTGGGCCTGGGGCTCGTCGACATACAAATCACCACCCACAGACCCCGTGTTACGAGCAATTGCTTACACCCAAGTGCTTGCCTGTGTTATCTTCCAGCTGCTCGAGAACGTAGCCTTCCTTGCCTCCAAGGGGGTTCTCAGCAAACGAGCCGTCGAACGATGGGGCAGTCTGCCCAAGTGGTCTCTCTGGAGCGTGAGGGCGTGGTTGGTGCATGTAGTCCTTGAGTTCGTCCGGGTAGCGCGGGAGAGCCAGGTTGAAGCTGCCCGGCGGCGGAGGGACGGATTCAAGCAGGACGAGAAGAAGGAGAAGGATGCCGCGGATGCCGAACGGGGGCTGCGAGAGAAGACCAAGGAAGAGGCCGTGAAGATGGCGCTGAAGGTCAGGGCCTGGAGGAAGAGCTTGGTTAACAGTCTTGCGTGGCTGCCGCTGTGTCTGCACTGGAGCGTGGATGGCGGCATAGGGGTGCCCGCCAGTCTGGTGGGAGTGCTCAGTCTGACGGCCGGTGCCTGGGGGATTCATGATCTATGGCTTTCTACTTGATGTAACATTCTACATTCCACATTTATTCTCATTTACTGGTCTTCTTTCGGAATAGCAACATTGTAATGGTAAATATTATTTTATGTTTATATTTTTGATATCATGTCTATATATCAATTGACTGTCTATATGACAGCTGATGCAATTCAAAGCTTGGTGCAGCCCTCGCCAGTGTAGCCCCTTGGAGTCTGTACATACGAGTTAGATATCTATCCTTCTACTTTTGCTTCTGCTTCTGCTTCAACTGGTAGTGACTTACATTGCTGTACTTTGTGCAGCACACTGGGATGAGAGTCTGGCCGGGCTCCTGGCAGTAGGTAGCACCTGGCTCGGCACCTATTCTTCCCATCAGCCACTGTCTCTTGTCTCTTGTCTCTCATCAGTCAGAATCAGCGTAAGGGTCACTCACAGTAGTAGCCGACCTTGTTCTCGTTGAGGTTCTGGCAGCAGTTGGGCTGAGTTCCGGCAGGGCACTCGGCAGCCTGGGAGAAGGCAACGAGGGAGAGGACAGAGAAGATGACGCTGGAGACACGCATTCTGACGGCTGTCTAGTAGAAGTTGAACTTGTAGAAGTTGAGGTTGTAGTTGTAAGAGTTGTGTAATGGCTGATCTGGCTCTGGTTCTACCACGGCAGCCAGCTCCCTTTTATATCCAGCAGCCAGCCATGACGTCCCTCTGTCAACACGATTGATGTCTTAGAATTCGACCCAAAAATAAGCCAGCCGCTGTAAAAGAGTGTCGATTATTGACTTTCCGCTGTTGACGTCCTCCGCATCTCGTATTGACAGTGACAGGTCAGTCCGTAGTTTTAGACCGCTGCGTCGAGGGCACCGACATTATTGAGCTGAGAAGGGTTGGATCTGCGTCCGTCCGGTTCACGACGATGCTCAGCCAGGCCAGTCGAGCGCCGTAGAAGAGGCCCGGAGGCGCATCCTGGCGGTTCTTCCAGTCCCAGGGAGACACATCCTCTGCACTAGACACAGCCCAAGCCCGCGAGATCTCCGGGGGCGTTTTCTGGCCAGCAGCCGGAGGTGAAACATGCCATGGCTGCTTGTTTCTTCGTCCCTCCAGCGAAGTCACTGTTGCATCGTGAAGCTGGCTGAGTGCGGAATGCTCGCATCTCGGGTTGTTCTCTGCCCGAGCAGCTGTCGTAGTCGATCCCGGCCTGGTAACTTGTCGTATCCGTCTTGATATCTTTTGATATCCCCGAGTTCAGCGTCTCAACGGCGGAATCGGCATGCTGAAGGATCCATCTGGAGTCTCTCTCGCCTCTCGCCTCTCGATACATTGACAGCAACCAGCAGGCGAGCGTATGTCGAGCGAAGAAGCCTCAAGCCACAGAATGCAGGCAAGGCTGCGGCTGACCTGTCGACCCCCCCTAGACAGCCCCCCCTAGAACCGTCCGCAGGAAACAAGAAGACCATGACCGAGATCCAAGATATCCAGCAGCGATAACCAGAACAAGAGCAGGAATAAGAGCAGGAATAAGAGCGACCAAGAGCAAGAGCCGGCACGATGAACAAGCGCAGCGTCTTCACGACCGTCACGCCGCTGCCGCCGTACATCACCCGCGAGATGGTGGTGCGCACCCTCCACGAACACAGCGAGATGATCAAGCTGAACCCCCTGGTCATCGACTTCAAGCGCTGCTCGCCGCCGTCCCACGCGCCGCCAGACGAATTCCACTGCATCTGGTACGAGCTGACCGACCGGGTGCACTACCTGCCCGGCGGCCTGCTGTCCGGCAACGTCTCGTACAAGGCCTGCTTCCACGACCTGCCCGGCGGCCTGCAGACGCACGTCTACGCACCCACCGGCCTCGACATCCAGGAGAAATGGAGCGTCGGCGGCAACATGCCTGGCGAGCCGCGCGAGGCCATGGAGCTGGGCATCCCCGGGGCGCCGCGCGAAGGGCTGTACCTGCGCGAGGACGTCAACATGCGCTGCAACGTCCTGGCCACCGGCTTCGTCAAGAAGACGCTGCGCCGCGCGCATGCGGTGCTGGTCGACCGGCTGCTGCTCAAGACCGATATCGACGAGCAGAAGCGCATGGGCTCCGAGACGGCCACCTCGATATCCGCCACCTCGCCGTCGCTGCGCCAGCAGGAGCGCATGGCGCACTGCTCCAGCTGGGCCAACAGCGTCGAGCCGCTGCCGCCGTCACAGCCGTCCTCGCACGATGCCCGCGGCTCGATCATCGTCTCCGAGATCGACAGCGGACCGCATCCTTCCTCGCCTCCTCCTCATCCTCATCCCTCGCAGGACAAGGGGAGAAAGGTCTTTGAGCTTGCCTGATCACCTATCTATCTACCTATCTGCCTATCTTCCTAGCTATTTACCTATCTGTCGTTTCATGTGGAGTTGGCGGGAGTTTGATATTGTACTGTATTGTTGCAACGGGCCTGAATATGAGCATTTGATACCTTCTACGGCCTTCAATAAGGGAGCAGTGAATGCCTCCCATCAATAAGATTACTTTTAAAGCCCTTGAGACTACAAGTGGAAGGGTGGTATGCCTTGTATCTACGTCTACCAAAGAATCACACCAGGTATGCAGCTCGACTGTATCATTCTCTAAGTATCTCCTTGACTAACTAAAGCCTACTCCCCTATTTTTGGTCTTTTCCAGCTTTTTTCTCTCATATCTCATTTTCTCTCCCTCCCTTTTCATTCTTTTTTTGTTCTTTTGTTCTTTTTTGGTGCTGCTGTTTTTTATTCCAGTCGTTAAGATTTCATTTCTGAAGTGATGCTTCAATGTGGATTTGATTTGATAGGCAACTATCCTCAGTCCTCCAAAGCCTCCAAAGCCTCTGCTAGAAAGATTTGGTCACCGTTGAAGCCAGTTGTCGATGTCGCCTACTCGATGAGACGCCAGAAGATCATATCCTCGCGGCCGCAGAGCGCCTGGATGCTGTCGGGCTGGCAGTTGATATCCATAAACATGCGCATCGAGATGCTGTACTCCTCACGCTGCTCGAAAGAGAAGGTCTCGGACAGGCCCTGGACGCGAAGGCACATGAGGTTGTTGAATATCTTCGCCTGCTTGTGGATCTTGTGGGCTTCGGATCCCATAATAATTCGGATACCCTGCAGCAGACAAACGATGGAGCTGATGGTGTTGCGGGTGGTGAACGGGCAGTACTTGCACTGCTGCCACAGAAGATAGAACCAGCTCTTGTTCTCGTTCAGGCACAGGCACCAGATGGCACGCAGGGCCTCGTTGATAACGCTCTGAGCTGGAGGTGCCTCGTCCCACCCCTGAATGTGGGTGATCAGGGCCTTGCACCACCAGAGCGTCGCCTCGTGCATCTCCATCATTTCCTCAGCGCGCTGGGCATGGAATTTGGCCTGGTTCAGCTTCCCCTGAGACAGTCGGATAACCATCATGCGGGCGTGGCCCATGCACAACGCGTCTCTCCAGAACTTTCCAGTCTCTCCTAGTGCGCCGTACTTGTTGAGGCCATGGATAAAGAAGAAACTCCATTCCGCCATTCTCACCTCCTCTAGGTCCCAGTCGATCTGGAGCAGGTGCGAGCTGAAGGGGGCCAGGTAGTCTCGCAGCATGCGGATCAGCTGCATGTCAGTGAACCTATGCTCCAGTCGAAGCATTCGGATCATCCTATCGCCCACAGCATTGTTTTGGAAAATAAAGGCGACGGAGCAGGGGATATCACCGTCCCCAAAGAGTCTCAGAGGCTCAAGCAGCTCTGCGACTCGGCGGATGGTTCTCTGACGCACTTGGCGGGAGATGTACGCGGTTTCGTTGACCCGCACGATCAAGGAATAGGGAGTCTGGCCGTGTGAAATCAAAAGTGCAACCAGGTCCCACACGCAATCCACAGCCATGACAAAAAACTGGTTCGCATTTGGGTCGGAGTCTTCGGGGATTGCAGTGTTCGTGACCTCAATCATAAATGGGTTGTGATAATAAGGAGCGTATCCACGCAGACCATTGTTGGCCCACTCGATGGGAATTGGAAGGGCAAAGCCCATCTCCGCCACGCCGTCAATGATCTGTCTATCTGCCGTGCTTAAGACAATCCACAGGTTGTCGCGACCCAGGACCTTGCCTGCGTCATGGTAGATCTCGCGGTTCACGCGCAGGATAGAAGTGTCCAGGTTATACTTAGTGAGGCGTGGGCACCTAGCCCAGATCCATTGAGTCGGGGTCGCAGAGTTAGCCGTATCGTCAATGATATCCGCAATCTCCCAAAAAGGATTGACATTATGCTTCAATGTGAGCCTAGTGTCGAGCAACAGCCTATAGATATGTAGGCGGGCCACAATGGGGATGGTCATGAGATCTATCCCCGGGACGTCGTTTGCAAGGAACCGTCCCATATCCCCCAGAGGCTGCACTGGCTGTGCCACATATGACTGCAGCTGCTCAATACGCTGGGATAGCTGAGCCTCCTCGACAAACTCGGCAGAAATAGGATGGTCAAGCCGCAGGCCAGTCTCAACGTACAGACTCTGGACTCGATCATGCAGGTCTTTTAGCTGTTGGACCATCTGCTCTCGCGTCACCTGCTCGTAGTCCAATATACTGGCTACCACACCACCTCCTAACACGAAGGCGCTGACAGGCCGTGGTGCAATGGGCATGTTGGCGTTGTTAGCATTGTTGTTCGGGTCCTCTACCTCCTGGATCATATCCACCATAAGCCAATCGAAGCTTCTCGGGTCCATCTTGTCACCTATTTTCTGCGTTAACTCGCGTAATATAGGCACTGATGGATGATAAAACATACCCTTTTTTCTAGAATGAAGAAAAATCTGCCTTGAGAGAGTCGAATTGAGACTACGGAGTTGATACTGATACCATGTCAACAAACACGACCAATGTCACCAATTTTGAGAGAGGGAGAGAGGGATACAACCCCCTATCCACGGTTCCTGACTCACTTTGACTGTAGATACTCTCTAGTATCTCTTCTATGTCTCGAGTCACTAAACGAATGTCTGTCTATCACTCCAGTCAGTTCGAGGACCTTCCTATACCCCTGAAGAGCTCGAATCTCGGTCTCCGTGGCAGCAATCCATACCTTTCTTAGAAGCAAAAGCCCAACCTGCCTTGAAGATGCAGCTTGGAGGAACAGGGGAGTGACAACTACACTCAGCTGTTTGCCTGACAGGTGAGAGAAAGGAAAGAAAGACAGGAAGAAGACAAAAAGAGGGAGAAGAAAGAGAAAAATCAGTGCAGGCTCGGCGCCCTAAGGCTCTGTCGCTTAGTCGCCAGCAGGACGTCCTCTTCACCCTGTGCATCTTGTCTATATCTATCTATGGCTCTGTCTGTGGTCTGTCTATGTCTATTGCCTGTCTGTCCTGCACTCTATTTGTGTCTTCGGTAGATGGCGGGCCGGCATAGGATTCACAGGAAAGAGTCAGCTCTATATAGATATAGATATAGCTTTGGCTATGTTTCTATAAAGGGGCTATATGGACAAGATACAGATCTATATCTACCCTATCTAGGCTTATGCGCTAGATTCAGGGCAGTTCTAGCATACAATATTGTGATACCTTTGTCTCTACTTTTCAAAGGGGGTTTAATGAAGTTCAGACGGGAGGGCCTTGTTAGACTGTTGCATGTTGATATCAGAAGAAACAAAAAAAGGGGTAGCTATATCTTAGGGACTGCCAGATACATGAAAGTGATTCCCGAAGATACCCAAAACTCCATTCACTACAGTTTTAGATCTTTCCCTCGTTTGATATTTTCTATACTATAAGTCAATCAGCATATGTTTCTATAATAGTGGAAGAAAGATGGGGAAGAGCTTACACCCTGAGTCTCTGCTTCGGCCCTAGCAAGATTCATATCCGGTTGTGGTCTTCTTATACCAGGGGCTTGCAAGAAACTCATCGATCCTCCACTGAGTCGATGGAGCAGGGATGATACCGATATCTTCTCTCCTAGTCCAGACAAAGGCTGCTGCATCCAGGGCAGTCAGATTCCCGTCCTCCAGCACAATTTCCACCCTCAAATTCCTCAGCTCTACTTCGTTCGACGCTTCGAGCTCGTGTATCCAACCTCGCCGTTCGGTTGAGAGATTGAACACTAGCATTCCGTCCACATAGTCCCCTGAGTCACTTGAGGGCATGACCAGGGGAAGCTCGCTTCCTTCAAACAAGTACAGCTTGTGGCCTAGGAGACTCGCTTGGGTCATATGCTGGGCCTGATCCAGATGTGCGTCTGCGTCTGTCATACTCTTCAGGAAAGACGGCAACATGAGAGGCCCGAAGACAAATAGTGGAATCGTCTTTTTGCAGTATGCTGTAAGCTGCTCCTGGCTAACGGCGTTTCTGAGAGCTCGACGATACTCTCGAGGGTAGTGGTCAAGTGCTACCAGCCGTTTGGCATTTAACGTACGATTCATTGCCCACGTCAAATGAGAAAGGGTCTGAGGAGGGCTTGGAGACTTGGATGATGATTCTTCCTCCTGTGTGGTCTTCTTTAAACAATAGTCCAGGATCTTGTTTGCTGCGTTGTGTGGATAAGGAGGAAGCAAAATGTTTGCAGAAGCTGATATGAGTCTCGAGAGGTAAGAGAACCTGCCATGTTGGCTTTGACAGGCTTTCATAGGCATTTCTATTTCCCCCTCTTTCTTTGATCAGCCTTCTCTTGAGCTAAGGGTGGTGGTCTTCTTGTAGCTGGGTTATGCGACTTAATACTCCTTACAGCGAAGAAGGCAGTATCAAGACGCTGGCACGCCTTGCCCCCTATTTATAAGGGTACCCAAGTCTAGGAAGCCATGGACGGAAGAAGATACCAGACCCTTGATAAGGGTCGGCAGTACCTAATGGAAGAAACCTCCCATTGGGGTCTTTGATGTTGTTTCTTACTATTGACTGAAACTGCCTTCTCGATTCAATAATCTCCGTGATATTTTTCATTGGGATAATGGAAGCTGCTACGAAGTCCCTCAGCTCAAACAACAAGAGCTGTGATAAAATGAGCATATTAGGTGGAAAGGGCAGCTACGTCTCACTAGGCGTCGTCTCTTTGCGTTCATGTAGCAAAGGCATTGTTAATGTAATAATGGTAGCTGCCTGTCAATATCTAGATACGATTGTTTGTTTGTAGTCCATACCCCTGAATCCTAGTCTTATACCTAACAGCGACCTCGCAAGCTAACAAAGTCTACGAGATACATAGTACGAGTAGAACATACTACGGGTGCATAAAAGACTATTCATAAGTCATATACCATTATGAAATTTTATGCTGACATTCAAGAGGTAAACTAAAGGGGAGGGAGTCAAAGCACTATAAGATGTATGTAGTAAAAGTGTGGAGAGAACAAGTCCAATCTCGAACAAACCACAAAGACCCCCGGTTCTCCTACTCCTCTTGCAATTAAAGATCCTTTGAGTAAAGCTGCTTTTCACGCAACGGAATTCCATATGATAATAAAGAACATGAAGCTAGGGAGACAACAAACCCGGCTGCACTTAGTCGTAAAGGCTGTCGTCGTTTCCAGCATCACCAAATCCAGTCTCGCCGGCACTAATGCCGTCAGTTGGGAACTTGAAGAAGTTGCTGCCGGTGTTCTTCATGCTCTGCGCAAAAGCTTCGTATCGTCGGATCTCAGTGTCGGTGACGGATCGTCGAGCGTCCTTCATGGCTTCCTCGAAATGAGCCTTGGTGAGCTCAGGTACTGGATCCTCGTCGTCAATGTCGTCTTCCATCGCATCGTCACCTGCAGCCTCGCGCTCCTTGGTTCGTCGGATAGCGGTTGCAATAGACTCCTTGATGGCCAACTTGACGGCACGTTGAGTGACAAATCCGAGATCAGCACCAGAGAAGCCATGGGTCTTGGAGGCAATGTAGGCAAGGTCTACGTCGCTGGCGACTGGGGTCTTGCGGAGCTGAGCCTTGAGAATAGCAGTACGCTCGGGCTCGTTGGGTAGAGGGACGTAGACGAGGGTGTCGAGACGACCAGGACGGCAGAGAGCATTGTCAAGCTGCTCCGGTCTGTTGGTGGCACCAATGACGAAAACGTTTTTCTTTGAAGTCATTCCGTCCATCTCAGTGAGCAACTGGTTGACGACACGGTCAGAAGCACCACCAGCATCACCAGAGGAAGCGCCTCGGGCCTTGGCAATGGAGTCCAGTTCGTCAAGGAAGACAACGCAAGGAGCAGCAGCACGAGCCTTGTCAAAGATATCACGGATGTTGCTTTCAGATTCACCGAACCACATACTCAACAGCTCTGGACCTTTAACAGAGATGAAGTTGGCAGCACACTCGTTTGCAACGGCCTTGGCCAGCAAGGTCTTACCAGTACCAGGAGGTCCGTAGAAAAGAACACCCTTGGATGGGGAAAGTCCAAACTTGAGGAACTTCTCGGGATGGTCGACTGGGTACTGGACGCTCTCGATAAGCTCGCGCTTGACCTCCTCGAGACCACCGATGTCGTCCCAGCGGACGTTTGGAACCTCGACAACAGCAACTTCGCGAAGGGCAGATGGGTTGGAGACACCAAGGGCAAAGCGGAAGTTCTCCATAGTTACGCCAAGAGAGTCAAGGACTTCGGCGTCGATGGTGTCTTCGTCAAGATCAATGAGATCCATCTTTTCACGAATCTGCTGCATGGCAGCTTCGGAGCAGAGAGATGCAATATCGGAACCAACGTAACCGTGGGTTTCGGCGGCAATTGATTCAAGATCGACATCTTCACCAAGCTTCATGTTCTTGGTGTGGATTTGAAGAATCTCAAGACGACCAGTTGGGTCAGGAATGCCGATGTCGACTTCACGGTCAAAACGGCCGAAACGGCGAAGTGCAGGGTCGATAGAGTTAGGACGGTTAGTGGCAGCCATAACGACAATGTTGGAACGAGCCTTCATGCCGTCCATGAGAGTCAAGAGCTGGGATACAACACGACGCTCGACTTCTCCATTGGTCTTCTCTCGCTTGGGGGCGATGGAATCAATCTCGTCAATAAAGATGATGGCGGGAGAGTTCTTCTCAGCTTCTTCGAAGGCCTTTCGCAAGTTGGATTCAGATTCACCGGCCATTTTCGACATAATCTCGGGGCCGTTGATCAGGAAGAAGAAAGCACCGGTCTCGTTGGCAACGGCACGGGCCATAAGAGTCTTACCCGTACCAGGAGGTCCAAACATGAGAATACCTCGAGGAGGCTTGATACCGATGGACTTGAAGAGCTGGGGGTGACGGAGCGGAAGCTCAACAAGCTCACGGATCTGAGCCATCTGCTTCCGGCAACCACCAATATCGTCATATCCGACATCATTAAGGTTACCCTCTTCGTCTTCTCTCTGGATTGGCTCGCCCTCACAGTGGATGACAGTGTCTTGGGCGACAATTCCGTATTCTGGGGGGTCGACTTCCACAACCTTGAATTCAACTTGTCTCATACCACCGCGAACAGTAAAGAGGTCACCTTGTCGGACCGGTCGGTAGGCCTCACGGAAGTATGGAGCAAGGAAAACGTCAAACAAGGAGCCAGTGAGGCCCTCAACAGTATCGGCGATGGGTAGAACGGCAATACGTTTAGCCTGGTCAATACTAATGTAAGCACTTTATCCTGTTCCATTTGTAGCGACTGGACATATACATACGTATTTGATATCTGGGCAAGGGTGGACAGTGACAACGTCTCCGTGCTTAACCCGTAAGTTATGTCGTACAACTCTGTTGAGACGAACACTGCCATCATCGAGATCATCGTCTGCGAGTACGATCAAGACGGTATCTCTTCGCATCTTGCCCTTAACTAGGACGGTGTCACCACGGAAGAGCTGGAGGGTCTCCATGGTGTTGTTTGAGAGAGCAATAACGGAGTTATCATCATTGATGGCATCAGTGACGCTAAAGGAGTGTTAGAACCGAGCTATACATTGCCACCAGTGGGTAGATGGGCTACCGCGAGATCACTCACATCAATGAATTTGGCTTCTTCTTCTTTTTGAGGATGGCAGTCGAAGTATCAAGCTCCTATTTGATGAGTTAGTACACTTTACCTTCATAAAATGTAAATCTGAGAGCTCACTTCATGTTTTTCGGCTCCTGAAGCATCACTATCGTGGAAGGTCGGATGTTAGCTTGAGGCACCCATCAACCTTGTATATGTCAATAGATATCCAACTCACGTCAGGTTAGCCTTGTGCTTGTGCTCTGGGTCGTGGGACATTCTGAGAACACTGTGATCGAAAGAAAAAATCTATGGAAGGGTGAAAAGACGGTCTCGGAAGCTCTTGGTGGGAGCTGTGTCGAGTAGTCTGCTGGTGTGAACGGTTAGTATAACATGGCACGTCACAGAAAAGGAGACTCATATCAAGACTCACCACGCTGCTACTCGGGGGGTTCTTCTTCTGTAGATAGTGAGAAGGAGAATGGAGGAAAGAAAGGAGAAGAAGGAAAAGAGGTTGCTTGGTGGTGATGATGACGGTTTGTGGTTGTTGTTGTTTCTGTCTGGGATCGGCTTTGTTGGCGATAAAGATGGCGGCAAAGCTTGGGGCAGCTGAGTCAGCAACGTTTCTATGAGAGTCTCGTGACCAGGCGGCGGAAGTGATGGCAGAGTATTAATAATCAGCTGAAGCGCTGTCGGCCAATCAGCAACAGGCGGTGAACCAGCTTGGAAGCCGCTGGAATGCGCTGGACCGGGCGCCCCAGGCAGGACAAAGTGACCACGCAGCGCTGGAGCCTGGCCAGAGACGCGGAGGACAGGGGGAGGGCGCTAAAGTGTGATAACACCTCATGACTAATCAATATCTACTGGGGAGCTGAGGAAAGTTGATATATAGAAATACGACGAGGAACAACGAAGGGTCTTGAAGGCCGCAAGAGGACGCCGTTGACGCGCCAGCCAGTTTAAATGCCACATGCCATACCTGTACATACACACAACATGCAACAGAAACGAAACAGAACAGGAATTCCCATGTAAAATGAAACAGCCATAATATCGCAAGCCTCCTTCTATCGTTGTCCGCCCCCAACCGAACAGAGTCCACATTCCATATTAAAAGAGACGATATAATGGTGGTTAAAGAGAGAGGAAGAAAAAAGCAAAAGGAGAGAAAAAAAAGATGTATCATCACAGCGCCGTGACCCTGGATACGCCCGTTTGAAAAATGGAGAGATAAGGAGCAAGAATGAGTTGATGCCCTGCTAAGTTCCGGTATTGCTTTTCGGTAAAGGATGTCCGTTTGTCTTTGCATGTTCACTAGCTTTTTTCTTTTCTTTCTTTGCAATTGGTATATCATCGTCACTATCCGGGTCATGGCCCCTGGTGCCGTTCGGCTGGTCTTCAGTATCCGAGCTAAACAGCTCGTGCATCGAGTCCTGTAGGAATTTGACACCGCTATTCACAGCTCGTTCGGGAATCTGGACATTGTAGTGTGCCAGAATATCTGATGCGCTGGCACCGAGTGATGCCGCCGGTCCGTTCTCGAGTATAGAATTAGTGCTCTCTGTTGTCTCCTTCTTCACCGTCACCTCGCTGGCTCCGTTAGAGGTGCTGGCGGCAGAGTTCGGTTTCGCGCGTTTGCCGTTCTTGACGGCGCCATTGGCTAATTTCGAATCGTCTTCTCCGTCCCGTTTCCTCTTCCCTAGCAAAGGTGAGCCCGAGTTCGCTCCGTTGCCCGAAGTGGCCATGCTAACGATAGTGTCCACCACATCTTCGAAGCGGCAGTGGTCTTCTGTTCGGAACAGCTCAAAGGCCAGGTTGCGTACCCGTTCGGTCCAGCCGCAGGTAGACAGTGAATTGACAAGGGAGGCTTGTAGGTCTTCGATCTTGTGTGTAGCCAGCAGGTAGTCCATCAGGTGGTCTGTTTGTTCGCCGGAATTTGCCATCTGGTCGTTAGGTTGTCCGGCGACGCTTGTCATAATATACGGTTGGGGGAGAAGGTATTATAGGAATGGAGTGCGGACGGGAGTGAGCCGAGAATGAGATCCTTAAAGTACAGTTATGTACGGTGTGTCGGGAACATGCGCGCTGGATGATAAATCTGGGGCAGTGAACGGGATAAAAATATTAGCGGAGTGAACGGCGAACGGCGGTGTTATTTGGGGTGACCGTAGAATAGAACTCACTATCGATAAAAGAAACTGCTTGCCTTGCTATTGTGCAGCCGCAGTCATAGCTCCCATTCAATGAGTTCAATGAATGCTAGCTGTTGACTGCGCCAGGTATCAATGACGATATTATCCACCGCCAAAGGGCAACAATGGCTGCAAGTGTTTTCTTCCAGCAACCCCTAAGAAGCACGACCGGTGGGTCGGGTCACCTCTTCTTCACATCGACTGACGGGCCCAGAAGCCTGCTCCAATGCAAAGATCCAAGGCGATCGCTCTTGTTGTCTGGGGAAAGACGAGCTTCGCCGAGCGAGAGAAATGAGAGTCGGATGTCATTTCGCCAAGACCCGAGGGTTAAACTTTTAGGCTTTGCCGCTGCAGGGGTCTTTAATTGTACTTACATCTTACATCTACCGTCTGTCTTCTATATATATCTTCAAGTGACAGTGTCGACCATCTACTCTGCACAAAGGCCATTGGTCTATGACCGGGAGGAAGCGCTGCGAGCGACATTTGGTACAAGCAGGCCTAGTGGGGTGCTGCTGTTTGTATGTACGTAGTATGCTGACCGAGCTACGGCTGCAACGGCGAGCCCGCGTGTTAGTTGCTTTTGAGTAAGCCAGCGCCAGAAGCATCGCACTCGCATTTCTGGGTCACATGGATCAAGTTGCGGTTTGGGCTGTGCCGGATCCAGCCTCGCTGCGGAGAGACACATTAGGTACATACCTGCAGACAAGACATACATACATGAGTAATGACCAGCTGCAGTGCATCCGATGCTTATTTGTGGCTTTCAAGACAACCTGTCTATTGAATACGTCGCTCGATCCCGCCCAATTGCGCATTCTCGGAGGTATACTAGCTGTGACCAGCCTGTGTCATGTAACCACAAGGCTACGGAGCATATCAGTGACACTCCCGACTTTGGCAGTCAAGAAGTACACACCAAGCCTTTCTCGTTTTCATCTTCCGTCTACTCCTTACTCCTTCAACTCTATACCTCTCTTTACGGAATACTTCTATCTTCTCCCTCCCGTCTCCCATCACTCTCATCCATCATCGTACTTCGTCTTCTATAGAATCTCAACGGTTCGTCCCAAAGGGGGAGATTACCTAATCAACTTATATAAGCACAGTCCACTCAATATTACCGCTATCCCTAAAATAGACAAGGGCGTTACCGTACTGTATCCAATATTACAATATATTATCACACCACGTGACTTTCCTCTTTGGGCATCACAAAACGGCAGCAAAAAAGCGACGCAGCAAAAAAAAGCGACTTCGACGACGTCAAAAGAAAAAGGCAGAAGGAAAAAGAGACACAAAGCGACGACGAGACGCAAGAAAAGAAGCGAAGACGAAGGCGGCCGAGGAAGACCGAAAGAACGACGCTTGCTGGGGCCTGCTGCTGGCTCGCGGACGTGGACGTGGGACGCTCCGTGCTTGCACTAACTTAGTTAACTCGCAACTCGCCTTACCCGCCCTATCTATACCCACCCTCGATAACTTCATTTCCCTGGCCTCGCCCTGGAACGTCTCGCGACAGAGCCTGCGAGAGAGCGAGAGAGAAGAAAAACAAACAAAGAAAGGAAAAGGAGAAGGAAACAGGAAGACGAAATTCTGGCCTGGGGGAGCGACCCGTCCTCAATCGTCAGCGTTTGTTCTCCCACTTGGCCCGTCTCATCTCGTCGGCTCCAGCCCTTGGTTCAGCAATCCTTGCGATTTCCCTCGAAACCCAACGCACGCCCACTCTTCAACCACGACAATCCACAGCTGCGACGTCCACCGTCTCTATCTGTCGTCCGTGATACCTCGACACGCCTCCAGAAAGGGTCCCGCTGAGTGCTGGCTGGCACTGGTTAACCGTTGACGCTTGGTGTGCCCGGTGACTTCAGCGCTTTCTCGACGGTTTGGGCAGCGCTCCAGCAACGCCAAAGAGACCAGTCGACGGCCGGTGACCGGACAAGGCAATACAAGTGCGCAGCAATGGCCTTTGCCGACGCCTATCCAGGCGACTCGGACGCAGACGATGAATATGAGCGGAGCGTTGTGATTTCACCCCACCTTGCCGAGGACTCCGAAGCATCTCCTACAGACTCTGAAGGTCCATCGACAGAGAACACTCCTACATATGGGAAAGCTGATGACCGTATCTCGCCCAAGACCGTCATAACCGATTGGACTGCGGAGGAGTGTGCCAAATTCGTGGGGAGCCTGGGCTTGCTGCAGTACCGTGAAGCGTTTCTGGGTATGTACAAGGAAGGACAATATATTTAAACGTCTGAGAGGAAGGGAAAGCTAACCATGCACTGTTTTCCTTCTCTGATACAGAAAACGAGATCGTTGGCGAGGCCCTCATAGCTCTAAAGCACGACGAATTGAAGGAACTGGGTATATCCAGTGTTGGACATCGATTGACAATCCTAAAGAATGTATACGAAGCCAAAGTAAAGCAAGGTGTACCGATAGACCCCGACCATTATGTCCCTCTATGTATGTCTGGTCTCTCTCCGACTATATATGTCATATCTCCCACTAATCCATCATAACAGCGGCGGATAAGAGCAGCACGAAAGATGCAGCCACCCAAGACGATATTGCTCTCCTCATCCAATCCATCAGACGGCGAGACGATAGACTTATGGCAGCAGAAGCCGAGCTACGGAAACTCGCAGATGACTACCGGAGGCTGCGTGAAGAACTACTACCGGTCTTCAAAGTCGCAAAGGATAAATCAGCACCCTTACCATACCAACCCCCGTCCACTCTATCATATGGTGGCTCCACCATCGCAGCATCTGAATCATACACCCACGACCCTGCTACTTCACCGTCATTCCTCGGCCAAGAGAAGGCCGGCAGCGGCCTCACTCGAACAATTTCTAGGAAACTCTTTGCCGGCGGCTCAACTCCCAAGACCAACTCTCCCACTCATATACCCCAGGCAATACCAGAAGGACGAACGTTTGCAGACTCATCCACCCTAGACCCTTCTGCAGCTGCCATGGCAGCGTCTTCTCATCTCACAGCATCCATGACTGGTGGCCAACCTTCTCCCAAAGGCATGCCATCCCCAACATCTCCCAACAGCTTCTATACCCAACAAACACTTGCATCACGATCATATACCCGCGACCCTCCACCCTCCACCAACACTCGCACAGCTTACGATCACCCTGAGGAGACACAGGGCCAGCAAAGACAAGACCGATCCGGCAACAATCAGACCTCAAACTCCTCAAGTCGACAAGACCATTCTTCTATCTCAACTTCCAGGAATGGAGGATCAAGCGGCGGTGGGAATCAATCATCCAACAATGCACAAAACTCATCAGACTCTGGCCCCAGTGTTGAAATTTTCAAATCCTTCCGTGTCTCAATGGACGACCCTTGCTATAAAGTTCTTCCTGCTGCTCTCAAGAAATACAATATTCATGAAGACTGGCGGCTATATGCTTTATACATCGTCTACGGTGACCAGGAACGATGTCTAGCGCTCGAAGAGAAACCACTCATTCTATTTAAACAACTTGATAAAGATGGACGAAAACCAATGTTTATGCTTCGACGACAGGCGCAGATGGTAGACGGGCAGGTCCCAGGTATATACACCAGTGGCGGAACTACAATTGGCTTCCCTCCGAGCGGCAATGCCTTCGACTCTGGCACAAATAGCAATACGGCCATCAGTCTAGGCGGACTACCCTCGGGAGGCTCTGGCGGCCAAGCAAGCGCCAGTCTGAGGTCTCAACCTCCACAACAAAATTCCATACAATTGCCCGGTGGAGTTCTATAGGAAAAGATTGGTTTGGTTTGGTTTAGTTTACGGATTGCCACCCAAAAAAATTACGCCCTGCATCGAACCAGGAAGTGTCGAAAGCAGATTTTTTATCTATCTCATTGGCTTCTTTCTTTCACATTTCCCAATTATATTCTTTTTCCCTTGTGATATCCCTCAACCAGCCCATTTGGTTCGGTGTCATTCATATTTCTTTGATAACAATATTATCATTTTTAATATCATTTGGGTAGTCCTATCTGAAGATAAATCATGGTAATTTTCAATTATCTATCTACTTCGAATATATATACATAGAGATAAAAACATAACATTCTTCATTGCTGATGGGGCCGTTTTTTAATGCTCCCTCTATTAATGTGCATACCTAACAACCGCAATATATAGACCGCTCAGTGCCATAGGCAAACTGAAATAGGGACATCAAAGACGCTCGTAATAAACAGCAGCACAGCGCTATTTAATCTAGTTATAACTAGTAAGTGTCAATCGACACACAAACTGATATAAAATAAAATGAATAAATCAAAAAGGCGAAAAGCAACAGAATGGTAGGGAAAGAATGAAAGAACTGAACAAGGAAATTGGGAAAACAGGATGGGATAGTGAACTACATCGTAGTCAATCAATAGTAGGCCATTTAACGGCCTATTTCACCTCCCCAGGAGATTTTGGACTTAGAGCCGTTTCGAGGAGTGTTTCCGTGACCGTTATTTCCGTTACCATGGCTGGTCCCTTCGTTGGTACTTCGGCTCGCAGAGCCGGGTGCGTTGCTGCCATCTGAGAAGGGGTTGTTCTCAGGGGCAAAAACGGCTGGAGGAGCAGAAGGCAGCTCTGGCGAGGTGGCACCGCTGGGCGGCGGGAAAGTAGTCTGTACAGGAGACTTTCTCTTTGCCGGCTTGGTTCCGTCTGCGAATTGGACCTTGCCCTTAACTGCACGAGGCTCTCCATCATCCTCGCTGTCGGATTCACGCTGCATTGACGAGCTGGCACCGAGAGCAGCAAGACGACGTTTCCGTTCGGCAGGGGTTTCTATGTCGTCGTCAAGCTTAGACACATGTTTGCTGCTGCGGTTGGAAGGGAAAGTTGGTGATAATAGATCTGGCGGCTGCTGTCCTGCGGCAATCGCACGGCGGTAGGCTGGGGGGATACGTTCAGTGCCATCATCTTCAGAGTCATGACGGCTGAATGATGATGCCCGAGATAGTGGTTCGGATTGCTTGTGGCGTCGTTTATCGGCAGCAGAGCCCTCAGGGCCGGTGTACTGCGCTAACATCTCTGCAATTTCCTGGGGTGACGGGGCACCAGTACTTCCACCATGGGGACCGCTAACGGGCATGCTTCGGTGGGGATTTACCTGTCCTCGATTACCGTCACGTCGGAAGAAGTTACTGAACTTTGCGGAACCGTCGTTAGGTGACTTGGGCCCAAGGTTCTGCATTTGCTTGATGAAGTCTTGTTTACTCATTCTGCGACCTCTCAAGTGATCATCGACATCCCCAGAAGAAGGCACGGTGAATCGAATGCCTGCATCCTCCTCCTCTGCCTGCTTTGCTGCTGCTGCGGCAGCCTCGTTGTCATTATCGCCAGTCCAGGTACCCAGCCTAGTGATACGGCGTATCAACTTAGGTTTCTCCTCTTCATCACCAGCGGCTGCAGTCCCGGTTTCCTTCCGCGGTGATGAGGGGATAGTGTATTTCTTTATGACTTCTCCGTCCTCATCTTCGACAATAATAGTATTGGCAAACTGATATGCTCGAGCAGAGCGGCGTTCACGGTTGACTTGAGGAAGGGATTCGTCTTTTTGCGTGTTGCTAAGACCAGTCCAGGCGGAGAGCTTCTGCATAATCCCGCTGGCAGGTTTGCTGGCCTCGCTGCTCTTCTCTCCCAGAACCTGATCAGGTTCGAGCACATTTCCTTCTTCATCCTCAACAATAATGTTATCTCCCTCCTGGTAAACTTCGGCCCGGGGAGAATGGGGTTCTCCTTCAGGATATTGTTGGTGTCCTCTTGTATGCTCTGGTTCTGGACTTGGAGGTTTGCTGACCTGTAATTCTCCTTCAGGCCGTCGCTGTGGAGTGATAGCAGACTGGCTGATCGGTCCACCGATTCGTTGAGCTCCTTGCTTACGTCTGCGGCTAGATTTTAAGCTCGATGCACGACTCGCTGGCGCACTGTGATGATCATCATCCCTCTGTCTCCTTAGAAGGTTTCCTGGGACGCCGATAGGGCCCAGTGTTCCAGGAGGGAATTCTGGCTTCTCCATCGTCTCCCAGGAGTCTTTTCGCATAGAAAGAGACGTCTTTGATGTAGTCTGGATCCTGGGGAGGCGGTTCATCCAAGATGGACCATCCTCGTGAGCCTGGGTATAAGACATTGTTAAGGTCAAAGTGTTGATGTGTTTACCCAAGGTAAAGACTGCGATAGAAGAGCCGTGGACAATTATGGAGGTGATGACCAAGAATGTAGTGATAGGCCAGATCACGTAGATTATGATATAATTGTGGCTTCCCGGCTCAGGTAACCCATCCAGCGGTTGAGTTGTGTGCGTCTCGAGCTCAGCTCGTGCCAAAATACAGGCAAATATGGCACCGACGCCAATTGGGCCGAAATGGCCCGCGAATAATGCTTCTCGCCACGTTTTGATGTCTGGAATAAGTGGCTTCATCAAAAGCATGGCTGGGATTCGGCGGAAGCAGATGACGAGGATTGCAAGGATGACCAAGCGCCATGGGACCAGGCCTAGATCTGGGACGTTGTACTGCTCCCAGGGAATGATGGCGCCGAAGTAGACGAAATAAGCAAGATTGAGTAACAGATCGATGACGTTGGAAACGTGAGATTCTTCGGTCTTTTCGGTGAACCAGCCATCGTTACTGAATCCAATACCAGCAGAAAACCCGATGAGAAGGTCGTCCATACCAAGTGAACTACCAGCGCCGGCGCAGAAAAGGGCGAGAACGAAGTAGAAAACAAGGAAACTCTCTCGGTCAATCAACTTCTTGGACTCGGCAAATCTGATGGCATGACGACCAGCGTAGCCGATGAGGAAGCCGAATATGGCGCCAAAGATGCATTCGTACAGGATAGTGGTAAGTATCCAGTGTTCAGCGACCTTGGCGCTATCCGGACGGTAGGCCAGAATGTACAAGGAGAGGTAGATGAAAGGGAAAGCCATGCCGTCGTTGCAGCCAGACTCCGCAGAGAGAACGTCTCGGAGATGCTTGGGCACTCGTTTTGCGAATTTACCCTTTCCGACGACGGAGGACGCCAGTACGGGGTCGGTGGCTGTAACGCATGCAGCACAGATCAAGCTCTCCAGCCAGGTCAATGGCTCAACCATCCACCAGATAAAAAGACTTGTCACCAGCCATCCGAGGGTCATGATGGGTAGCAGCAGCATGACGACGGACCTCCAATGCCTCTCCATGTAGGACTTGGGCAGTTCGACGCCGACGGCGAAACATTGCACGACCAGGACAATTCGGGAACACTCGAGGGTAAGCTTGTCAACATTTCCCCACGTTGTCGGGTTGAAAAGGTTTGCGGCGTGTGGCCCGAAAATAACACCACACAACGTGGCAACGGTTGCTTCTCCAATGTACAGCTTCTCCTTAACAAACAGGGAGCACAGCATGAAAAGGCTTGTGAACCCGCCAAGGATCATGTATGCCAAATGTGGCTTGTCGAAATCGAGATGGTCCCACGCCATGACGGAGAAATAAACGAAAAAGCTTCCAGCCAGTCAACGAGCCTGAAACCAGCCAGGCGAAAATAGAGAGTATGCAGTGGGGAGAGGATATAGTTGGTAGTTGGGGCGTGTCTGTCTTCTTTCGATGCCCTTCCGGCTTATAGTTATATCGATAGTGTGTACTCCGTTCAACTCTCAGACCACATCCGATGGCTTCCGATTAAATGGAAACGTCCACCAGAGACTGCCAAAACGTTATGTATCCTAGCGTGGCTCTTGATCTCACCATAGCCTCAAGCTATTCCATACAGAGTCCCGCACCCGCGGTGGGTAGAGGTATCTATCGAGCTCGGAAACAGAACGTGTAAAAGGCCGGTTGAGAGCAGATGCCGGCAGGTGCTCTCCTTCCTCCGCTTCGTGTGATTCTTCGAACCGGAGCTAATAGCGGCAGGACGAGGGGCGACGGCGCAGGTATTTAAACCCGAGGAGATTCGCCACGGATGAGAACCGAGCAGGGAACCTCCACGAGAATTGGGCTTGGTTTCAATCCTCCCAGGGCTCCTGCTGGCGTATCCACCGGCGAAGTTTCTGCACGCTCGACCAGGGACCCCGTCCAACTACTTCTGATGATAATCGGGCCGATCTCTGTTTCTACCCTCTTTTTTCAATCATGCAGCCACCCGGCAGCCCATCTCTCCCCTGGCAGCGTCGTCAGCAGACACTAGAGTCGCGCTGTGTGGCAAGCAGTCAGCTTGTAGCCAAAGCCAGTCGTCTGTCTCCTGTTTCTTGTCGCTGCCGCTGCTGTTGTTGTTGCTTGATAGGGAAAAAGAAGAAAAAATAAATATAAAAATAAGAAAAAAAGAAACGCATGGACCGGAAAGTCTTGGCACAGAGCGGAATGCCAAGAATGATCACGTGGAAGCTGAAAAAAGGAAGCGACGGAGAAAGAAGCAAAAAAAAGTCAACTTCGACCAACTTGAACCAGCGACGGCAAAGACAAGCAACGACAAGCAACAATCGGCAGTAGCAGGAGGCCTGGGAATGGCTAGGGATCGCCGCAATTCAAGCATTGCATTGAGACAAAACCGTGCCGCCGTTTGAGAGCAGACCCTTCTACAGCTGGGATTGTCGGCTGCCAATAAAATCCCCAAAGCTTGTCTCCAGCACTGTTCGTTGCTTATCTCTCCTCAGACACTCATCTTACTCCGTACATGCTCCATATAATATTCCGTACGCCCATCACCCAGTGAGACTGATAGCGACGTCTTGCTGCAACCCGTTCACCAAGAAAACATGGCGCTTTGACGTCCCGCGAGGCTGCTGTGCGACGTCTGGGGCGTGTGGAAGCTTCAGCTTCAAAACACGGAATCGGGTTTGCGCTGTCGTTAGATGTCATTGGCTCCTCTTTCGCTTTCGCTATCTTCGCCACACGCGCGAACGGCGGGAGTTTAAACGCTAGTGTGAGAGAGCGAGAGCGAAAGGACCTGGGCCTTCTTCTCCTTCTCTCTGCATACCTGCTCCGTACAGAGATTATCCTGGCTGGCCAGACGACATGGGTAGTTCGCTATCCCCCGACCACGTCACTCCCGGGGGGTTCCTCGCTCCACCCATTCGTTCGTCCTCCCGTCATGTCGGATCTGTGACTCAGGATGGGTTTATGCAGGAGCGGAAGCGAGACTAGTGCTCGCCTATGACTGGGCACGGGAAGCTGAACCCCCTTGTCGGTCACGGAACTGGAAATAATGCATGGGATGCAGGCCAGCCGGTGCGATCTTCACCCATATCGGGTCCGAAGTCGCTTATCAAGCTGTCCCCTTCCATATATCTGATGGCGAGGATCTTCCGGTTCGTGGGGTAGGTTCAGTTCAGGCATCCAGGTTCGTGTTTTAAGATTCGCATGATCAGACAAAAAGGAGTTTGGGACGAACAGGATGGTGGCAGTTGTGAGACCGCCTATCAAACCGGGGAGAGGGATGGAGAGCTTCCATTTCGGCACTTCAACAAATGATTTGACCCCGGGAAAGTCAAACCAGATAACTATCTTATATACACCTTTTTGCTTCGTTCGAGGGTTTATTCCGCGGTTCCCCGTTCGATAAAGATGTTAACAGCTCTATTAGGACCCTGTTTTCTCAAACGCAGTCCATTTTAGCTACAAGGAGCTAGATTTTTGACTCTGCCGTAGATGAGGTTTAATCGCGGCTCGGGATCTTGTTAAGCAAACAAAAGGCTAACGGCTTCTCCAACGGCTACGGATGATACCCACAAAGCCAAATTGTACATTAACGACCAAGTCGATCCTGGCGAACTACTATCCAATAGATATTAATCCAATAGACCGTAGCCTCATGACTGCAAGCACCCAAAAAAAAGAAAAAAAGAAAGGAGCATATTTATTATATCAGGGGGGAAATGACTATTAGCTGAGAGCTTGAAGGGTTTCTTTTGGCGAAATCCAGAGGTGGCACAGGGGTATATATCAAATGGAACATGTCTTGGACAAAAGGAAAGGATTAGAATTACTCAGAACTGATCGCTGATGCAGTGGAACAGCGGTTCCATAGACCACTATTATTCCAACTCCGAATATAGTTGGGGGAAAAGGGGGTTTCTAAACAAGTGTGATAGATGGAGACATGGCGTGTCCGGGGGAAAGGGGGTTTAAGGGGACGGTGAGGAATTGCGGCTGTTAATCGGAGGTAGGCATGCCCTCGACGACGTCGGTCAGGGCTCGCCAGTTGTCAGCCTGCAACTCGGCATATTTGACTCTCTCCTGGCTCCAGTCTTGGTGCAGGAGGCTGATGCGATACTGGCTTCGTTGGAAAATGAGTATCTCATCGCGGATACACTCCTTGATGAAGACCCCGCGGGCATGCTGCTGGACAATAGACTCCTTGTCCTATTCGAAACCATTAGTCTGTCGTTATAGCCAGTAGGCGAAACAGAGATTCAGGGGAACTTGAGGCACGGAACCTACCTTGATGATGGCGTCTTCAACCTTCTTCGCTTCCCCAGGTTTAACCGCCTCTTCAGGTTTGGCGCGGATGGCCTGCAGCTTTTTCTCATTGTTCTCGATGCGGCGTTCGAGCTGGGAGATGTTATCCTTTGCAAAGCGATCTCTCCGATCGAACACGTCTCGCATAGCGACTAGGCAGTCACGCTGAGCCTTCAGATCCTCAAGAACGCCTTGGTCCCACGCCTTTGCTTCGTCCTCTAACAGGCCTTGACTTGTTTGCAGGTGATTGGCAGTCGCATTGATGCCATTGTTTAACAGGGGAACGTCACTGGTATCGGCAGCATATGTGTCCATCGTGCTCTCGGTCAGGGCATGGAGCGCCCTCGAAACTCGGAACTGCTCTGCGGCTAGGCCTTGGTGGCGTTTTACCAGCCTGTCCATCAGGAGGCACAGGTTAATATAGATGTCAGCTGAGCGGCGGACACCCGAGCGGACGGTGTCAAAGGTATCGTTCAAGGTTGATGGCAGCGAGTCTTCCAGGTCTGGGGGAAGCGGCTTATCCGTGAATTCCTCCTGTACGGAGATGGAGGCTTGTTTACGCCAAACAGCCAGTTCCTGGGCGCCTAGTTACTAACGCATAGAAAAATGCAAACGGAAGTATGGACTTACAGTAGGAACGGAAAAGAACATTACAACCAGCTGCTCCTGGTTCAAAACCGGGTGACGTACGAGAGCATTGGCAAAGCGGACGAGGCCTCTGCGACGTTTATCCAAAAAGGAGTTTGAATCCGCTGATAGGTGAGTGCCATTGACTTTAGAAAAACGTATTTGTGAGCATTTTTAAGGTAAGCTTTCCACCTGTTCAACGTACCTGCAACCCTCTTGGGAGGGAGTAATGGGATCTGCCGGAAGGGGAACTTCTTCTGGAGGCAGTCCACAAGCCAGACAAAGTCACTATATCTTCGAATTACGGAGGTAGCCTTGCGCGCAGACTTGACTTCATAGTTGCGGTGCTGGAAGAGGAACATGCCCTCTTTTTCAGGGAGCATCTGGATGGTAATAACATCCTCCATCCCCGAGTTGCTTACTTGACCGCCGCCCAACGACCTGGATAAATCATTACGGCTGGAGTTGGCTTGTCCACTATCAGGTTGGCCGAACCCAGCACCCAATGTACCCTGATCATAATTTCCAAAACCGCTTGCAGACGACGGGTTCCCAAACCCACCACCTCCCCATCCAGACCCAACGCTCGCGGGAGCGCCAGTCGATTCGTTCGATCTTGTGCTTGCAAAATTCCGAGGTTCGGTCTGGGTGTTGGGCTTTGGTGCTGGCTCTGGTTCGGGAGCGTCATGGGCAGCCGAAACTCCATTTGTGCCACCCTGGTTGGGGCGGTGGACTGGCTGACGAACTACCGGGCTTCCCCATGGGTCTGCTTCTGGGCCAAATGAATCCTGTCGCAGCCTACGGCGTGTTTGTGGTATCTGAACAGTATGTTGTTCTTCGGTGGATTGTCCAGCAGCTGTTCCATTCCCAGCATTTCCCGTCTGTACACGAGTGATATAAGGAATATTAGGCTCCGGTAGTCCTAACCCAGTATCAAATAATGTATTATCAGTATAAGTATGGAGAAATAATGGTATTATGTAGATAGAGATTTGAACTTACTCTTCCTGCGCTCGTCAACGCTGTCCAAAGTAATGTCTTCGCCCTCCTGCGCCAGGCCTACAAGTGCTAGAAGAACATTAAACTCGTTCCTCCCAAGGCTCGACTGAGCTCCATTGTTCGTCACCAAGTTGAGAATTCCCGTTTGCTCCGAAGAGCTCAAATGCGTGGTTCCCAGAAGGCTTTTCAATTCCTCGACACCGATGGTCCCCGCAGCGCCTCCTGCAGCGCCAGCGAGCGCGTCGAATGCATCTATATAGCTCTCCGGAACATCAGTCGATGGCAGGAGGGTCTTGACAATCTGCTGTCTCGAGCCGGACTTCCTTGGTGTCGGCATATCCCAGGGCGATGAGTATCCGTTGTCGTTGTTGTTGTCGTCGTCAGCCACGCCCCTAGTGTTGCTATTGCTGTTATTCTTATTGCTGCCGCTGTGGGACGAGAAACCCTCGTCTGCTCCAAACAGCGAAGAGGGATCGTCCGCGAACAAGCTTGATTTCACTCGCGATGAAGATGATGGCTGTTGCGCTGCCTTGCTGGCCAGCGGAGAGTCCTCGGGAGAGGAGCCGAAGAGCGACATTGGAAGGTCGGGAAAGCCGGTCGCGTATAGCTGAAGGTAGCTGCTGTTATTTACAGGGGCCTCTCAGAGCGCGCGCGGCTTCAAGGTCTCCCGGGCGTCAAGCAAATAGCAAGTAATATGAAGATCGTTCTTCCGGCCGCAACGGGGAGGGATGTTTTTGCGATGCAGGTCAGTGATGCAGCGGACAGGCAGCTAGGATCAAGCTTAACTAGCTTTGTAAACACCGCCACCGAGGCTCCTCGCGCGAATGGGATCGAAGATATCCAAGTGGAGGACCCTGTACAGACAAGCGCAGCAGGCGATAGAGCCAGCGTGTGTTACCGTGCTGCTGTCAGGTCGTGAGCGAGAGGAAGATGGGTTGTTTAGCTGACGTTGTCGGTGTTGACGAGGTTGGGATTTTGGTTACGACCAAGAAGCTTCCGCCGTTGGACTTAGTTACTATTTGACTTGACTTGATATTAGGTTATTTAGTCGACTGGTTATTTAACTATTAGCAGACATAGTTTTAGTTAATTAATATAGCAAAGCTTTTCATGACAGCCGTTTTGAGGTTAATAATATGGAGTTTAAGCTCGTTACGACATGTATACAGAGACCTGCGTTGATAGACGGGTGTATTGGAGGCCATGCATTATTCGTAGCCTGTTGGTAGGTCTCATTCGTATTTCTAGATCCATTAAATATGCAAAGTCGTAGATAGTTACAGTTCAAAACTCGCAGCAGTTTGCGCTCCATTTTCACAAGGGGCAGCCGGAGCATGGCATAGGGGCTGTCCAGCCTGAGAGAACACAGCATGTATCTCTGCTAGATCATTAGTTATAGGGTATTGTAGGATGTTCTCCCAGCCTTTGCCGCCGGTGGCCATGATCAGTTCAGGGATGACTCGGCCGGGGAACCACCGCTCACGTCGGATGTCGGCCTTGCCAACTCCCTCAACAGCTGCCCTGCTTGCTCGTGTCGTCCTCGCACGCTTGCTTGACGGCCCGTTCTGCGGGAAAAGCCCATTGAGCCTTAGCCGGTATTGCTCCAAGTACATGTCGAACAAGACAATGTGTCGGATATATGGCGCCACGTCCTCGGCAATGACTGAAGTGCCGTGCTCGAACGAAAGCGGACGGATACTGGAGGCCAGGATAGAATAATCGGGTGGGTCAATAATGGCTTGGAAGGCATCTTGAAACACTGTTTTGTGAAGCTGCTTCGGTCCCTTGGGAGCTGCTCTTTCAAGGACGTGCTCCAGTACATCGTCCTGTTCCCCTATGCATACCTCAGCAGGACAGAGGGCGGTCTCAGTAAGTGTGCTCAACGCTGCACCTATCTTTGCGGATAGCTGGTTAAACTCCATCCGGGGATCTGATTGAAGTAGCTGATATCCTTCAATATAATCTAGCCTTTGCTTCTCGGGTATTGGTGGCATGGATGGATCAAGTGAACGCTGAAAAGCCCACAGTTAGTATCATATAAGCCTCGTCCTCGGTGATTCATTCAACAGTAAGCCTACCTTGTTGCCATGATATCCTTCGTCGCAAATTATATCTAGACAGCTCCTAACATCAGCTGCTAGATCTATTTGTTCCAAGCTGTCAGTTAATCCAAAGCATCCACCACTCATTCGGCCATTCCCGGTTTCAAGCCAGTCCATCAACCCGATATCCCACTGCTCACTGCCTTCGTTTAATAGCTGTTGTCGAAGCTCTAGGTGAGTTTGCTCGGTCACAACAGTATCTGCGCTATACCATCCCATGCACTCCATGTAGGTGTCAGAACTTATCGTCCTATACAATTCACCAGAATCCCGTAGGTCCAATGCTTCCGTAGCCACCATCCAGTCTAGTCCTGATTTCCGGCTGCCTACTCCCATTTGGCACCAAAAGCTTAGCCGCGTGATAGTTGCTCGAAGGTCTCTCCCTAAAGCAATATATAAGTCCGATACAGCTTTGCGGTCTAGCAGATGGCCCTCGTTTGCGCAGAGCAGTAGTATATAATCGACTGCAAGATCATTGGGCGGTGGTTGAAACCGTAAGACTGCATGAAGGACCAAATTATCTAGTGGAAGAAGACTTTCATCCGTACATGTCATGACAATCGGCCTTTTGGATTGGCTGATCAGCGCAAGCACTCCAGTCCAAAATTGTTTATCTTCATTAAACAGGACATCAACTTCTTCAAGCAATATCAACGACTGCTTCTGGTTTATTTGAGGTTTTGACAGTTCGCTACTCTCCGTTTTGGGCATCTTTTTCATCGAACCAGCATCCACGGACTTCGGCACACTTTTCTTTGCAAAGAAGCTTGCCATAGTGCTTTGTTTAGAGCCCTTCCCATTATCAAGAGCATCTGAGCTAACTTGTTCTGATTCACCATCTGTCTTGGCCAAGAGTTGAACAAGGTGATTCTGGGTCATATCACCAACTCTCTCGACTATGTCCCGGGCACCCCTCCGTGTACCGGCATTTATTTCAAATACCTCAAACCCCAATTCTCCAGCTACAGCGTATACAGCCGCCGTTTTCCCACACCCTGGTGGCCCGCTAAGGAGTATAGTATTCGCCATCGGCCGTTTGGCCGAGGTAGTGCCCAAATCATTAGATCGAACGATTGACCTTTTCACGGGGACTGTAACACATCCCGCCAATTCGTCTTCCGAATTCTGAAGTTCACTCATGACGCCATCTTCATCTTCACTCGAAACGATGAACCCATCCAAGTCTTTAGGCTTTTTCCGTTTCCTTTTCCTGACCGCCTTATTCTCCGGCGTTTGACGTGGGCTTGTGCCTAACCCTGTATCGACTGCCGAGACTTGATGGTTTTGGAGCCAACTTCGCAGGATGGACGTCTCAGGGCCTAGCAGAAGGACTTCGGCAGCTGTTTTGGGGGCATATTTCTGAGGCCACGTGGTATCGTCATATTCACCCCTGTCAAAGGGGCTTGTAGCAGTATTCAGGGATGATGCAAGTTTTACCAGGGCTGGATGTGTTGTTTGAGGTAAAGTATCCAGCTGACTCTGTCCACCCTGCCCAAAGTTGCACGCTGCTAGCTTTTCGATAACAGCTCTTTTGAACTCGCTACATTTAAGAACGTGTCTTTTTGGGCGCCGTAGAGCTTTTGATCGTTGTTGTTTGGGAGCAGTAGAGTTTGACCCTGCGAGGGATAAGGTGATAGTCGAGAGGATACTCTCGGTATCGGAGACTGAAACGGCCGATTGCTTTGCTTTCCGCTTTTCCAGCCTTCTACCAGTTGAAGGATATACAGGATCAATGGGACCACGGGTATGCACCATGTCTCGAGGTGGCCAGATAGGATTAAGAGGTTCCCTGACCTTCTGCTTCTGGCTAGTAGAGGGAAAAGAGAGAGGAGGGAAAATTCGTGAGGTCGATGTAGAACTTTTGTTTTGTAGTTGAATTGAAGCTTGTGGAAGTGTAGAGTTGCCTAAAGCATTGGATGGGGTATTTGAAGGCTGAAGAGGCTGATTGGAGGTTTTCTGTTGGCTCTTTGATAGGAAGAAAGGGTGAGTAGGCTTAGGTGGCCCTGTAGAAGATGGTCTTGTACGAGGTTCAGTCTTTGATTGTGTTGTTCGCCGTTTCAACTCTGAATATGTGGTACGTCCGTTCATGATATCGTCGATAAGTTGTCCAATATTTTGTTTGAAGGGCCCACTGGGGTTATATGCAATCTTTGCAATTTTAACTCGATTGACGAATTTGGCAACTGTGTTGAGACGCGAGGACTTTCTTCTCGTACTTTGGCGAGGTTGCTTGTATCCAACGCTTTCACCTAGTGGGAAGGCGCTGAGTAATTTCGAGTCTAATCGCAGATGTAACAGCCTCCTTTCGGGTTGTGACTTTTTGTCTGATGCAACCGGGGATTTTTCGTCTAACTTTGAGCCAGTGGGTGTGCTCGATGCGTCGTAGTATGTCACTGGCATCTCGGACACAGGATGGACAGAGGATGCAAAGGAAGTGACTTGCGGCTCTATTTCTGGAACTGCATTCAAAACTACCGGATTCATAGTCATAGTTCCATACTCTGCTGTCTTGCATCGTTTTCTCCGATGGCCTGCTTCCTCCTCAACGTCATCCAAATGGTTTAACTCAAAGGGCTGGAATACATCTTGGGCAGCGGTATCCCCATCGGATTGGGAATTTCCATATATATTTCTCTCAGATGTATGTTCAGGGGTTTGACCCCCATCCGGGGTGTTAATAGCTTGGTTGCCTCCGTGCTGGCTGGGCTGGGGTCGGAGAGGTTCTGGTTGAATGGGTGGAGCAATGCTCTCATCTAAAAGCAGTGTTAGCCAAATCCGCGCAGACACCCTTGAGGAAACTGTACGTTTGCTGAAGAACGGAAGAAGCGTCTGTTGCTCTACCGCCCTTCGGGCCATATTGAGCGTCATTGACCACTGCGGTTGCTCCGTGTTCAACGTCCACCAGGCGATATGTAAAGTAACAATTCACATAAATAGCAGCTCAGGCCCAGGTCGACCTGGCCTTCTCTGTCAGCTGCACCATCGCTGTTGCTTCACGCTGTTGTCGGTTATATCGATCAACTTAGCAACCTTCGTCACGCTTTCGCCTTCGTCGCGTCTTTCTTTTCCCGCGCGCGTCGACGCTTAATGAGATTCGGCCGGAGTAACTTTTCTCCTGCCGCCGCCGAAACTCAAAAATTTTAGATTGCAAAAAGAAGGAAAAAAGAGAGAGAAAAGAAAAAGAAAGATTTTGAGATTGAAGACGTTGACAGAAACACTCGACGAGCCCGATATTAGCCTGTGGACAGTGCATTGAAGCGGTCATGTCTCTACCGGCCCCGTCTCTATTGGCGCAGTTGCCACGACCGCTGGTCAATGCTGGTGGGAAAATTCAGTTCGGAGAAGTATATGGCATCCAGGGTCTGAAGAAGCGCAAGCGACATGAAATTATAGCTGCCATCGATGGCGAGGGTGTTAATATATACAATGTGAGCCAACTCTATATGTAGGATATATAACTGTGATGTCAAAAACTGACAGATTTTAGGCTCAATTCCCGAAATTGGTGACCTCATACGCAATCCCACCTCAGGCATCACATTCTTGCCCACCATGCTCTATAAGACAAAAGCTCCCAGGAAACTCAGGGGCAAAGAGACAGACATACTGCGCAGTGGAAACCTCCGGAAAGGAAATCAAATGTTTTACGGACGAGGTGGTTTCAGGCAGAAACACGCCAAACATATCTACAAGCTCTTTCCCTATCAAGGACACTGCCAGCAGACCTATCTTTATAGGCACCATTCCTACACATAAGCCATCCGAGGAGTGCTTTGATACCTTTGATGTCCTTGTTGCACATCAGGATGGCCGGCTAAGAAGGCTTTCTCCTGACTTAAAAACGGAAAGATGGACCATTCGCTCGGAAAATACTTGGTCATCCCGCGAGCTTGCCGCATGTTTTACTGTGAGCTTTGAAGACGCACGAAAATTTCTTTTCCGCAAGCGCGAAGATATAGTAGCGTCTGTATTGGGTGGTAGATTTGGGACCGACCCTGACAATTCCACTATCCTAGTCTTGGTGGCTCATACCACGACCGACACTTTTCAACTCAACGACGTGCAGGTTATGTTCTACTCTATTTCTTCTCAGGCTCAGACCGATAATCTCCAACTCCAAGCTCCTGAGCTGTTGGAGCATTTAATGACACTGAACTTACCAGCACATCCAAGCCAGGATTCATTGACTGCCCATGACTGCCAGTGGAGTGCTAACTTTGTTCCTGGGGAGCTGTCTCTCTCTTCCAATTTCGGATTCATAAGCTTTGATATAACTCAGTTTTCCCCCAAAGTGTCTTCCTGTGTCATGATAGAGGGCGAGGCATTTTCCTCGGTCATGCGGATATCCTCCCAGTCTATCATTACTGGAGGTAAATCTACACTATCTGTATATGATACACATTATCAATCACTCCAGGCAGCACTTCCATTGACCGAGGTTTCCAAGTCCACATCGAGTAAGAAGCAAGATGTTACGAGTTCGCTTGAATTTATATCCCACTTCTCTAAACTTAATGTCCTGGTGGCGGCATACGGTGGTAGCCTCTACAGCTTTGATCTCGCTTCTATCCATAATGAACGCTCTAAAAAACGGCCGAGAAAAAGTCTCTTGATTGATTCGGTAGGAAAAGGAATTATGTCAGGGGCTAGTGAAACCAAGAGACTGTCCATCAAATGGCCAACGGTGGAAGATGTCCAACCTGCTAAGCTTTCGGAAGACCAGCTTGCTCAACACTGGAGTGACCTAAAGAAGGAACTTGCCTCCGCAACAAGTACATCCACGTTTGATGCCGTTATGAGAGCAAAATTCTGGGATACCCCAGGGTCTTGCAAAGAGAGGGGCGAAATTTTCCCACTAGATGGTGCTTTTATTGATCCAGAGAAGATAAAATTCCTACTAGCGAGAATGTTTAGGGTCAAGGTATTTATCGACAAGGCAACTAACAACTCAGCATCGGTCAAACTTATCGCATCACTGATTCCTCCAATAACGTTCAAGTGGCTTGTCAATTCGAAACATCTCAATGCCGCCAATATCGAGGCTGCCCTGCGGTGTACCAATGACCCTCACAATCTATCCAAACTCCCAACCGGCGCTTTAGTTAAGGCTTTGGCTTCTTACGACCCATCTATGAAGATATTATTGATCTTGTTGCGCGGCCCTGGGTATCTAGAGGTGACCGAACTGGCCCACGCTCTCCGTGCACTACTCGAGGTTGCTCGTCGGCAATCAAATGTCTCTGACACTTCTCAAAAGTCAATTACGGAAGCTGCGCATACTGAAACCACGGACAATGCACACAATGCCTCAGGAGACAAGCAAGTAACAACTCCAAGCACAACACTTGTGAATGCAATCACAGGTTTGAATTTGGCCCTAAACAAGTTGCACTCGCATCCATTGAACTGTGTTACCAAATCCATCCGAGACATACTGTCAAATACTGACGTTCTTTCCATCATCCATCACCTCCGCTATTCCCTTGCTACCGGTGGCCACACCTCCCGCTTTACGGAAGAACCTCCGGCTGCTTTCTCTAACTCCAAATTTCCATCTTTGTCTCTTTCAGTAATTGTTGACTTGCTTACCGCATGTATCGATGCTGTTGGACCAAGTGGATGGATATCAGCAGCTGGGTTTGCAGGCACAGCAGGAAGTGAGGCGTCTCTTATTGCAGATATGAAGAGTGAAATCGCCGCCACTCTTACTGCTATCGACGAAGCTACCTATTTGAAAGGGATACTACGAGAATTTATAAGGTGCTGTGAAACCTCTGCCCAGCATTTGGCCACCGCATCTAAGTCTCAGCGTGCCAATACCGACGGTACATCAACCAAGGCACAGAATGCAAAGCTCAGGCGAAAAGAGTATCATCACGGAGCTCGTATCCTGGTTTACAATGTCCCTGAGGATTCGGCAGGGCTGGAAGGTGGTGACTCAAAGATGCTGCCACTGTCACTCAAAGTAAGCGGCGCTCAATCTGGGGTTAACGACGAATTGTCCAAGAAGAAAGTACACAAATCCACAGGAGAGGTCAGATCCAGGAGTGGGAGAGAGATTGCTCACAACAAGCATAAGGCTGTTGGTAAATACTCGTTTGAAAGGATTGTTATTTAGTGTCTCCAAACAGGTCGATCTACTCATGACTACAGATAATATAAAATCAATGTGGCTTTCGTCAAATTGCTATTCGGGGACACCCTAATCATCGTACATTATATAAGAGGGAAGCAGAGGATTTGGTAGAATTGAAAAAGTCAAGTTAAAAATTCAAAGACAAAAAAAATATTAAAGAGTTTTTTAATCATGGTTTTGCCCATCGGCCAGCCAATTCCCCCTTTCTCTCTTGACCGGTTTAACTCATTCTCAAGGCTCTTTCAAAGGGTAAGTCGAAGGTATTCTCAGAAAAGTAATGTGTAATTCAGAATGGTGACCAGGAATCATATACATGGAACAATGTACACACATAGTAGGCAACAATAATGAAACGATAAATTGGATCTTGGGAAATAGCAAACAACGCAAAAACAGGAATTCAAACTGCATTTCAAGCAAGGTAAAAGATGCTAGACAAGCATTAAAAATATATAACAGCTTCAGTCAGCACAAAATCTCATGCGAATAACAAGGTAAATGATATGAAAAGCAAACTGATCAAATGATGACCAAACACGCATTCAACTCCAGTACAACAACGAATGCAACCGAACCAAACGCCAACCCATATTCTCGGTCGGCCGTAACATTGACGAGGCGGTAAAGGCATAGAAAAAGAAATAGTCTCTGAAATAAGCAAGCACCGAGCAATTTCTGAACATAAAATCATGAACATCGGATAAGCTTTGAATAACAAGTGTACAGCAAGTCAGCATATACTTTCAGCACGAAAATTCAAGTCAAAGGCGATCAATCACTATCAAAGGGCATTGGAAAGGTCTATACATCATTAGAGAATAAACGAAAAGGGAGAATGATTGAACCGAGCTACTTCTTTATCATCGTCTTTTTTCTGTTGTTGTTGAGGTTCCGTTGTGCTAGGCATTTTCTGTGTCGTTCGTGTATATGTAGTTCGTGATCTACCGCCGCAACCGTGTGCATCATCTCTAACAGAATATTTGAAATAAACCCATTTTCGATGATGAAAATTGCAGCATTGGGTCACAGCATGAACCATCACCAATAAAATTTTGTCCTTAAAAGTGTATGTACCGCAGGAGAATGAGATATCGAGACCAATGTGGTTAACATTGCCAAGCCGAAGAACGATGAATTGGTATCGTCTCGCAAGATGTATTGTTTACGAGATGAAGTAAATGCTTATCCAGAACAAGAATTCTGGGCTCTCAATTTCATCTTCTGCCCTTGAGCTTCGAGTGCATTTGACATCAGCTTAATAACTGCGGATTAAATACTCATTAGTACAATCCTCTCCTCCGGTAACAAAACGCAAGTTTAGAGGATAAGTGCTTACCTGGCCAGACACCCGCGTTTTTCAGCAAAAAGGCAGCTGAGAGAACAATCTTCGATCCATAACCACCATCAACCAAACTAGGCAGGCAGTTCCATGACTCGGATCCCGTGGCTCCAAGATGAGACATCATATTCTTCATTTTATTCTCGACGTTGTTCAAAATATCCTGGATCTTCCGCATCAGATTGCGGTCCTCTTCCTCCAACAAAACTGTAGCCGGAACTTCGTTGAAATCAACATGGTCTTGGCCCAGAATTCCAAGGAATGGGCCAGTACGCTCTTGCACGGCGGTAGCCCATTCAGCCAATACCTGTGCAGAATCGAATAGACATATCGCATTTTGGATTGGCAAGTCACGGGAAGTGAACTCAGCGAAGGTATTTCCCCATTCATTTGACATCGACATGGAGTCCGCGGCATAGAAGGCAGCCTTGCGAAGAAGACGCTCGCTTCTGGATGCTTGCATGTCGTTTTGCCCGTCGGTAGCAAGTAACGAGAGATTGTCATTTGACGAGTTCGATATGGTGAGATCTGCAACACCATAGTCTGCAAGTGATTCTAGCATTTGAGCGGAAATTGCGTCACCATTGGTTGAGAGTGAGAACCCTGGATCGGGGTTCTTGTTAGAAAGCGACGCAGATTGAACCGCTTTGGTAAGCTCATCCGCCATGTTGCTCCAATCTCGCTGCCAAAAGGCTTCTTTAGACCGGCCAAGGTTGACGTATAGTCGAACATAAGCTAGATCCAAGAGCGGTATGCTGTCTGCAGACAAGGGGCCTGCACCGAATGGATTGGGTCGTTCTAAACTGTGCGTAGGGTTACTACTCCAAGCTCGTTGCCAAGCTCTGATTGCGGGTTCGATGTGTACATGCATTGCTTCCGTCTCTTGATTCGACCATTGTTGGCCCAAATGTAGCTGTCGCGTTTCCCAGACATAATTATGCAAAGCATGAATTAATACCAAACATCCAAAGGTACTTGGCCGTAATTCACTAGACATCGATCCATCTGCTTGAAGAGTTGGCCCGTATTGGTTTTGGGCTGGCATCTGGCCTGCATTAAGCAGTGACTTAAGGGCCGTGGAGAACTCAATCGAGTTGTTTTCGGCACCTCCCATTGCTTTCCATGTGTCGGGAGATTGGGCTGCCCAAAGTTGTTCTTCACAAGGCAAAGTGAGACGGATTTCAGAATTTGTAAGAGCAGGTGAGTGGTTATACGTAGAAACCAACAAGCTAGAAAGAGTGAATATAGCATAAAGAGTTCGTTTTCTTTCCTCCACAATTTTCCACTTAAGCCATTCTTTCCTTTCGTTTGAGACTTCCGCATGCTGTACCATCCATGTCTCCATATTTGCCTCCGACAAATCGCTAGAAGAAGCATTGTACCCTAGCTGATCGGCAGGTAGAGATTCAGGTGGATGGTATTCTGTTAATTCAGCAGCTCGTGCTAGACTTATAAGAGCCGCGCAATGAGTGCTTGCAATGTCAACTGCTGTCTTGTCATCGCAGTTATGACCGTAAATAACGTTAAGTAGCATTGCTTGCACAAGCCAAAGTGGAGTGTTATGGAGCGAGCTATCACGGCTGTAGTTGGAACGACTGATAGCAGCGGACATATCAGCTCTCCGTCTCTCCTCAAGGTAGAGTTGAATCATCTTCTTGGCAGACTCGAAGAGCTCCTTTGATGTGGCCGAATCGTATTCGTAGAGGGCACCAATGGCAGCCATGGAAAGGATTAGACAACCACCGCCGAGAGCAATATTGCCTGCAGTGCTTGATGACCTAGGCTTTCCCGAATATTCAAGAGCAGTGAAATCCAAAGTTGGAACGTGGAGGAACGGTAAATGTGGATGAAAATAGGTAACATATGCAGAGACATATCGCTGGAGATCGTATGTACTGGGTATATTGCAGGTATGCTGGGAGTTTCCTAGCATATTTCCGGAGCTAGAAGGGCTCATAGGCGAGGCGTTAAGGGAGTGCTGCGAGAATCGGCGACTATTGAAACCCGAAGGCTGTTGTAAAGTCCCCATCAAAGCCTGTCGCGTTGAATCAGTGATAGAGCTCAAGTAGGCTGGTTGAGAAGTTTGATCATAGCCAGATCCAAAGGATTGGAGGCCATTTGTTCCACCCACGGATGAAATATGGAACGTACTGGTAGGAGCTCCCGAAAGCACGGGTCCATTCATTGATGCCAGAGAAGTGGATGTCGAGAAGGGCTGATTAGAAGCATGACTACGTGAAAGAAGAGACTTAGGGGACACAGTATCGGGAGGTGCAGCAAACTCGGGAAAAGTAAGGCTAGCGAAATCCAAAGCATATTGTTGTGATTGGCTTTGAGCTTGGTTGTGTAGCGTGGCAGGCCAGGCTGTGTTACCGGTTGATGTAGTGGCAGCTTGGTTAGCGGCGTCGAGAATTGCTTCACTAAGTCCACTTTGACTTCCTGTACTCATGGCGGATGGGGATGAGCCGTCAATCGCTGAGTCGTTAGGTGCGAACGCAACGGAGTTGTCGATGCCATTTAACCATTCGAATTTTAGATCATCTTCGAGTGTACTCTGTGTAGTGGTCATGTTTGAAAAGGTCTGTGAGAAAGGGGAAGCAGGGGAATCGGCAAAGCCATGAGGTGAGCCTGCAAAGTGCAGTTGTGCAGGGTTAATTGTACTTCCCTGACCGATCATTGCGTCACCCATGCCAAAAGGGAGACCAAAGCTTCCAAAAACTGGTGCAGTCCGAAGAGCATCGGGATATTCACTAGTGAGAGCTGCAGTATCAAGTTTTGATAGGCCATTCAGCGAGCTAATATTTGAGCGATAGTCAAAGTTTGGAAGATTTGGAATGCCTCCAAGGCTGGGGTGATGGGTATGCCCCGGCTGAGTAGGTCTGGAGGCAGAGTTTGCAGATGCAAGCATACCCACAGCTGCTCCTTCAACGTGACTGATAGTGTTGGCCCTCGGCCTCATAGTATTGGCTCCGCCAACTATCGAGTTTTTCCGGACTCGTGTTGAGCTACTCATACTTTCCCTTCTGACATTTCTTGGACGTGACGCTGGCGTGGTTGCCATGTGAAGTTTTTGCTGATGCCTCAAAAGTAGATCCCTTCGAGCAAAGCATCTTGTGCAATCTGGACATTCAAATGGCTTCTCCTTTGTATGGGACCGTTCATGGCGCTTCAGATGCTCTAGGCGCGCAAAGGACCTCGTACAGGTCACACAGACATGCGGACGAGGCTTGTCTGTTTTTGGAGGAGGCACATCTGGGTTGGAGCCTTTTGGTTGATTTTTAGGGTCAGGGGTTTGACCGGCTGGATGGGATACTGCAATTATGATAAGCACCGTTCGGGCAGAAGCAACAAACGATGGGATGCCGCGATGTAACCCTTACCAGGACCATTTTGCATAATTTCATTGATCGCCGTCAGGTCCTGACTTGGCTCGTTATTAAGAGTAATCTGATCGGCCATCATGGTAAACTTGATATCGTGAGAATTCAATCTTGTTATTGACCGTTCTCGACAATGTAATTGGAATGCGTGAAGGTAGAGAGATAGCTTGAGTTAGGAATGTCGGGTTAAATATAGAAAATTGTGAGATAACACCGAGACGACAGTAGGTACGAAGCAGTTGACATGTAGGGAAAGCTATAGATGCGTGGTTAGGCGGAACGGGGACTCTGGCGGGTCGCACAAGGGTGTCTGTAACATCACATACGATGAAAATGAATTGAGTCAGCCATAGTTGAACCTGCGCATTGGCGCAAAACGAAATGATAATAATAGCAACATGAGGAATAGGAACGGACACCGTAAAGGTATCCAAAGAAAAAAACACGGATCAACCGAGACAAAGGTGAATAAGATTGCATATGCGTAGAATTCGGGCGGTTGTAGTAGTCAGAGACAAATATGCAACTCACAAAAGTAAAGATAACAGCCAGTAGTTTGCCGGAGAGCTTGAAAGTCTCAAACAACGATCAAATATAGCCACACCGGGCCGGGAACTCTTCTTCAAGACCCCCACGGCTGGTATTACAAGCGAAGCAGAGGGCACGTTGTCCGAACAATGCAATAGACAAGCTGATCACTGACAGTTGCTATGCGTCATATGGCGGCAGGACGTGACGCTCAGCTTCGATGTACAGTTCAGGCCAGCGAGGCTGATACGGGCGCCGGAGGCGGGAATTGATATCAAAAGTACTATGTTTTGTAAAAACAGCGGTAAGGCTGGCTAGCAGAGTCGCTGCGGCGGAAACAAGCTATGGATGGATCGCATGCGTTGTTAGGACGTTCATTCGCTGATGGAGAAATTGTGCGGTGTGCGAGAGGTAGCTGTAATGGACTGAAGGCGTGTGTTTGTCTGAGTCTGGTAGACGAGAGAACAAAGTCGAAACGAACCCTTGAGAGAAAGCGTTGGGCGGCAAGAGCAGCAAGAAGGAGCACTGCCAACGTCTGGTATGAAGTGTTTCAATTGCCCGCGAGAGGTGAAAAGAACGCAGCACGCAGCAGGCTGTGTTTCAGCGACACCAACGCAGGAGATGAAATGTATGAGATGTCAGCGTTAAGCAGATGAGAGGGAGAGGGGGGAAACGAGTAGCAATGAATGTAATTGCGATATGGCCGTTGGCTGAGGTCGAAAGCAGGCCGCCCAACAGCGCCGGATCAGCGTCCTGCGGTGGTCCTTAGTTCGTGCTAGTTCTTCTGTTGTCCTTCAGTGTCTTCTGCTGCTTTTTGCTGTCTCTGCTGGTGCTGCTGCTACAACTCTGCCGCTCTGCTCTGCTCTGCTCCTGTTGTGCTGCAGACCTTGTCCTTCGTTCTGGCTGTGCTGGTATTCGGCCTTGAGGCTTAAGTATATTATTATTGGTGGCGGCGCATCGTCTTACATGGAACGACAGGATACTTTCTCCAGCGGTTCCCCTGTATCATGTTAGCGTTGTTCCACACCGAGACTGGGGTCACTCGTACCAGTATTTCCTTAGCCCGGTGCGTTAGATTACGCCGCCAAAACCAACATACCACTGTCTGGCCGTGAGATCCACGATATCCATGACAACCAGACATCCCACCGGCACTGTCAGCCATTGATATGGAGAGCGTATCGAGGCTTCGCAGTCGAGTGTGTCGCTCAGCGATTTCGAAAGTGCCGTCGAGGCGACGTCGTCCGAGTTACTCAATGCGGAACAGCGTGTACTGGCGGTGTATTTTTACACCAAGTTACATTACACCAGTACGCCATTTGACTTTACTTTACTTACATAAGCATGTCGTTCCTGGAAGTTTCTTCTGTCAGGGAATTCGAAGAGACGACATGATACAGAGACAACCTCTACTTCTATCCGCACCGAGAGAGAGGGGGGAAGACGAGACGGTGAGTATGATGGTCATATGGTTACGCAGTACATGCCTGCGGGCTCCTGTTGTCGAGACTCTGCTATACTAAAGATATATAGGTAGCACATCGAGCTGTCGCAGTACTCTGTACACACAATACAGATCAGGGTACGGAGTGCTGCAGGTGTAACGGGTGGTACGGAGTGATGACTCTGTTCTCAACGACAAGGTCACAGCCACAATGCATGCCATGGGAGCTAGAGTCCCCCGTACAGAGAGAGACTGGCGAGAGAAGAAAATATGCGCAGGCGGCAGACGGAGGGATATTCAGCGGGAGCGGTGCTGCAGGCGGGCTCTGTTGATCCATCTGCTCAAGCTGGGGGGTCGAGCGTCCTGGCTTGCATATTCCTAACTCCTGTGCGTTGAAGCTGCAGCATGCAAGTTCAGCCTTCGGGGTTCCGAAGCGATCCTGCGAGGAACCAGAGAAAGGTCGGTTAGCTTGCTGCACGCCTGTGTAGAAGAAATATTTCACTGTTGGACATGGTGGTGTAGATCGCCGCCCGCTCAGATGATAAGAAAAATATACGGAGTAACTAGCTAGCTTTCCAATTCTGGGCTGCGCTGCGTTCACAGGCCTAGACTGGGTCGTCCTCGTTGAAGTAGCTCGCCACAAGGCATAGGGTTTCCATCTGGGCGGAAGCGGCATGGAAGTCGTGTTGCGTTCCACAGACAGTTCATGTTTATGCGGTCTTGACGCTGGACTTTTTGACGGAAGAGGAGATGATCCCCTCGCGTCCTGGCCTCCAGCTCTTTCGACTCCCAGCTCATATCCATGGTGGATGATGGATGGATCAGAAAACGTCGGATTAACCCAGTCCCATTAATCCGATACATCCTAGGAAGTTACATCCGCCGACTGGCCATTTGCATATGCGACCAATTGATTTTCGTATCTTGTCCTCATTCCTCGACAATGCATAGAAACTTGGACAACACTCAATACCCAGCGGCTCCCACTTGCAGGAAATACTCAGATACACAGAGAAGGAATGTTTTAAAACGGAGAAATGGCGGGTAATGTCTGAGTCCTCGAAATTTGGACTATTTATATTCACTTCGTGTTTGCAGGCCCACAGAGCCGGAATAGAGCAAACCTCGGCACGCACAACCATCCAGTCGTTTGTTCTGAACTCCGGATGTTGATGGCGTTGCGGCCAACACGAGCTCTTCCCGAAGTCTGGAGATGGCCCCTGACGGCTTCTTCCCCACAAAATCAACCTGAACTGACACCGCGTGGAGTCCGGGGCGCAGTGGATCCTCCAAACCTGCCTTCAAACAACTAGACAACACTTGGGCATAATTTCCGTCTTCCAGCACGATGACACACCCAAAATCTGGCCAGCCGTGAAACTCTCTTGGCTAGACGAGTTCTTAATAATAGGATCAAGAATGAGGAAGAATATTTTAAGACGCTAGTGTAGCAAGAAAATGAAGAGCTCTATTTTCCTTTGGTTCAAACATATCCCGATATATGTACCGAGTTATAGTGATTGAGATATACGGAGTACTATGTACCCCGATCCGATTCCCGAGTGATCACTTCTCGGCGGGAGCTGGTCTGAACAGCTGCGAAGCTATTGTTTAGAGCCCCCCAAGTGTCCTATGATCCTGCAGAGTAACTGCCAGTACACCTCAGTAAACCGGTCGTGACCCTAATTTGCAACAGCCATACCTCAAATTGTATCATCAAAGCCATATCTCTCCTCCATAAACGAGGAGCTTTCACAGTACGACCTCGGCTCTCGACCAGCCAAGGCCTAGACGCCCGAACCATCTACTTCTTCGAGATAGTGGCATCACCAAGCTCTCGAGCTTTGACAATCGCGGATCTTGATGTTTGATAACGATCAAATGGAAGGAAAAAGGAACAACAACCTTGAGCCTGTACCTCGTGTACCTCAGCATTTCCCGGTATTTCACTGTATTACCAGTCGGGCAGTGTCATGATACATCGCTGTGACGTTACAGCAAACTTCAAGGCTAGCTTCTTATGAACTAGCGGCGGCATTGGTAAGCGGGAAGCTAATCTACATTAGGAATGAGACTGGTCATGTGTTGGAATCCTAAACGGGACTAGCGGCGCGTATGGAGCTAAAGCAAGGGCGGAATTACGTCATCTGCGACCTCGGCCAAAGCGTCTTCAACACCGAACTTTTTTTGTTTTCTCGTCCTGCTTGGTATCACTCTTGCTTTCTTTTTTGCGATTCTTCGATACTGTGCTCGTTCGATTCGATACAAGCCAGCGCATGCAGTCCTCTCATACTGGAGGCGTCCAAACGGAGATCATCAGGGACAGTCCGCGGTTCGCCATTGCAAACCAGACATTGTTTATAGTTCACGCAGGAAGCATGGTCCTGCCTATCAAGATGCAGGGAAAATCCTCCCCCAGGCCAGCAGGACCGGGAAGGTTCATGGTAAGCCGTTTGAACCCAGCTTCTCGATAACTAGCTCTCTGCCAACAGGAAGGGCCTGTCTTGCGCTGTTGTTCCTGGTCTTCCAGACGCATAATAGAGGCCTCGATATTACTACGGAGGAAGCAGCCCAGCTTGTTGGGATAACTAAACATGCAACCAGAGAGGTTGCCAATACGAGACCCGGCGCCACCTCATCATCTCAGTGGCTCGTTGAGTGTACAGACGAAAGACTAAATAATGGAATGCACGTCAGACACCCGGCGATGACGACCGTCAGAGAGAAGTAACATGATGGTATGTATGAGTATCGACTCCGTTCTATTCCCAGCCCTCTGGATTACAGGCTTATATTTTGGCATCGTGTCACCGAGATATCTCGAGGAACGTACAGAGGGCTTGAAGCCCTCGTATCAACACGCGGTGACCAGGTCAAATAGCAATATGTGTAATGTTCAAAGTCCTTGGGTACCATGAAGCGTGAATCGGCCGTCCTCCGCAGAGACCCCCCAACTCTCCAGGCTTGAACAAACCAAAACTCATCTTCCCAAATTTCATCCACGAATTGGAAGTGATTTTCGATGTCTTCCCGCATGTCGTGCATGACAGCTGGACAAGGATAGGCAGAGCTGGCGTTTTTGATGCATATGTTCTGCCAATCAGGCACAGGGTATCTTTCCACCTCTCCAAAGTTTACCCAGCCAAAGCTGCGCACCTGATGTGATGATATCTGTTGGGCCTGGGACAAATTTGTCAGCTCTAGTTATATAGACAATTCACGTAGACAAGAGAAGCATAGTATACATATGGAGTACTAGCCATGCACTGTACTGACGATATTGTAGATCCCTTTTTGGATAAAACGTTGCTACATGGTTTCTATCTAGCATCTGGCTCGAAAGTTAACGATAACCACCATATCGGCCAAATGTTAGCGTTTGCTATAGCCAGTTATGCGCTAGTTAGTTAAAGAGGCCGAGGGACAGGGACCTCAGTATTCGACTCATTGCTCTGCAACCTGAGCCTTGATTTTATACACAAATAACATGCTACACGGAATTGAAGGACATACATCCTTTTTGAGAGAGGATATACAACTGGCTCAAAGATACTTAAGAAACGCTCGCCAAAAATTGTAGCTTTTGGTTTACCCTTGGTGCTTGTTAGCTATTCTTCGTTTCTCGAAGCTGGTCCCGACGGTCAGATCGTTACACCCCTGCTTGATATCCCGCGGCTTCTATAGGTACTTACGCCCTTCCAGCTTACTCTGTCCTAGTACTCTGTACTGCAGCCTGAGTTGGCAGTATGGAGTAATCCTCAACAAGCCTATAGCACATTAATATTATAACTATCGATCGAGAAATCTGTCAATTAACTAGTTAGTTGGAATATATCGTAGACCCAGCTAAATGATCAATGTTAGATTCTCGCCAGCTTATTTTGTGGAAATTTATATATAAGTACCTTTAGTTAGACGGAGACTTAAAGTCTTGATAGTTTTGTTCTATTCTTGGTTTATTTATATTGGCGCCGTCGGTCAAGGTGGCTACCTTAGTTTACCGTATCTGCCCCTTAACGGGGACTTTCTCTTAAACCCCATACTACTGAGAAGGTAACTACGGGGTAGACATCCTCAACTTTGGAATAAGATTGAGACCTTGGTTTCATTTTCCTTGACATTCAGCTGTGTGGTTCCGGTGCCGTTGTCTCTTTCGCAGCTACATTATCGGTAAGCCCGTCATTCTTTCTCCCCTCTGTGCATTCTTTACTCTCCTTCTCCAACTCGTTTCTACAGAGCCTCCCATCCGACAGCACATACGCAAATTCCTGAAAATACCCCCTGCTCTGTCCTGTCTGCCACTGTCCTTTACTCTTTGCTTTCCACCACCTAAGTTTGGAGCCCGTTGGAAGGGGATGTCTGGGTTGACCCCCAGATAACCACCATATCATTGGCGGGAGCTCCTCGTCATCCTCCAAACGACGCATTTTGCCTTTCTTTCCCATCCAACTGCCACATCCTCCTCGAAGCTGCAGCATCTCCTCTACCCCTTCAGCCTTGTCTTGAGCGAGTATCTCTGGAACCTCAGCCAAGGTCACGCTTTTATCAACCGTCTCCCATCCAGTACGGACGACGGGTGGAATTGACTTTGTAGAAAACGCTGTCCGCGCCCGCACTTTTCTTACTAGAAATGGTTTCTGTGCCTGAAAGTTCTTATTTGAGAGAATATTTGCGGGTGTCAATGCAGATCTTGACACTTCCACTTGATTTTGCGTAACCAGGATTCTATTCCGAAGGACCGCAGGTGCGGACACATATCGACGAAATGCCTGTTGTGACGGATATGGCGAACGGTTTGGTAGCTGGCTCGGCAGGATATTGTTGATATCATGGTTCTGGGTAGATACTGGAGCTGCAGTTTGGTGCGTAACTGGCCGTTCTTCCATGCTAATATTCCCTATTGTCTCAACACATACACCAACTATTAGATTCGATGACGGGTTGTCATGCCACATTTGGATAACTGCCTTAGCGACAGCACCGCCCTTTTTCTCTTCGGCGCCTTGCTCCCTGACTTGCCCCTCCTGGTAAGTCTGATTCGGATCACGCATAGTTTGGGGAATTCGGTGATAAATGGTGGAATTCTGCTTGACGACTATGCTATTGCTCGACACTTAACTCCATTCTCCTCAACAGCCCCCGGGAAACGTTGAATAGCGAGCAAATGAAGGCTTAGAGATTCCACTCATTTCTCATTGAAGAAGAATTCAAGTAGATGGCAGAGGCCATTAACAAGGAATCAGCTTTGATAAAGAAAGCGTTGGCCAACATGGCCTAGAGTAACAGTATATAACAAGGAATTCACAGTTAAATGTAGAAGCCTCTCATATAACGTCACTGTGCCCAGCATAGTTCATGTTTTGATTGTCTGGCCAGCTACTGCCATTTGCTATGAGTTTAATGTTTAGTAGATCCATGGTAGGGCTCAGTCACTTGCAATCTTATTTTTAAGTTTAAGGTAGTAGGTAGTTACCAAAAGTGACTTAGGTATTTAGCATTATAAACCTCTAAAAGATACTCTTTCATCAAATAGAAATAGATAGTGAATCTCATTGCTGCGCATTTTTAGGGAGTATTAACTGCAGAAACTGAAAGTAACCCCTTTATGCAGATGGAATTAATATCTAGGCATATCTAGGCATTAGACCTGCCCTTTTATTGATACGTCTCTTCTAATTCTTTTCTTGTTTCCCATGAATCACTGGGCTAGGCTAATATAAAGGCCAGAATAGTGCCCTGTAAGCGTTGTACCTCCTTTTTTTTTCGCTATAAGTAGTATACCATGAATTTTAAACGCTGATAGTTTTGAAAACACTGGATATAGTAAGTTAGTGGTTTAGTATGAACAAGGCTGGTTAGGGAGATTGAGTTGCTTACCCGAAACCATTACCACCAGTAGCCATGATTGTACCCGGCATCTGCTCCTGCCAATGCAACTCCTTTACCATCTCCATGTAATGTACGAACAGCAGTTGTGATGGGACGTCAGCCAAACCAGCCTCCTCTCGGGACTCCTCGTCGTCTAGCTCGACCGCAAGATCCCAAAGTGTAAGGGTATTGTCCGCAGAGCTAACAGCAACAACGCTGTCATCAGTTGGATGCCATTCGATACTGGTAATTGGCTCCGTGTGGAAATCGAACGAAGCGACCGCCTCTGCTTTGATCTGAGAAGATCCAGCATTCGAAGGCTCGGGTTTCCACTGTCTTAAATCCCAAACACCCCACTGACCATCATCAGCACCTGTAGCGAGAAGGTGGAAAGTCTGCTTCGACCAACTCATGACATTTATGTCTGTATTTGAGATCTTCACGTCAACTGCTGGCTTTCGAGATTTAGACCGAACATCCCACACTTTTACGGTCCCATCGCTGCTGGCGGATGCAAACACATTCTTCTCATTAGGTGACCATTGAATTTCTTCCACAGATGATGAATGTCCCACAAACGGCCGGGAATCAGTAACCCACCCACCACCCTCCGACCGAGTAGTGACGTATATCAGGCCATCATTGTCGCCTGTAAGAAGTTTCCCTAGAGGGTAAAGAGGAGACCAGTCAAGGGCATAACCTTCCGATTTATGCATTCGTAGCGTGGATAATGGTTTAGCTGCTGATGGAGGGATTATCAATCCTGGATTGTCAAAACTGGCCAAATGTTGCGACACATCATGGATAACAACCTGTGTATTCTCTAACATACACGCTGCAAGGGTCTGAGGCGGCTTTGTTGGGTCCCCGGAGGCATGTGGTGTCTGGTGCGACCGAATCCGGTTAGTTGTGGAATTGAGAGGTATCGACTTTGACTCGAGTATGGGTTCTGAAGAGGAATCGTCGTCTGAATCTGATTCATCGTCCGAGTCGTCATTACGTTCGCGTTCCATTCTGCTTAGCCCGCTTAACTTGAGCACCATAAGCTCGTTCTCTTTCGCCCTCCTCGAGTCCGCCTGTGTACCAGAAACTGCATACACGGTTGCTGGATATAGTTTTCGATTACCACCTAAGCTATCTCTGACAATGTCGAATGATAGGCACGGCCACGGTGTGCTAAGAGTATGAAGCATATCATAAGTGGATGGATCAGGTGATAGAGTCTCTCCAGGAGCCAGCTTCGTTCTACCGGGGATAAATGTTTGTTTGTCCACTTCCATTGCATCTGCGTATAAGAAACAGTCCGTCAGCCATTATATCTTTCAACCGACAACAGAGGAATCAGGTCATGGGAAGGGTCTCAAAGAAACAGATTGGTATGCACACCGCAGAACCCAGACTTCTAGGGCAACCACGTACCCCTTTGCTCTTCAGCTTCACGCTCTGCATCTGGCCGGCCGTCAACTCCGGCTTCTATGATCTCATCTTCACTCTCGAACTCGTCTTCAAATTCATCCTCGAACTCCCCTATCTCGTCTGGCGGGGCGTCTTCCATAGGCCGGTCACCAGCTTTCAGCGCCCCGCTGGCCTCTTCGGCCTCTACACCACGCTTTGGCATAGTAGTATGTGTCTACCCGCTTGCTCAATTCGAGACAGACAATGCGGTGCAAAGGTGCAGCGCTGCTATCGAGGGGATGGAAGAAATCGTTATTTCGTTTTGTGTTATCGATAAATAAAAAAAATCTTTATATTATTTTTTTTATTCCCACATGTTTGGGTGTAAATGCGGGCCCGCGCTAGTCTCCTTTTGGGCCAATCCCAGCTTGCGTTTGTTGGTTCTCGCTTTTGGATGAACTTCGTCTTTTTGATAGACAGGAAACGCTCACGAAAAACGACAGAGAGACAACCAAACGGCGGATTGCGGCAGTATTGGCTTTTCTCGGGAGCCAGGTTAACTCGTTTCGACCTGGGACCCCGTCTTCAGTCGCTTGATAGCCCCTTGACCGCACAACTTTACCGCGGCTGCCTCGAGTCTACGCGCTTAAACCTTGAGCTCTCCCTTAAGCTCCCCTGACCGAGTAGAACAAAAGGAGGCACCTGGTAGGCCTTCTTTACACCGGAGTGACATTTCTTTCGCACCTAGGGGCTTCCCTCGTATGTTCTGCATGCGCAGTCCTTTCATTCAACGCCGAAACCGAACAGAAACCGACGTATTAGTCGAAAACGGACGAGCCGTTCATCACGCGAGAGGCCTTGGGTCTATTTATGCCGGTCTTCAGCCTGACAATTCGTGTGATACCATTTCTTGAATACGCTGTGAGGGCAGCTTCTGAGCCCAGACGTGGAGATGGATACGTTAACGAAGGAAGTTGACAAACTCCAGGTGGAAGACGATCCCACGGTGACACAACTCACGGAGACAACTACAAATGCTGAACAATCACCTCCCCCGGCTGAATCTGAATCTGTATCTACACAGGATCCTGCGCCTACGGTAGAACACGCTCCAGATCCCGAACCCACAGTTGTCCCTGAGAACCTGGTTCCACAAACACCGGAGCAAGAAATCCCCGGCCGTACTGATGAGACGCCGTCGAGTTATCAACAGACGTACAATAATGGCTACAGCAACGGACAGCAAAGCCACCACTCGTCATTCTCCCCCGAATACATTCAGTCAACTGCACCAACTCTACATACACATGAGAGTGACCTCTCACCCGCGTCAAGGCATAATTCCCCCACAATGTCTTATCAACAATATCAACAGCCTTCACAACCTGCCTCTCGTCCTGGATCAGGGGTATCGAATTCAGGAGATAGATATGGGTACTCTCAGCAGTACCACGACCAGAACCAGAGACAGCAGCAACAGCAGCAGCAACAACAGCAACAACAACAATCAGCAGCACCAAGTAAGAATAGTGTTGTGATTAAGGTTGGAATGGTCGGTGATGCTCAGATTGGCAAAACAAGTTTAATGGTCAAGTATGTCGAGGGTAGCTGGGACGAAGACTATATTCAGACTTTAGGTTGGATACCCAGAATACACACAGAATATTGTGAAGCAATGTTGACTAACATCGCCTAAATAGGGGTCAATTTTATGGAAAAAACTATTTCAATCCGGAACACCGAAATCACCTTTTCAATCTGGGATTTAGGTGGACAGCGGGAGTTTGTCAACATGTTACCCCTTGTTTGCAATGATGCAGTGGCCATTTTGTTCATGTTCGACCTCACCCGGAAAAGCACGCTTAATTCCATCAAAGAATGGTATCGACAAGGGAGAGGCTTCAACAAGACCGCCATTCCTTTCCTGGTTGGAACTAAATACGATCATTTTGTCAACTTCCCCCGCGAAGACCAGGAGGAAATATCAATACAGGTAAGACGCATCACCTTTGCAACTTTGGCTACAAAATGTTGAATGAAGGCTGACTAGCCTTGACAGGCGAAACGGTTTGCCAAGGCGATGAGGGCGAGCTTAATATTTAGTAGCACTAGTCACAGTATCAACGTGCAAAAGGTGGGTTGCCGTGTTATTCAGTTTATTTCATGTTCGTCAGCTAACTATCCTCTATAAGATATTTAAAATCGTCCTTAGCAAGGCATTCGACCTTAAGTGCACAATCCCCGAGATCGAGAATATTGGTGAACCCTTGTTGTTGTACCAATCTGTGTGATCCGAGGGGATAGTGTTGATGAAAATGACGACTATATACGTCTCCATGATGTAACGGACTAGCAATTACGATCAACGAAATGATTCTTGCTATAAATAGTCCAACGCTGAAGAGAAGATGGCCGTTTCGAATAGCCTCTGATGGAGGGTAGGCGAGCGTTGACGGAGCTGGTGGTTTCTCCGTCGTGAGTTGGGGGCGTCTGAACAGTTTTAATATCCAAGCCCGCTGTCTGTCGACGTCGTTCTTTTCTTGATGGTGTATTATCTCTTGGGCTATCACTACACCGGCCGTCAATCCCGGTTAGCCATAGCTTTTTTAGCTAGTCTTTTAAATGATATATCTATATCTCCCTTTCTTCTCCGATATCCTCACTCCTTTGGAACGCCGTCAAGGCCTTCCGCTTTGAGGAAGCAGAGCCGCGCCAATAAAGTGGCCAATAGGCAAAGGCCTTCCCGCTCCTCCGTGAGCTTATTAAGATTTTTCTCGCCTTTTATTGGACTATTATACGAGTTAATTTGGATATAGCCAATGGGAGACTCCAGAGGCAGCCACAGTTGCTTACTTAACTTAAGGTTAATTTTAGTAAGAGCCTGACGCGAAAAGTAACCTTCATGTGAAACAAACCGACTCCAGATGCAACCAACTAATAAAAGAACGCACAGGGCGAGGACGGGTCTCGAGGTAGCGAGATGCGCAAAGCCGTCCAACACGAACAGCCAGGCGCAGAGTGTCTGGGGCTGGGCGCAGCGAGTGGACTTGACATGACGTGGGGCTAAGCAACTTATATATTACTTAACGCTGGCATCTTGTAATATACCCCCAAAACTGGACCCGTCCAACTCGAACAGGGGATAACTCCGTTCACTCCATATATATATATAACAATCTTGCGATGACTCCTTCGACTCTGGCCTCTCTCCACGCACTGTTCGCGCCACGAAAACCAGTAACTCCTCACATCAAGGAGGAGTTTTGGGCAAATGATTCGAGGTAAGGAGGTTCTTCCTCCTCCAGTCATCACTAGAACTGGCCAAAAAAAGCCTCCTCCACCACCTCCGCCGTCCAAGGGAAGCAAGGCACTCTCAGCAGGCCCTCCCTTGCCACCGAGGAATAAGAGCCAAGCAGCCTCCTCCCCAGTTCCACCCGCCCTTCCTCCTAGAACCCCATCAGACTACAGTCGGTCGTCTAGTGAATATACACCCTCGAGCGCATCCATATCTTCAAACTCGTCCGGCGCAGATACCAAAACCGATGTTTATCGTGTTCGAGCTCCGGCATGGGGCCAGACTGAATTACCCTGTGTCACATCATGGAAAGGGAACACCAGAGACACCAAGGATGATGATAGTAGCGAAAGGAAGGTGGAAGCAATTAAGCCTGGGCCTGCTCCCGGCGCCCAAGGACTGAGAGGAAATGTAGCAGCGTTACGGAATCAATTGGCTGGCCATAAGATCATCGCTCCAGCTACCGCTCCTCCACCAAAGGCTACGAAACCGAAACTCCCTCCTCGCATGAACTCGACACCTCTCCCGCAGACGGATCAACCTCAGCATTCCCACGGACCGCTGCTAGAAAGAGTCGAGTCGGCGCCCGCTACACAGAGAAAACTTCCTCCTCCACCACCGCGAGGAGTGGACCTACAAAAAATCAAGCAGGTTACTTTCTCAACCCTGAACAGGAATACCGACGATGTTGTCAAGCAGAATGCAAAGAGCTTAGAACACGCCAAAATAATTTCCCGTGCCCCTCCTCCAGTGCCTCTTGCATCGCGGCCAAAGCTGCCTCCGGTACTTACCAGCTCAAAGCCTCAAATCTCTTCTGCAGCTCGCAGCAATACGGCAAACTCTGCCAATGCACCAGCCGTATGCTTTAAATGCCGTGACTTCTCTGCCGCTGATGCACACGCTGCTAACTTTCCTCGTCAATCTCTTCCCTCGCACGATTTGGCGTGGCTATCATCCCAACTCACATATCCATTCCCATCACTGACGGATAAAGCACGCGTGCTCTTTACTTGGCTACATCATAACGTGCGGTATGACGTGGAAAGCTTCTTCCAAGGCAAAAGAATGCCACAATCTCCCGACTATGTGTTCACCCATGGACTCGCCGTCTGCGCTGGATTTGCATCCCTATTCGAAACCCTGGCAAAGCATGCTGGTTTAGAAGCCAAAGTGATAAGTGGTCATGGGACGGGCTACGGCTGTACACCACTTGCCCTTGGGGCACCTATACCTCCATACGAAGGCAACCATGCGTGGAATGTGGTGCGCATCGACAATGGACAATGGAAGCTCATTGACTGCTGCTGGGGAGCGGGACACGTTGAGGGTGCAAATATGCCCTATGTTCAAAGGTTCTCACCCAAGCACTTTATCATGTCGAATAACGAATTTGGACTCGACCATTACCCTGCGAATCGTTCTGACTTCTACCGCGAAGACGGACGTGCCAACATCACCTGGGAAGAGTATATAGGCGGTGGTCTAAGGGCTCAGATGAATATACCTATCGACCCTCCTACTCTGTTCGATAATGCGACGGAAGACCACGGTATCGGAAACTCGACCCTTCAGCCCGAAATGAAGTCCATATCAATCAGAGAAGTGTCCGGACGCTCTATTCATTTCCAATTCGCACTCATTTGCGAGCATTGGTCTATAGTTAAGCACGGCGGCAAGAAAGCCGCATCTTTCTTCCTCCTAGCTACCCATGGGCTCGACGGTAGGGAAGATAAGTTTGTGCCTTTCAACCATGTCCGGGGTACTAATACTGCGGGAGGCGGCGACTACTGGTATCTGGACATTTCAGACGGTAGAACACTGGGCTGTGCTGGCCAGAGGTTAATGATATATGAGTTGACGAGCTTTGGGACCCGGACTGATCTGCGTGGCTTGACGATGGCAGAGTATGAGCAAGGAGTCGGTAGGGTTGGGATGGGTTTCAAAGCACTTGCTGAATGGACGCTCGTTCAGTAGCCGCTCTTTCTCAATTTACTTCCAGTGTTTTGTTCGCTACGAGTGTTTTCTTTCTTTCTTTTTTTACAAAGGGTATGAACTTGATGGTACTCAATGATATTATTAGGGCAGACATAGAGGTACAGACAGCGTTAATGGTAATTTTTGGATTTTAGACGGGCTTTTGAGTGATTCAAGGCAAGCACCCAAGTCTTTACACGCGTACGGAGTTCCAACTCCTTTGGGCATTAAGCGACGAAGACATATAGTGGAGACTTTCATTCTTATCTGCTCTCCAGCAATTTCTCTTCTCGGTCAACCAACAAGTAAGGATCCGGAATAAGGGCTGTCACCTGTATCACAGGGGCCCGTATTCTGGCAGCTCTATCACTGCGACATCAACCCACCACCACTCATCCTTCTACGTCTCTACATATGCATTGGACTGCACATCTTTACTCTATGCGTATTCGACAGGCCAATACCCCCAACTTGTACTTCGGTTAAGCCCAGACAGTTATATTTAAGTAGTACCTAGCTAGCTAAGTACCCATATCTCTGCCTTTACACTCGGGCTTCCCGGCCTCCCGGACAGTAAAACCGAACGCCCAACCCCGATGACGCTGCGAGCGGCAAAGGGAAGAAAAGAAAGAGACGCCAATCGGGCCAGGAAGAAAGATAGGCCTTAAAAGATGGAGCTGTTACATCCCAGGGTTTCAGCGGCCATGGCAGCAAAAGCAGTAGAAGCTTTGCCACTGTGCAGGCGACTTTGCGGCTCCCGCGAATAGGAGCTTTTCTCTCGTCTCTAGTTTCCGGGGATAAGGACAAGGGGATGGCTGGCTGGTTGACGCACGAGAGGGTAGCTAATACTCGGACAGGCATGGAGGCTTCTGCGGTAGAAGGAGTATAGTCTACTTTGGTAGTACATGCAAGCATTAACTAACTAGTGGAGGGTTGCAAGAGCTGTCGATCCTGCGGCACGGTCAGATTAATATATTGCTTTCTTTGCTTCTTCCCGCTGATGCATTCACGTTCACGTATCAAGCTACAACGGCCCAAGGGGAGGTACTTTGGAGAGCTCTTGGATGGCAGATGGAGCCATGCTGCTAAAATAATTTTGGTAGCAGCAACGTTGGATCCGAGTCAGAGACAATCTACCAACATCGACATTGTCCAACACTCCAACCCCCCATTTTCGCCTTTGCTGCAGTGCCACATGAGCACGCGACATAGGCTGTCAGTTACTCGTCCTACCATGGTACGGAAAGCCTTGCCCTCTGTGTGATCAATGGAGAGCGTTTGCGGGGAAGGTCGCCGCCAGCAGGTAGCAAAAGGGAAAGCTAAGAAACTCTGCCCGAGCCGAACTTGAGAAGACCTGCCAATCGTCATAGAACAAACATGGGATGTTTTTGATTCCTTGCGGTTTGTTCCCATGGAAGCTTCTACCCTTCACCCCCGCCGCTGTTTCTTGCATAAATAGTCCCCCGGCCGTTCCTTTCGGTCTCTTCCTTCTTCTTTTCTTCTTCTTTTTCTCTCCTTTTCTCTCCCTTTCCCTTCTGGATATATATAGTCAAGCTAGTGAACGCATATTAGCCTATGTTGCGTCACAAGGAGGCCATTCCTTTTACCTTCTTATTAATAACATCACCAATAGTCCATCCCTAGGGGGAATAGTGTAGGGAGGTGTTTTATACCATGTTCAACACTGGCAACATCTATGTTATTTCTGCTGTCGCTGTCATTGGCGGTGGCCTCTTTGGCTTCGACATCTCGTCGATGTCAGCCATTCTAGGTACCGACCAGTACAAGTGCTACTTCAACCAGTATGGTCCGGGTCAGTGTGGCGGTCCCCGGCCTTCTGTGCAGGGAGGTATCACTGCCTCCATGGCCGGCGGTTCATGGCTGGGAGCTTTGATATCAGGGTTCGTCTCTGATCATCTTGGCCGAAAGAAAGCCATCATGACTGGAGCCATCATCTGGTATGTCCTGTCTGCGTTGATGTTCGTTTTGTGGTATCCAGGCTAAAGCGGTTGTCCTAGGATCATTGGCTCTGTAATCACTTGTGCTTCTCAAAATATCGCCATGCTGATTGTGGGCCGTGTCATCAACGGTCTGAGTGTCGGTATCTGCTCAGCTCAAGTGCCAGTCTATATCTCAGAAGTTGCACCCCCAACTAAACGTGGTCGCCTGGTCGGATGTCAGCAATGGGCAATCACTTGGGGTATCCTCATCATGTTCTAGTAAGATTTAACTAATCCCCCTTTTTATACGTGTTACAACAGCTACTTACTTTGTAAATAGCATATCATATGGATGCAGCTTTATCAAAGGCCCGGCTGCTTTCCGAATTCCATGGGGACTGCAGGCCATCCCTGCTGTTCTCTTATTCTTTGGCATGATGCCACTCCCAGAGTCACCACGATGGCTAGCTCGTAAAGACCGCTGGGATGAGTGCCACCGGGTTCTCACCCTGGTTCACGGCCACGGTGACCCAGACTCCCCATTCGTGCAGCGTGAATTTCAGGAGATCAAGGACATTTGCGAGTTTGAAAGGGCAAATGCCGATGTCTCATATCTCGAGCTCTTCAAGCCTAACATGATCAACCGTACCCATATCGGCGTCTTTACCCAGATTTGGAGTCAATTGACCGGTATGAATGTCATGATGTACTACATCACGTAAGTTGGATCCATTTCGTTCTCCCCGCCTTTTTCTTTTCAAAGTTCACTTCATAAGAGACCATCAGCTCTAACAAAGGAATGATAGATACGTCTTTGGAATGGCTGGTTTGACCGGAAACACCCTTCTTGTGTCCAGCAGCATCCAGTATGTCATCAACGTCGCCATGACAGTTCCTGCACTTCTCTGGATCGACCGCTGGGGCCGACGTCTGCCCCTTCTTGTCGGAGCTTTCCTCATGATGACTTTCCTCTTCGTTAACGCCGGCTTCCTCCACCTCCAGCTCGCCTCTCTCTCCAGGCGGTCTCAATGGCGTCGAGGCCGAGTCCTGGGAGATCACCGGTGCCCCCAGCAAGGCTGTCATTGCATGCTCGTATCTCTTCGTTGCCTCCTTTGCTCCCACCTGGGGACCCGTTTCCTGGATCTACCCTCCGGAGCTATTCCCCCTACGTGTGCGTGGAAAAGCCGTTGCCCTTGCTACCTCGTCGAACTGGGCCTTTAACTTTGCGCTTGGTTACTTTGTGCCCCCGGCCTTTGTCAACATCCAGTGGAAGACATACGTGCTCTTCGGGGTATTCTGCGCTGCCATGTTCATCCATGTCCTCATTATGTTCCCCGACACTGCAGGCAAGACACTAGAGGAGGTAGAATATATGTTCACGGATCCAGAGGGTACTAAATACATCGGTATCCCAGCCTGGAGGACGAGTAGCAGCTTCCACCATGCCGCCCGGCTGGAGAAGACTGGCGGTTCAGATAAGCTGGAGTCCAGCCACGTGTAATCTGGCTAGTTATTACCAATTACCATATTACTATGGCGTATGGGGGGCAGTTGAGCGAGTGGTAATCTGATGGTAGCGGAAGCGGAATTGGCGTTTTCGTGGGCAAATTGTATATAACCCATAGCTAGTAATTAAAGAGGTGGAATTGGGTAACAAAACAGTCTTGTTATCCCTTTAATTTTCCCTATGATTGTTGTCCAAAATCGGTCGACTGTAGCAGTTGCACTCCTATACATCAACACCAACTTGATGGTAAGTATCAAATACCAACATTGTCTTCCCAAAAACTGTTGGATTAGTCATTCTCTATTGGACCAACACGTATCGTCTCGGCACGTTTCATCAACAAGTGAGTTATCCCTTATATCTCATCCATCCTGCGATGGAACAGACAGGTCTTTCTTGTCCTGTAGTCAGTCACACAATACAGTCAAAAGTTCAAGAGACTATGAGCCTAGTTCAGCAACCTTGTGACAATGGTATACTACCCGTTTTGGACACATCCTTCCTACACCAATATGAGAGCACACACAGATACCAGGCACCCTACCACCTGGTAGGCAGGATGATGATCAAACACCGAGATTCTATTAGACCAAAATCCTGATACCGCGAAGCTCTAGCCAATGGGCGGCATTCCAGAAAGCCAAAGAGCCTTTGGAAGATGAAGAGACTGGCGAATGAAGAACATCCCCACGTCATCTTCAAGGGTTTGAAGGAATGCCTCTGCCCTACGGAGTCCGGTAGATTGAAATACATCGTCTGCAAAGTGCAGCCCCATTGTAAACCGGTATACATAGTTCGATATAACGTTCGCCAAGTCCAGCTTACTCAGCAGCCTCCGCTAGTTACGATCCAGGGATTCCATGAGGCGAAAATGAGAAATTGATAGAGATCAATTTAAGAGATTCAAGATTTTGTTAAGGCCAATCATACGGTTAAGTTGATATACGATGTTGTTCAAGCCCGATCTCATGTAAAATATCGCACTGTTAGGCAAAATGACTTTCAGGTTGCAACAACTACGGAGTACCCAAGCAGCACGGTCAGCTGTCTCTACCCCTTTTAACTAGGCAGTTGTCACCAGGCCATGATGTATGTAACCAGTTGTACTCCGTACATGCCAGGCTCACCCGAGCTGTCATAACCGCTGGGAGAGAGCCAAGCGGAGGCTAGATTGACAGCTAACTATCAGATCGAGCTATTGACTTATGGGAAGCGGCAAAAAGCGAGAAAAGGCCTTGTTCTCAGGGGTAATTAAGCACCTTAAGTACGGAGTAGTTATATGAACAGCCAGTTAAATTATGTCATATGCAGCCTCTTTCTCCCTTTCTCGCCTCCTGGTCATCTCATTTTATGCACAGTGCTGCAGTGTCCCTCTATGAATAAATGGATTACTGCATATCTAAGTTATCTAAGGATTCCGTCCACACGCGACAAGACAAGGGGTAGAAAGCCTTCAGGCCAAAAAAAAATAAAAATAAAAATAAAATAAAAATAAAAATAAAAACTTTGTACTTTGAGCCCGTAAAAAAGGGTCCGAGGTTTGATGGAAGAAGAAGAAGCAGCATCTTTAATAGAAAATAAGAAGAAAAAAGAAAAGAGAAGCAGAGAATTAAATCATCGAGCTGGCGCCGAGATCGACGGCCTCCCTTTTATCGTGCTTCCGCGGGCTTCCTGAGCAGCGAGAGCGAGAGAGAGAGAAAATAAACGTCTTCCAGCCTTCTGTCCACTCGCAAAGAGACAGGCAATAGCCAAACACTTGCACCATGAAGGACGACTTGAAGATGCCTCTCATGGCTGGTGGTCATGCAGAGTTTGCTCAGCAGAAGGTAAGGGTTAGTCCTTTTCTGTTTTGTTAAATATTTAACTGCCTGAGATGGTGTCTGACGCTGCTTTGCGCTACCCTGCAGATGCGACACCACAACGGCAACGGATTGTCCAGCAAACCGCACTCAAAGCGAAAGAGAGCCAGGTCCTGGCTTCGTCGGGCCAAAGACATCTGCTTAAAACACACCTGGGTCCTGCCTCTTGCTCTCCTCGTCATTCTCCTGGCCGCATACGCCGTCAATCCGACAGAGTCCAACCCGATACACTATGGCATATTTCTCTCCTATCCATTGCCGCCGGAGACACCGGGTGGGCCAGTTCTGTACGGGAAAGGGAAGCTCGATATCGCCTTTGTGGCATTTTACACCATTGTGCTCTCTTTCACCCGTGAGTTCTTGATGCAATGCGTGATCCGGCCGTGGGCTCTGTATGCCGGGATCAAGGGCCGCTCGAAGATCGCACGGTTCATGGAACAAGTGTACACGGCCATGTACTTTAGCATCTTTGGGCCGTATGGGCTGTATGTCATGAAGCAGACGGATATCTGGTACTTCAACACCACGGCCATGTTTGAGAATTTTCCGCATAGATCACATACCGCGGACTTCAAAGCATATTACCTCCTCGAGGCCGCATACTGGGCTCAGCAGGGCATTGTGCTGTTGTTGATGCTGGAGAAACCTAGGAGAGACTTTAAGGAGCTGGTTGGACATCATATCATCACGCTCGCGCTCATTGCGCTGAGCTACCGGTTCCATTTCACTTATATCGGTCTCGCCGTTTACATCACACACGACATTTCTGACTTCTTCCTTGCTGTGAGTTTTCTACCCGTTTTTTTATTTCACACGTTTCTTGCTTCCGTAGCTGACCACATGCAGACGTCGAAAACACTCAATTATCTGGACTCGCCGATCATCACACCCTTCTTCGCCCTTTTCGTTGCCGTCTGGGTTTACATGAGACACTACCTTAACCTCCACATCCTCTGGGCCGTCCTGACAGAGTTTCGAACCGTTGGACCCTTCGAACTCAACTGGGAGACCGAACAGTACAAGTTCTGGGTCAGTCAGTACATAACATTTGGTCTCCTGGGCTCTCTCCAGGCCATCAATCTGTTCTGGCTCTACCTTATCATCCGCATCGCCAAAACATATGTCTTTGGCAACGAACTGCAGGATGAACGGAGTGACAATGAAGAAGACGACGAGATTGAAGAATCAATCACAACCGGTGAAGCGAACGGAGTCCCCATTCCAACACTCCTAGTCAACGGCCATGCTACGAAGGAAAACCTCGACCCGGTTGAGAACGGATTATCTACCGGACTACTTTCTAACGGAAATTCAAACGGTGCCGCCACGAAACGCAAATGAATAAAGATAAATACTTCTTTCTCCCTACTCTTTTTTCTCCCTTACCTTTCTTTAAACCGGTGTGAACGTACCGCATGGTCGGAACTTTCTGTTCCATTCTTATACCTTTGAATTGCATAGCCTCGGTTCTCCCATCCATTTCCTTCAATACATACATACCTCTCTAATCATGGATATTTATCCCCTCCCTTTTTTTTTCCCTTTTTTATTTATATTCCCTTTGTCAGCAGGCATTTGAAACGAAGCCTGCGATATATATATGGGGGGCATGGGCTCGACGTCTCGTCTACGAGACCAGCTATAGCATTGGCGTACGGTTAGATCTGCTTTTCTTACATACATTACATTGCCTTTTTACCCCTTCTCTCTTTCCCAGATTGAATGTCCATAGAGACTGCAGGCTGCAGACTGGCTATCAACCCCTGATGGTTCGAATGCGGTTTGTTCTACCTTTGAATGCCCAGCTGACCCCGGAACACGCGTCTGTGATAATGATTATTATCTTTATCTATGCCTTCTAATTTATGTAGTACATGTCTAGTGTTAATGGAAGAAGTAATGATATCAAGTTAAAAGGAACAACCTCATCGTATACTATCTGAATCTATTCTAATAGCCTAAAGTAAAGAAAAAGCCTGGGTGAGTAGTAAGAAAGAAGGGATAGGGTTCTGTACATGCTCTTTTATATGGGTTTTATGATCATGTCATTCACTATATTACAGCACAAGGGTAGCAAGAATTGGAAGGAAAACGAGCTGTTATAGAGAATAGACATTTTAACGGGCGGGGTTTGTCTCTTTTGGTGCTCAGAATCCCACATTTAAAATCACTCACGCAGAGGTAGCTTAGCTGGACTTGGTGGCAGGCTCCTTGGAGGGAGCCTTGGGGTTAGGAGTCTTCTCCTCGGTGGCAGCTGGCTCCTCCTTCTTCTCCTCCTAATAACAAACAACGCGGTCAATTGCAGGTCCCATCTAAGCTTCTTCAAGGGACTCAATTCGCACTCACCTTTGGCTTCTCCTCCTCGGTCTTCTCAGCAGGGGCCTCAGCAGCCTTCTCTTCTTCCTTGGGCTTCTCCTCGGCCTCGCTCTCGGCCTTTGGAGCTTCCTCAGCCTTTGGCTCCTCTTCAGCCTTTGGCTTCTCCTCGGTCTTGGGCTCCTCGGCCTTGGTCTCTTCAGGCTCGGCCTTTGGCTCAGCAGCTGGCTCTGGCTTGGTCTCCTCCTTGACTGGCTCGCTGACAACCTCCTTCACCTTCTCAACGGCGTGTTCAACATGGGCGTGGGCATCGTGGCCGGACTTTCCAGCTGGGCCGGACTGGTAGAGGTAGTAAGCGGCTGGGAGGGTGAATGCGACGGAACCAAGCAGCCTAAACTCAACAAACGGAGGAATTGAATCAGTCAAGCGTCCAGAATACCCGCGGCAATGAATATATAACAATTCTACATGAAGTCGGCAGAGCGACTAGCCCGATGTAGTGGGCTGATCCGAACAACGTCTTTGACGTCTTCATGTCGCATCGACAGCACACATAGACGAAAAGATACCAAAAACTCGCCAAACTCACCATGGCATATCGCTTCCGGCCTCATGAGAACCGTGAGCGTGGTCGGCATAGCCTCTTCGAGAAACTCGCTGCCATGCTCGAGTAGTCGGTACTCTGGGAGCCGAGATCCGTCTGGACTGGGCCCAGAGTGACCGGAGAGCGGGCGATCGTGCGAGAACCATGATGTTACCTGGTCAATTGCAGTGAATGGGCGCAATTGGGCTGGAATCGGACTCCTCGAGCGGGTGTGGAGGGTGGCAGTTGATGGACTGAGTGAGATGCAAGACTGAGAAGAAGAAGAAGCGAAGAAGAAACGAAGAAAGAGGTTGGAACAAGCAGTGGCCACGTGATCTGGGAACAGGCCATCCTTCTTCTCTTTTTGCCTGGCAGCAAGCAACAAGATGCATCTTTGGGGCTGATGACATGTTCAGGATGGTTAATTGGATATATAAAGGGGGGATTCGGACAGAGACAGAGGTGTTTATACAGCTGATAGACGGCGTAGTGAATGTCGGTTGGGATGCAGTGTTTGGGCTCTATGTGCTAGGTTAAACTCACTACGCCTCCTCCGCTTCCTCTTTACTAAGAACTAGTTCAACGTTGTTTACTTGCTTGCTGCTGCTGCAAGACACAGACAATAACACCAGACCAGGAGGCCAGGACTGCGCCAGCCACTCTGAAGGACATCTTGAGGCTACAGGGGCTTCACTCTCAGTTGGTCTTCCTGTCTTCTGAGTGTCTTTTTGAGCTGCATCTTCCGGTTGCTGCCTATAAAGCAACCCCACTATGTCCTTCTGAGTCCCCTCAGTCTCTTCCTATCTCACACTCTCAGTCTCTCTTGATATTGAACACTCTACCCTCTTAACTATCACACCTTTAGCATCCTGCTGCTTCTGCTGCTACTACTAGAGCTCTGTGATTCTTCTAAAGAGAAGCTCTTCTTGAGCTGGTGTTGTTCCGGACTCGCGAGATGGCGTTCCACAAACAGTCTATCCAGCAGTCCCTAGGGCCGCTGCTGGTTAAGCTCACTGATCCGGACCCAGATATCCGTTACATGTCCCTGAACGATCTGCTGTCTCTTATTGAAGGCTGCAACCCCCCCTACTTCTCACAGGACTTCTCAGCATGTAACCGGATAGTGCAGGGGCTGCTCAAGTCCCTGGAGGACCAGAACGGAGAAGTACAGAATGTAGCTCTGAAATGGTAAGACAGCTGTCCTCTCTCCTAGACTCTCTAGTAAACAAGCATGTTCTAACTCTGCGGAAATAGTATAGGGCCTCTGGCTACGCGCTTACCATCCGATATTCTCTCTCCTTTCATCGACAAGCTTGCCCTTCTCACGAGCTCCCAAGCCATCGACACATCTGTGCCAAACACAGCACTTCGGATGATCCTGGCTGCCCTTCCAAGACCTAATATCAATCTTATCAATTCGAGAGAGGTACAGGCAAGCTACGAGGCTGTGTCTATGGTCTTGATTCCACGCTTGATTGGTACGCCGACGAAGGGGAAACTGCCGACTGCTGCACCCGGGATGATCGTGAATGACCCTGCGAAGGGCTTCAGCAGTGATGCCATCGATGTGTTGATCGATGTAGTGCGGTCTTATGGACCCATGCTAAATGACGAAGAGCTGTTCGAGCTCCTCCAGACCGTTCTACGCGTTATTGAAAACGATCACGCCGGAACGGTGGTAACCAAGCGTGCTCTTACAGCCATCTCAATGCTGTCAATCCACTTGTCTGATGCTCAACTAAGTGGCTTTGTTTCCGGCCTTATTGAAAGCTTCAAATCTTCACATCTTACTATCAACCGTCGCCGCCATTTGATTGCTGCCATTTCTGCCATGGCAAGGTCTACGCCAGCGAAGTTTGGCCCGTATTTGAAAACATTGGCGCCTTTTGTGCTTTCAGCTGTTAGCGAGAAAGAGATGAACGAGATGGATGATGAAATGTCGGACGATGGCGAGCATGACCCCAAACAGGATGAGCTGCGTGAGACCGCACTGGTGTCCCTTGACACCCTGTTAGGATACTGTGGATCCGAAATGCAGCCATATCTTAACGATTGTATCGCGGCTGCTTTGAGATATCTCAAGTATGACCCGAACGTTGCGGAGATGGAAGAAGACGAAGAAATGGGTGGCACTCAAGACGAAAGCAGTGACGATGGAGCCACAGAAGAGCCCGATGACGATAATGATGCATTTGATGACTTTGAGGAAGAAGAAGGCTACAGCGATATTGATGACCTGAGCTGGAAAGTCCGCAGATGCTCTGCTAAAGTTCTATACACCATTGTGTCAACCCAGGGCCGGAATACCCGAGCTGTTGAAGACGGTTCAATATATCAGAAAATAGCGCCTGCACTTCTTTCAAGATTCACGAAGGAAAGAGAGGAGAGCGTTAAGGTCGAGGTTGTGGCGACGATGACGGGTCTAGTTCGAAAGACGAGCGACCTTGCTACCGGCCCTAACCTGTTTTACTCTGATCCATTCTCTCATGCCCGTTCATCTCGAAAGAGAAGACGGCAAGATAGCAACGCTACTGTGATCGACCTTGAGTCTGACTTCCCCCCACCTGCAACTTTGGATACCCCTATTGCTAAACCCTCAACTCCTCAGCCTGGTCCACAGACTGACCTCGCAGACCTGACTCCAGGTATCGTGCAGGCGTTGACCAAATTATGGAAAGGCGCCCCAATACCCCTTAAACAAGGCGCTATCCTACTGCTAAAAGCTCTTGCTCTTGTTCGTTATGGTGGCCTGGCAGACTATTTGCAGAGAATCGAAGACCCTATTGCTGATGCCTTGAAGACCTCTGGCCTGTCCGGTGGTGTAACTGTTTCTGCTGGATCAAACTCAGTCAGCGCAGGAAACCTTCAGGTTGAGGCATTGGGGTTAATTGCTGCAATTTCCGAGACTCATCCCTCGAGCTCTCTCTCCCCATTCTTAATTGCTCTGATACCCGGAGTTGTCGCCTGTGTGAATAACAGAGACTTTAAAGTCTCTAGTGAAGCACTTGGCGCAATTGAACAGGTTGTGGTGGCTCTGACGCCCCCACGAGCCTCCGTGGATGATCGTGACTTGGGTTTGCAACTAGAGAAACTGTACGATATCGTTGTGGAGAAGGTTACCGATAATAGCACAGACTTGGGAGTCCGGCAGCGAGGCATTCATGTTCTAGGGGTAATGCTAAGCCGCACATCTGGGCCTGAAGGACGCAGATTCATCTCTCTAGACCAGAGACAAAAGGCACTTTCGGTTCTCCTCGAACGACTAAAGAATGAGACTACAAGAGTCGCGGCGGCTCGTGCCGTAGACGATATTGCATTGCTTGCTCGCCAAAGCGATGACGTGGATGCATCCTGGATTGGACAAGTCACACTTGAGCTTGCAGCCCAGCTTAGAAAGGTTGATCGCACTTTACGGGACGTTTGCCTGGGAGCTCTGAAGAGTATCGCAATGAACTCTCAGACCAGGCAATATCTCGATCAGCAAACGATGGATGGCCTCCGAGTCGCCATTTCACCCCTTATTTCTGCGGACGATTTGCACCTGCTGACACCGGCAGTAGTTATATTGGCAAAACTTCTACCCCATTACGGCCCAGATCTTCTCAATGACAACATTATTACCCAGCTTTGTTCTGCCGTTCAAGGAACCCTGACAGGAACGGCGCTGAAAGCATACATCCTCCTTGTCCGTGTCATTGGTGAACAGGGAGCAGGTGCAAAACTCATGAAAGCCTTGTTACAAACCGTTGGTGTCAATGGGGATTCAGCCGTGGTCGGCAAGGCAATTGGAACTCTCCTGGTCTATAGTGGGCAAAATGTTGGTGTTACAACCGAAGACTTCCTCGTTGAGCTTAAGACAGCCCAAGACAACCAACGCAAATGCCTTGCCTTGGCCATCCTGGGTGAAATTGGTCTTAGAATGGGAGCCAAATCTCCCCTTGACCCTCAGCTGTTCATCACAAACTTCAATTCTCCGTCAGACAAAGTCCGGCTTGCAGCGGCTGTTGCCCTTGGAAATGCGGGAGCTAGCAATGTGGATGCTTACTTGCCCGTCATTCTAGAAGGGCTGGAGAAATCTAGGTCTTCCAAATATCTACTTTTACACTCACTCAAAGAAATCCTTCAGCATCCGGAAGATGTCAAAACCCATGTTGCCCCATTCGCAACTCGGCTATGGCAGATATTATTATCAGCTTCTGATGACGAAGATAACCGCACCGTTGGCGCTGAATGTATTGGGCGCCTATCCTTGATTGACCCGGCAACGTACATTCCACAGCTACAGGTATGTCTCTTAATCATTATTGTTGTTGCTGATAAGGCACAAGGCTAATCTATCTCAATAGGAATACCTGTCCCATCCCAATGCTACCATCAGAGGCACCGTTATCTCTGCATTCCGTTACACTCTTGCTGATTCTAGCAACGCTTATAATGAGACACTCCGTCCACTTATTGTTCCCGTTTTGGTCACAATACTTAATGATAGCGATCTGGCCAATCACCGCCTGGCCTTGACAACCCTTAACTCCGCAATTCACAACAAGACAGCCCTTGTCCTACCACATCTACCCCAGCTGCTACCTGCAGTTATGGGAGACACCAACTTGAAGCCGGAGCTTGTTCGGGAAGTGCAGATGGGACCCTTTAAACACAAAGTTGACGACGGTCTGGAACTTCGCAAGGTGGGTAGTTACCGTGGATTAGTTCGGCTTCATACATATGTTTTGTTTTTCGTTTTACTAATTGGAGACTACAGAGCGCATACGAAACTATTTACACATGCCTTGACGTTGCATTCTCCACCGTCAACCTTTCTGAAGTCTACGACAGGATTATTGCAGGTATCGAAGACGAACAGGACATCAGAACTCTGTGCACACTCATGATTTCCAAGTTGATGACTTTGGCGCCGGAAGAAACGCTTGCTCGGCTGGATGCGTTTAGTAACTCATTCCGAGTTGTGCTGTCTGTCAAACCCAAGGAATCAGCTGTTAAGCAGGAGCTGGAGAAGGCGCAGGAGGCATCTGTAGGCGTGTTGAAGGTTAGCCGGGAGTTACAGATGGCGTTCCCTGCCGCAGAGGCGTCTAATGACCACCATTCTTGGAAGAGCTATGTGGAATGGATTTCCAGGGAGTTCAGCCAGCTTCTACGCTCTATCAGTTAACTCTATCGTCAAAGGATGTTGTTATTATGAGCTGGCTGGCTACTCTGGTACTCCAGCTGCGGAATGTACTCCTCTCTTAACGAAGTGGTTTCCCAAGAAATAGAACGTCACGAAAGTTAAGTATGGATAATGTAGTTATGTACTTGGTCAGGCAAACGGGCGCTCTTCATAGATAACTAGCTATGACTTAACCAGTGACAAGTTGCACCTGGACCAGCATGAGAATTGGCCCCAAAGCAAGCCCGTCGCGACTAGACAGCATCCGTGGAAAAGGCCCCCAACACAGTAATAAACACCTAGCTAGCCCATGCAAGGGTTCAGGCAGACCCTGAAAAAGCCCCCAAGCTAGGTATATTAATGCCCGTAAAACCTGGCATCCATTCACGGCAGGGTCCCTCCCCCGCCTTCAATCTTCTGCGTTTGCATCTGGGCTGGCGGTACATGTACGATGGCGCGGGACTGACTCGGTGTTGTCTCGAGATACCTGCTGCCCGCGTACAGCAGATCATATGCACAGCAGTGAAGAAGCCCTGATGGGACTGGATGGGCGTCACCAAGGCGTTCTCTTCTACTCAAATAATAACTAGCTTGCTGTCTCGCCAATTGCTTTACCTGTTAACTACAGGTGGATCGAGACAGCGACAACCCATGGATCCTCAGAGACGGCCCGTCTTCCCCTGACGGTTCCTGGCCCGGGCAACATCAATCCGTGCCAGGGGTCATTCGATAGATTCTGTATTCAAGTCGATTGATCACATCCTAAATGATAACTACTCATTTGAAGGGAGAAATGTTGTAGTAGCTCCTGGATAGCTACGTCTAAGTTCTTCCCTCCCTATTTCCCTTCTTCCTCCCTATTTCCCTTGAAGACGGCAACTGACATTACTTGAACAGAGTCAACCAGTTATTACCATCGGCTGTCCAGGCACTCCGCGGGATAGATAGTAACATGTATAACCATGTCATGCCGGAAGATCAAGGCCCACCATGGCGCCAAAGGGAAGCCTGGATGTTTCCATAGCTACGTACAGAGTATTCCGTACGTGTCATAGTCATCTTACCCGTGTCTCTCGTTTCTCGAAGCGCCTGCGCGGAGCTATCTGATAGAACTAACTAGTTAGTCATCCCGTCGTTGTTTGAGCTATCGAAGCGGTGTGTATGTATGTTGACACCCGTTTGAGGTCACAAACAATCTGTACTAAAATGCTTGCGCCCTGCTGTGCATTTCTTCATACAAGCTGCCAATGAAGAGCAGTCTCTGCAAACTAGTCTGAAACCGGCAGTTCCTCATCATCGCCAGCAGCCAGTCAAGATCATATTTCCAAGGCTCGAGGCGTTGGGTGGAGGCTGGCCGCATCCCGGCTGCAGTGCCAGGGACGAGTCGCTCGATTCCATTTGTCCACACAGCCAAGGGGCAGCATCACAGGCCCGATCACCATGGTATCACACTCGAACCACAGGGCATAGGGGGCCCTACCAAGCAGTCGGGTCGCTTTTTCGTTTGAGGCTGCCGGCGATTCGTCCAGACAGGTCAGCTTACTGCAGTGTATAAGCACAGCACAGCCTCCGTCACCCCCATCTCTCTCGCCGAGGCTCCCGGGGGGCCTTGTTCTGCTATTGAGAGATGTTTTCGTCCAATACGAGTCGGGCTAAGCGCCGCCCCCGTTGGTGTCCATGATGGATTTGAATATAATCTCTCTGTTCCTGACAATGCTCCTTTTTTTCGCTATATTACCCTTCGCCTGGGGAGATGAGGGTTTATCGACACAACGTCGCAGAGCAAGCTAGTTAACTAACGAACTTTGACCCTTCGGACAGATAACCTCCTAACACACGAATAAGGCTGCCACCGACGAGCTTAACGGGTTCGTGCATCCCAAGGCACGCCCAGCTCAGAAATCACCAGACCATCCTCTTGCGCAACCTCCGTCTGAGGATTCTCCTCCCCGTCCCTTTTGTTGCGAGTATAGAGCTACAGGCTGCATTGTCTAGATGCTCATGAGTGTCTGGCTTTCCATCTTCCACTGGAACTAGTTCGACACCCTACAGCTACAAACAATGTCGAACCAACCGCCATACTTTGGCAATGCGCCACATTACCCTTCGCATCTCTATCCCCAGCAACACCAACACCAACACCAACAGCAACACCAACATCTACAGCAGCCGGATCAACGGCCGTACTCATACCTTCCCACTCCAGTCGCTCTACAAGGCCCAACATTCTCCTCTCCCGAGAGCTCCGGTCACACCGCTCCCTCCGAACAAACAAACCAACATTCTCATTCACAGCCCAGCCAGTCAGGGAGCCACCGTCCGTTTTCATATGTGTCGCCCGATACCGATAAGATAGTGGATGAATCATTATCAACGGCTTCGAATAACAGGGAACGATGTCGACTACGTGGAATAATTTCTACGCCTCATGTCTCCCCGCCTCCACTTTCCGAACACCCTGCCCAATTCGCCCCTTTTGCCGATAATACCACTCCACCTCGCACCCACAGCAGGTACAACAGGGACAACATGTCCAAGAGCAAGAATACCACCAACCACCGCAGCAACAGCTACAAGACGAACAATACCATAGGGAACAAGAATACCACCATCAGCAACAATTAATACAGCAGCATCAACAACTGCAACTGCAACAGCAACAACATGGTGTAGTTCCTCATTCTCCTATGGCTGTTCCCCAGTCTCCTGGGCCTTTGCCGATAAAGCAGAATCCGGAAGCAGAGACTAGGGAGCGGCAAGCAGAAGAGGTTGCAATTGTTCCCGACAGCAATCCTTTACAACCACAGTCCCCTGCCCCTACTTATGTCTCACACTCCGGTCATAGGATGGCTAGCAGGAGTATATCTGCGGTCCCAGACATACCCTGCCATACCCCCGGCCAAGCATTCCACCCCCAACAATGTGTAAAGGGCGGAAGCTGGACAAATAGCCTGTGCGAATGCTCAGATATTGGTGTCTGCTGCATGGGCCTGTGGTGCCCATGCATTCTCTATGGACGAACACAGCACCGCCTTTCAAGAAAATCAAAACGGCAAGACCCGACTAACATGCTTGGGTATGAGACCTGCAATGCCTCATGCACTGCCATGGCTCTCTTATGTGGATGTCAATGTAGGTACTTCCTTTAACCCCTTCAGCGTGGATGTCGTCTAACATGGTATGAACAGGGTTGTTGGCAACCATTCAGCACACACCCGATAAAAGCGGGCATACGGTATCCCTGGCGGAATCATGTCCGA